ACCAAATCACCAATGCCATCGTCAGCAGGCTGCGAGGAGACCGTTCCCAAGATTTCTTTATCTCTGCCATGCAACATATGCTTCTTATTAGGGAGAACTCAGGCGAAGATAGCCACCGGATGTTCCAGCTGGTGGATGCGATGCTCAGCTATGTTGCCATGGATAGGAGGTTGCCGGATATGGACCTGAAGCAGAGCCTCAATTTCACTGTCCAGAGTCTCCTCGACAAATTGCATACTGATGCCGAAGCCAGAAGCGCATTCGACGAGTCTCTAGAGGCTCGTCAAATTGCAGAGGCGGCAATTGCAGAGAGGGATGAAATGAAAGCTCAAATCGAACTTGGCGCAGATGGCCTGGTCAAGAAACTCCAAAAACAAATTGAAGAGCAAGAAGGTGTAATCAGCCTCCAAGCCCGTCAGAATGAATCTCTGAAAAGTGAATTGGCTGAGATCCAAAGAATACGGGGACAGGAATTGCAAAGAAACGAGCTCGAAACCCGGGAGTTGTACCTGATGCTCCGAGATGCGCAGGATGTTGCTGCATCTAAATCCAAAAAGGCTGGTGGAGCTGATGATTTGGGCGGAATGGACCCTGTGCAAATGAATGGTATTCTTGACCGAGAGAAGCTTATGAGCCGCCTTGAGCGCCAGCTAGATCGAGCAAAGACCCAATTTAAGCTGGAAGGGAAAGTTTGGCCTCAAAGTGGCCCGTCAGATAGGCTCCGGGAGCTTCGAGAACAAATGGAAGGTGACTTCTCTTATGACCTTGAGATTGACGAAGAAACCAAACACAACTTCACCCATAGTACTTTTGGTACCGTTTCGAGGAAGCGTAGCCAGGCACTTAAGGCTACCGCATCTAACGGCCATGATAGCAATGATGGAGACCTTGATGATCTTGAGGAAGAAGGTGAAGAGGCTGTCTTTGAGAGGGGACGATTGGTCGAGATTAGAAGGCCGAAGCTGGATCCTGAGCGTGCCACAGCACTTCTAGGTGAAATTGCTTCAAAGGCTGGAGAGAAGGAACGGAGAGAAAAGGAACAACAAGAAAAGGAGCAGCAAGAAAAGGAACGGCAAGAAAAGGAACAGAGTGAAGGGCCACCTCCACTGGAAACTGCCGAAGATAAAGAAGAAAAGGATACCAAATCTGAAGATGATAATCTAGCTGGCTTCAACGGACTTCCACCTCCTCCCCCGCCCCCTCTCCCAGGATTCGGAGGGGGTGCACCACCACCCCCACCTCCCCCTATGCCTGGCTTTGCTGGCGGACCTCCTCCACCTCCGCCTCCTCCTATGCCCGGATTCGGAAATGGTGCACCACCTCCCCCTCCGCCTATGCCTGGATCCGGAATACCTCCTCCGCCTCCACCACCCATGCCCGGTGGCTGGAAGAAGACTTACCTTCCTGCTGGACAAGTTTCTCCAGTACCTACCGTCAGCTTACCATTTATACGCCCTAAGAAGAAACTCAAGGCACTTCATTGGGACAAAGTTGATACTCCTCAAGTAACCGTATGGGCTGCCCACGCTCCAACACATGAGGCCAAGGAGCAAAAGTACACTGATCTTGCAAAGAAAGGAGTACTTGATGAAGTCGAAAGGCTGTTTATGGCAAAAGAAACGAAGGTGTTGGGCCGTTCAGCGAAGAAAGCAGACAAAAAGCAAATCATTAGCAGTGAATTGGTGCGCGGATTCGAGATTGCATTCGCCAAATTTTCACAAGTGTCTGTAGACGATCTTGTTCGCAAAATCATTCATTGTGACGCCGAAATATTAAATAATACAGTTGTGATGGAATTTTTACAAAAAGATGAGCTATGCAACATTCCAGAAAATACTTCCAAGTTAATGGCTCCTTACAGCAAGGATTGGACTGGGCCAGGGGCCGCTACAACAGAGCGAGAGCAGGATCCAGCAGAGCTCACTCGCCAAGATCAAATTTACCTCCAGACTGCTTTTGAGCTGAACCATTATTGGAAGTCAAGAATGCGGGCACTCAACTTGACTCTTACTTTTGAGCAAGAATATGATTATTTGTCTTCAAGCCTCCGAGAGATAGGGCATGTTTGCGAGTCGTTACGCGATTCTGTCTCCTTGATGAATGTACTCGGGCTTATTCTTGACATTGGTAACTTCATGAATGATTCTAATAAACAAGCGGCGGGTTTCAAGCTTAGCTCGCTGGCTCGTCTTGGGATGGTCAAGGATGACAAGAACGAATCGACATTTGCGGACCTTGTTGAACGTATTGTTCGAAATCAATACCCAGAATGGGAAGGATTCACAGACGATATTGATGGAGTTATTCAAGTTCAGAAAGCAAACGTCGATCAGCTCCAGCTGGAAGCAAAGAAGTATATTGATAACATTAAAAATGTGCAATCAAGTTTGGATTCCGGTAATTTGAGCGATCCGAAGAAGTTCCATCCTCAGGATAGGGTAAACTTGATTGTTCAGAGATGCATGAAAGACGCCAGGAGGAAAGCAGAACAGTTACAGCTCTACCTAGATGAAACGAACCAGACATATGATGATATTATGGTATTTTATGGCGAAGACCATACGGATGAAAATGCACGAAGGGACTTCTTCTCCAAACTTGCGACCTTCTTGCAAGAGTGGCGCGTAAGTTTTCCCTCATTCCTTTCTTGGGTCCCATTTATCTCTTCTCAATTAATTATAGTGTTTATACTAATTTTGCTTTATAGAAATCAAAAGAGAAGAACATTACGTGGGAAGAAAATAGGCGACGAACCGAAGCTTCCCTCGCTCGTAAGAGGGCCAAACCAGGTCTTACGAACGGTATTGACTCTGGAACTTCAACTTCGCCAACGTCTAACGGCGCGATGGATTCTTTACTGGAAAAACTTCGTGCTGCTGCTCCTCAGGCTAGGGACCAACGCGATAGAAGGCGCCGTGCAAGATTGAAGGAGAGACACCAAGTGAGACTCGCGTCTGGACAACATGTCCCAGGCATCACAGTGGATGAGAGCCAACAAAATGAAAATTCTGCAATTGCTGAGCCAGCCACCGCCCCCAAGGAGGACGCTCCACAGAACTCCAAATCCGAAAGTGAGGATGTCGCGGATCGCGCGGCCAGTATGCTTCAAGGTCTCAGGAGTGATAAAGACTCAGAGGGCAGCCGTTCCAGGCGGCGGGATAGCGCCGAAGAAGCCCGAAGAAGCAGAAGAATGCGAAGACGTGCGCCTGCAACATCTAGCAATAAAGAATCGAGCGATAACGCAAACCTGCTCCCTGTTCTTCCCGAGCCTGATGGCGGAAACAAACGAGAATCTTCGGGAAGCAATACATCTGCAACGTTGGCGGACACTCCCAACGAACCCGAAACATCACCAAGGCCTTTGCCAGCCACTCCTACTGGCACAGATTCTAACCCCATCACGATATCCGATTAAACACATTCCTTAGAAGATATCTTCGCGTTCACTTCTATTTTTTCTATTATTTGACATCACCCGTATTGAAGTTAGCGCTCCGTTCCCCCTTTATCAAACATTTATCCTTAATATTCCTCCTATGTTGAAGCATTCTAATCTTCACATCCATCTTTCTATATACACCATGTCACTCATGTTAGAGCTTTTTCTTCTTCTATCCATTTCTACCCTTTACTATGATCCTATGTATGAGACTTTCTTGCTTCCTTCATCTTTCACTTCACCCCATGCATCGGTACCCGCGTTACAGGATTGTGTTATCTGGCTAGTTTACTTGGACTTGGGCCGGATCTCCTTTATGCTACAGCCTCATCTCATCCCCCTTTCTACCCCCTAAGCGTATCCCTTTATTCTAATTTTCTCTCTGAGAAGTGTTAGTTAAATATCGAACGGTTGGAGTTCTTAACCACCTTCTAATACTATCACCAACTTCTTCTATTGAGCTCTTTACCAAGAACATCCCTAGTTTCCTAACACCAACACCACCCGATTGAAGGTTGACAACGAACTCTTTTCAATAGAGATAACTGAGCCCCAGTGCCCTAATATTTGGAGGAGTACAAGATACTATCATGGCAGCTCCCTTAGCATATAGAAATGTGACTATCACCCTTGCATATACTGCGTTGTCGCGTGATTCCGGAGGTCAGAAGTACACAGCAGCCCCCTTTATTATATATCCATCCCCGTCCCCTTGAATATGCCTTGACAGCAAAGTGAGTAAAGAAGTACTTCACGTTCTTCATGAGCAATAGCATGGCTTACGAGGGTTGATAAATACCACAGAGGACTGGAAGGAGCCCGCAAACCTCCCACCACGACAGCCATGGAAGAGTCTTACAGCCTATGCGCATTCACGCCAACTGTGTTTCTTGTTTCTTCTAGGCTCATCTATCTAGTACGTAAATTAGACAGCTTTGCATTATTCATTCTTGGTAAGATAACTAGCCCTTGTGTTCAACATGAGACAAACGAGTCTGTCTTAACAAACGCCTCTATTGAACAAGAACGACTGGTCCGCCCGGCCCATCCCGCCTGATAGCGTCATGGAGGATGAGGGCATGGGTTGGAGAAGGCTTTAGAGAGGAGATACTGAACACACTGCTCCCTTGCTCCCGACCTCGTTAGATCTCATTTTTCCTATTTTATCTGGTTAATACAGTTTTGCAGGCTCAAAAGATTCATCTGGCCCGCCTTGTGGCCATCAAGGAATACAGAATGACCGCATAGGGCTGAGGGTCGCACCAGCTCGACGTTCCAGCGATGAGATCCAACAACCCGTTCTATCAGTCGGAGTTCGGAGATGAGGAGCAGGAATATCGAGTATTGACACCTGAGTCACAGCGACTCCCAAGCGCTGTGAAGGCAGCCTGCACATCAGATTTATGCCTCGCGAACCAGAGGCAGCTGAACAGGGTTACATCATGGCGCAAGGCGATGGATAAGTTCCCTGCCTATTATTGTTATAAAGCCCCATAGCTGCCGGCCCCATCACCCGCTTCAGCCCTAAATCGTCCGTTAGTTATAGTTGGTTGGCGAGAAGAGACCAGCGTACATAACCAGTAGAAGCGAATATTGGCCCCAGGGGGGAAGCCTCTAGCCATCAACTAGCCACACCAGCACAAGGCTAGGGATGATAATTAATTAATTAATTAATAATAACAATAGTAAGCTAATCCCATGTATATTACTTTCCAGATGCCGGGAAAAACTCGTGGCTAGCCCCCAAACTCACTGATCCACGCTCCTCCTCGTGGCATGGCCAGGATGGCAGGGGTGGCGGGAGCAGCAAAGAGAGAATCCGCTTTATCAGCTGTTGCTGCGGACTGGAGTGTCCTTGTTGATGATCGCGTGTTTCGAAAAATATCACTAATATTGAAAAGTTCATCAATCTTGAGTGCTGAGTGGACGGTCCATGTCCCAACCCCTGGAATGCAGGTTGCAGCGTCCATCCTCCGCATTCTACTGGCCCTGGATTGGCAAACTCATACAAAGATTCTTGCAGAATGAGCCTCTCCACCTTTGCCATCCTCCTTGTTCTCTGTAACATGGCTCACTGCAACGTAGATGTATATGCTGTTGTCCGCATAAGCCGAGAGACACGATGAAGGACAAGGGAGCTAAATATAGGAGCTGTATTATGAACGGACAACTTACCGAGATCGACGTGTATATACGTTACTTCCCCATAATATAAACCCATCGTTTATCGTCGTTTATGCTGTGTGTGCAGTGTAACTGCAAACGTATAATATCTTGGCTTTTCTGGAGAAATAACTAGTATATGCGTGGAAATTGGAAAAGCATCGAAACGGACTTGCGCAGCCGTATACGCAGCGGCTGACGCCCCTGTCCTTTTGGGTCCCTTGCATTCTCTCTCTCTCTGACACCCTGCGAGTTAGTTGAAGCGAAGCAAATCAAGGCAGCATAACGGCAGCCGGATTTCTTGACCCTCGTCCTTGCAGGATGAAAGGAGTGGTTCCCCGTTCGAGACAAAAAAAAAGAACGAGGGATCTTCCGGTAGGATGTTTCCAGTGTAACGGTCCTTATGAACCCAATCTACCCTTTGTCTCTTTCGTATCTTTTCTTTTTCTTCTTTTTTTTTTTCATCGTTATTTTTAGGGCCTCATGCGAGGTGAATCGTGTTGGCCAGAGCCTCGGATCAGCAGATCTGATAGCAGAGCATACAATAGTGTATACAAGTTGAGTAGGCATACGTTCCTAGCAAGGAAACTTATCATGGAATAGATCGGGTCGGATTGCGATATCTCCGTGTCATCCAGAACGGCGAGTCTGCATTCTTCCGTGCGACATCTCAGGCTGTGGGATTGGCAGAAACCGTTCGGAGAATCGACCAATTTAGTAATTGGTATAGTCCTTCTTTTCGGTTCTTCCTCTTCTTCTCTGTATAACTATCGGGTAGTCCATCTGGGGGCTGGTCGTTGTAAGAGGGCCAAAAAAAATATGAAGAGAGACTGCGTGCAACCCAGTAGAGATAATCATAACGCCTTGTACTCCATATCTTGCAAAGCCTTCTTCTGTTTCTTCTGCTTTCGTTAGTTAGCGGTTTGTCAAGATGGCCCTCTTCCCAGTAAGCTGGTTTATGGTCGACTTTGCTGGGAGCATTAAGAAGCGATCAGTTGCAAGGGGATGAGAAATCTAAAATTATCCATATCCCGACAACAGCTCCTGCAAGTCATCTTGCGGTCGTTACTCCGGTCAATCGTATCGTCGCATTTCCTCCCTCTTCTAGTCTGGGCTGTCTCACGCCCCAAATGTCATCATGGGCGGCATCACTATTATGATGACCATGATAACCGGCTCCTTTCCGACAGCCGTATAAGAAAAAAAAGTATCTTGCTGCCTGTTACTTATTCCCCCGATCCAGCAGTGAGTCAGTCGGTGCCCGTCAAGGCTGATCAAGGCTGCTGAATGGTCAGGACAGTACGAGGTTGACGTGATGCTGTTCCTCTTCCTCCCCCCCTCCCCCCCAGCGAGGCCTGCGAGGCCTGCATGGCCTGCCAGGGGTTCTACCCTTGATGCCTGCTTTCCCGGTAACTAATGATCCCTAGAATGGGGTCCGACCTGATATTCCACGCAGAAAGAAACCCACGTTACGCCCAGCAGCTGGCGGATGGGGCTTTCGAAGGAAGGCCCAGCTAAGCAAAGTAGTCAGTTTGATATAGAAGGATAATAAAACGAAACAGAACGAATTAGAGAACGAGAAAAGATGTTTTTTCCTTTGACTTTCTTCTGCATGTCTAAGCCTTGCTCGCCTTTCTTCTTCCTTTTTCTTGCTTACTTCTCTGTCTTGTCTCTTCCTATGGCTTCTGCCTGGCCTCGTTCTTTCGTCCACTCGTCTCTCTCTTACACGGCCGTTCGCATGGCATGTCCTTTTTTTGTAAATAACTAAACCCTGAACATGCAGGGAAGATGATTCATAATTGCTTCCGAAACTGAAAAAAAAAACTCAAGAGACAGGAGGCTGATGGATTCTGGCGGAATATGATAGTTATTTATCAATAATAAGATGTTAGATACAAAGGGCAATATGGCATATATAAAAACGCCTCCCTTTTCGCCTTTCTTTCTTTTCTCCCATTGTCTATTTTCATCAGCAAGCAATCTTCACATTATACATATATATTTATATCTTTTATAATATCTTTTCAGCATACTTCCGGGCGTTTTATGAACTAAGCGGCTGCATTCCTCTTTGAAACAAATTCAACTGAATCACCTTTTTGCTTTCAGAATATCTACTGCTACGCCTTAGAACCTCAAGGGTATACATATATATATCTCTTTAGACAGATCTTTCTGGCCATCCTTGATATCCAGACTCAAACGACCATCGCAACTATTTCAAGCCTGAACTTTCAAATCAGGATTATCTCACACAATATACCTCCAACTTCAGACACTACCGCTCAAGCAACAATGGGTCGAGGCGGTTACAACAGCCCTAACCGACAATTAGTCAACCAGCAAGGGAGAGGCGGCTATAACAGTCCTCAAGACGGAGATGGCGACGACGAATCCTAAAACGGGGATCTAGAACCAGGAAAATAGATCCCCTATCCTTGCCAAGTCAAGGACTGATTGATGCCGGCCATGAATCTAGCGACTATATGCGCCTGGGGGAATCATTCCATCATCATCTTCTTCTTCGAATTTCATCGGGTTCAGCGCGTATACACTTGGGGCCTTTGAGCTCATTTACCAACACAGAATCTGCATCCGGGACTTGCATTAGTATGGGACTTGCTTTTAATTTTATTTTGCATGACACGAGACGATAAGAATGGGAACCTGCTTTTCAAACACCACTCCCAACACACTCTCGACATCTCCACCTTCACCACGGCCGGTGATCTTCGCAAGGGATTCGGCTGCAAACCGCAGGTGTTCGGCGGCCGTCACGATGTCGATGTCTTTCTCCACTTGTTTTACTATCATGTTGTTTTTAATATTATCAACGGCATTATCGGGCGTTATGGGGCCTTGGTTGGCTTGGGATAGAAAGTCGTTTAGGTGCTGGGCACAATTCTGTAGATTAAAGCTTTGTCGATGCGTTACCCCTAATGAATCTTCCCAATAGGATCTATCAAATTGTTGATCTGTCTGATTTCCGTCTGCGTGTAGGCCGACAGGCGTAGATATCTCTTCAAACGTTCGAATTAGGCCTTTGAGTAATGCCTGGATTCCGCCGGGATCCCGTCCGGTGGGGTTTTGAGCCTCCTGACAAGATATTGGGAATATCAGATCTGGGTTCAGGCCCTTGAAAATGGTAGACACCTGACCCTTATAGCTAGACAAGACATGATCTCCCGGTACCACGGAGAGCCTATCCGTCTTGTTAATCGCCACTATGACCCTTTTGTCAAGGTTGAGACAGCTGTGGACAGCGCTAGCAACCTCTGGCTCTAAACTCAATTCTTGTTCTCTCGATCCTTCAACCGAGAGAACTACCACAACCACGTCTGATTCAAGAGCTCGAGCTTTGGCACGGCGAATCCCCTCTTCCTCGACCTTACCGATTGTCGAAACCGTTTGCCCCTGGGCCACGATATGGCTTTTTGACAGCTCGGATCGTAGCCCTGCCATATCGCCAAATTTACACAGCCAACCCCCAAGATCTACCCCCACATCGACAATATCTCTCGTGGTTCCTTCCTCACTGCTCACGATGGCAGCCTCCCGTCCAACAACCTGATTCAGTAGTGAACTCTTCCCGGCATTTGGTGCGCCTAGGAGGGCAACCTTAATGCCGCTCCTCAAAAGCTCACCCTTCGCCGCATTTTGAATATGCAGGTTAATTTGGTGTAGTAGGTTGTGAACCTGTTTGGTGACTGAGAATATAAAATCGTCCACGGATTCATCGAAATGTTGGTCTTCGGAAAAGTCTATCAGAGCTTCTAGCTCTCCTCGAGCATACAGAAGCTGTTGTCTCCATTGTTCATAGCGCGTAGATAAAGCATCATTTGTACCCCTAATGGCAAGTCGGCGCTGCTGTTCCGTATCCGCAGCTAATGTATTACCAAGTGCCTCAATCTGAGGTAAGTCGAGGCGATCATTAAGGAACGCTCTGCGGGTAAATTCTCCTGGTTCTGCATAACGAATGGACGATGACGGCGCCCCATCTGTGCCTGCACATTTCGGAATCGCATTGAGGATAGACCTTATCACTGCCGGGCTGCCATGGACATGCAATTCGAGAACATCCTCTCCTGTGACTGTGTTGGGACCTGGGAAGTGGAACACGAGTGCGCCAGAGTCTAAAATATTATCACCCGATGTTGGTTTACCGGGTTCATATATCGTACGGAGAGCTGCAAAACGGGGCTTTGGAAGTTTTCGACCAGGGCAGAGAGCTTTGTATATCTAGAGCTTATTAGTTTATTCAATCAAACGAAACGTCCAGCTGATGGAACCTTGACGTACTGGAATACAGTCTGACCCTGAAATTCTAATTATGGCTATCGCAGCTCTACCAGGGGCCGTTGAAAGCGCATAAATAGTTGTCGCTTTCTCATCCTGGAGAAATGACGACCACCTCCTCTGAGGATCAATTTTTAAGGATGGTTTGAAGGTAGGATGAATGAATGACTGAGCTTGACTTGAACGATTCCATGCGCGAATACGACTCCATGCTGTGCATGTGGGCTGCACCCTGCAGCAACTTCGAGTTGATATCCTCCACATACAAGGAGTGGCCGAGCAGGATGATATAGACGGACGTTGATGAACTTCGCAAAGCTTTCAATTTCTTGCTGTCTTCATAGAGCCATCACGTGATGATAAATGGGAGATAAAAAAAAGATATTAAGATAACTGGAGGAATATTTAGGAAAATAGAGGCACAACCCACCAAAGCCGAATTATTTTGACCGTTTAGTCTGTATATTTGCATACACGCTGCGTGAATCAGTTTCCTCCTGAAAGAACTCAAAATGCCTGGCACAGTCCCTGAAGATGAATCGATGATCGATGCACAACTGGTTGAAGACCAAGATGCAGAGCAAAATGAAGAATTTGAGGAAGAGGACGAGGAAGCTGAATTTATTGCTGATGACCACCAGAGGATAACTATCGTAAGCTTTGTGGCCCTTCTAAATGAATGGTAGAAATCAATTTCAAGCTATTAACCATCCATCTTTTTATATAGCTTCCTGGTGCCGTTGAGACAGCTGCCTCATTCCAGTTTGAAGGCGAGGATCACACGCTTGGGAATGCACTACGATATGTTATTATGAAAAAGTAGGATGAATATCCTCATCAATTTTATTTACTTGCAAGAGATATGCAAGGTTGTACAACCCGAAAACGTCAGCTAATATCTTCGCGGTAGCCCTGATGTGGAATTTTGCGGATATACGATGCCTCACCCATCGGAAGCTAAGATGAATTTAAGAATACAAACTTATGGTGAGTCCCTGCACTCTCCTAGATATCAACACTATAGATAATGACTAACTCGGTCCAAGACTCGACCAATGTCTTTACCGTATTGGAGAAAGGGCTCAGTGACTTGATGGATCTGTGTGATGTAGTTACGGAAAAATTTACTCTTTCAAGGGACAATTTCGAAGCTAGCAAAATGCAAGAATGAGACGGAGTATTCATATAAAAAGGAGAAGGGTTTATTACGATGACATGGTTTTGGTATTGGCGCTAGTTTAGGTGCAACGGTTGTATATTATACCAGAGGAAATGTTCAAATGCTCTTTTTTTCTCTTTGGAGGAGTTATCGATAGTCCAGTTGAAAATGTTTGGTGAAAAAATAAATAGAAATATAGAAAGGACAGAGACTAGGATATATACATTTCACTGCCTTATAGCAACTCACCACCCGCAATAGTACAAGTTAAAGAGGTTTAGTTTCGGCCCTATGATGCTATTAGTTTGGTGTACTGGGGGGTAAAAGATAGCAGGAGTGATTGACATACCTCCATAAAACCAGACATGAAGTTCTTGGGCAGCTTGGCCGATGGATCCTCCTCTGCTCTGAAATATTTCATCAATTGGGACAATTGTTTCCAGTAGTTCATGGTTTCCTATAAAAGAGGCTGAATTAGCATCTTAAACGACAGGAAGGGGTTATATATATCAATTTAGCAACAGCTGGCTGCCACTAATTTCAGAGTACGGTTCGGGAAACACAGAGGCGCTGAAAGCACCAAATCGGCCGGAGAAAACAATGTCGTACCTGAAACTCGCTGTGGCTTTGGAATAATAGAACATCGACGACGGGCAATTGGTTTACATATCGATGACGCTCGAATTCCTGTCTGATTTTGGTTCGGATGGCAGAGACCGGAAGTTGGAGGGAGTACATGGTTTGGATCTCGGGAGACTATATACGTTGCACATGAATATTGTTAGCGTTGACTCGTTCTCTCCCGCGCATATGTTATCAATCGTTCGTTATCAAGGTAGTGATTTTACGGCATCGCTTTCGGGTAATGGGTGGAAACAGCGCATAACGAGAAAGCAGCCGGAGTAGAGAAACGTAAGGAAGACCAACCGCACGAAGCCATTCCCGGTATGACTTTGCCACTCGTCTCTGCGCATCCTTCCAATTGACGGCTATATGTCCCGGATAACTGTTAGAGCGAAGTCCACAAAGCGAGGGATTGACCACTGTCAACAGAACCAAAACTTACAGGATCGCGTCCGCTGGGCCAGATAGGTCGGGTTCAAGACCATGATGGGCTGCGGCTATGTAGTACTTTGCTATACACACAGCTGCGATGTAGAAACGACAGTCAGCCTGGAGTTGCTGTTGTTCTGTTGCTCGCCTTTCTCGATCGACTTGAGAACTTGGCGTTAAAGATGACTAAGCTGCACTGACATTTCACTTGCACTGTTTGCACTGTTTGTGCGGTTAACGAGCTAGACATTTTTTTTTCTATATCAAAAAGGTAGAATAGGCGCATGTTCACATTCACTTAGAATATAACAGCCATAGTACCATTGATCATCATGGCGCCAACAAGACCAAGCGGTCCCTCAAAGTCGTCGAAAGGCAAACCGTCTAAATCAAAGCCAGCTTCTGGCGGCAAGTCCTCTGCAAATCGGGTATCAAAATCAAAGTCTAGTGGAAAGTCGGGCGCAAAGCCCAAGCCGACAGAAGTTAAAGCAAAGGCTCGCTCGGCGCCGGAAATGTTGAAAAAGAAGAAGAAACGAGTATACACAGAGAAGGAATTGAACTTACCTACACTGAACAAGATCACGCCTGTCGGTGTGCAGAAACCACGAGGCAAAAAGAAGGGCAAAGTGTTTGTTGATGACCAGGTATGCTTTTAGCCGATTCTCGAGCTGTCAGAAAGAGATGCTTTGTGTGCTACTTAATAGCCCTCAATCCACAGGTGACTTTAATTTGGAAGACAAAGCATATTCTAATTGTGATTTTAGGAGAGCATGATGACCATTCTCGCCATGGTTAACGCCGAAAAAGAAGGCCAAATCGAATCCAGGATGATAAAGGCTCGTCATATGGAGGAAATACGTGAGGCAAGAAGGGCTGAAGCAGAAGCAAGGAAGGACCAAAAGAATGCCAAACTTGTAAGTAGTTTGCTCCCTGGTGGTTGATAAGCCGCTCGTCAAAGACTTTCCTACCACCGTTCCGCTAACAAACTCTCTAGGAGGAAACTAAGGATTCACTTCGGAAGTCGCACAGGTCAAAGGAAAAGAAAGACACCAAGTCCAACGAACAGAACGACTCCAAACCCAAAAAGGAAGGAAAACGAAAAAGAGTTGCGTTTGCTTAAAAAGATAAAAACCTGAACAAAAAAGGACACTTCTTGCTATGATACAATATATATACCCAGAGACGTGGATTTATGACCTAATTCTATGAGGTGCAATATCTCTGGCACGGGAGGCACGGGAGAGCTATCATGAATCATTGGAGGGAGTTTTAACTGCACGAAAACCTGAATTTCGCCCCCCATGGAAACCCGATATTCAACAGAGAAGCGGACGCCAGGCTCGGACAACAGTATGATGCACATTGCGTTTATTCTTCGCCGCTAGGAATTGGCATATGCAATTTCCGTGTCATAGGTTGGAAATCTGGATGAGGCCCATCAGCCCTGCCTGAGGACGTAGCAGTGGCCTGTTCGCCGTCTAGTGTCTCTTCTACTACCGTCAATGGGGCGTCAAGGTCGATTTCAGATGCCATTTTATTGAGGAAGTTGACAACCTATAATCCACCGGTTAATAACAGGCCTCTTTGCGTGTGGTGGAAGTGTTCGCAGGTGTGGTGATAATGGAGAGATTCCGAGTGGATAGAGTAAAGCTGAAAGATACTGGTTTCGAACTTACAGGCTTGGTGAACCATCTCCCTCCTCCGTATTCAAACCAGCTGAGGTGACCGCCCCAGGAAGTAGTGCACATTACTGCGTACGGTGTTTTGGTCATTTCAAGATACGGTAATGCTTCTTTTGGAGAAATCTGGAAAAACTAAGTTAGTACCTGTGAGCCTCTTAGAAAAAAGGGAGCTTCTTTAACTTACAGCGTCATCTTCTGCTTGGATGGCGAAGAGAGGGATTTTGACCGCGAAGAGTGAATCAATGGATGAGGCATCACGATAGTAGGCGGTTTCTGTTGGATAACCCCAAACAGGGGCTTGCAGTTCTCTGAAGGAAACGTTAACAAGATCTCTCCTTTGAATACCATACGCAAGGGACGACGATCTTACCTGTCGAACTCGTGAAGATAAGTGGTTCCCCGAACCTTTTCAACATTGACGCGAGGATGCTCCCGTAGTTTGTCAACGTGCCTTTATAAGCTGGGAGTTAGATAAATGTCATATGTGGAATTATCTCTCATCAATATCGGAGGGTGCGTACTGTTCAAAGAGCCGTTTCATACTCGCACCCATTGTTTTGGAATAAACCTGCGTTCCAACCCAGGTTCTCTGCAAGGCTAGAGAGCTAACCTCGAGATTCCAAGGATTAGAGCAGACAACTGCGGCCTTTAATTGGCAATCGTCACCTTCCTCTCCAACATACTAATTAGCGCGGGTAGGTATTAGTAACAATAATGGACATAGAAACATCGATTGTAGCAGGATAATTACGTTTGTCATGATATTTGCGCCCAATGAGAATCCAATTCCAAATAAAGGACGAGAAGGAAAATTCTTCCGTAGCCAGCGTACTGTCTGCCGAATATCCCAGGTTGCGCGGGCGTTGTACAATATGGAGCTGGTGACCTTGGAGTTTGCGCAGCCGCGGAAATTGACGACACACACCTCCCATCCTTGCTTATGGAGCGGATCGACTATATTTCGCAGGTAAGGCTCGTGGGACCCGCCAGATAGACCGTGTAAAACAACAAGCATGGGTTTTTGATCATTTGATGGCAGTGCGGAGAATTCCTTTTCTGTGAAAAAGCTCGTACGGGGAGAAGGGTATGTTGAGTCTGGCGGGGATGAAGACTCAAAAGTGCCATTCTCGGGCTGCGTGCTGCTAGCTTGGCTCACGTCGTAAGGCTCGACAACAAAGTCCACTTCGAAGCTTCCACGATAATCAGGGCTGTCTCCCTCGAACCGCCACCGTTTGTAGTAAACGGGAATGTCATCCGTTCTCATAAGAGTCCATGCTGTCTGCAGATGCCCGTTAAACAAGAACGGATTCAGCTGGCAGTCTGTAGGAGTCGCAGACTTGCAAAGGTCGGCAAGGGAAATGTACTTCGATTCGTCCACTCCAGGGCCCGTCGTCTGCGGTTTCAGTTTTAAAGTAACTGATTTCTTTGCGTGATGGAAGGATACTCTCCCATTTGGGGTAAGCCAGGAGAGAAAGCTCATAACTATCGTTATGTCAGAGGTGCGATAACTCTACTCGTCGAATATCCGCAGGTCTTTTTCCCGCCTTAGCAAGTTGCTGGCTGAACAGAGAGGGGTATATAATAGGGCCTTCGAGCCTGTCGTGTCTTTTGCTGAGTTCAGCTGCTAGAGATGGATGGAGTACAAGCAGAAAGGCCTGTCTATGTAGCTTGCACCGCGGTAGAAAGTTCTGAAGAAAAAAACTTGATTACATCAGGCTGCTTACTAGCAAATAATTATACCCATGGTTTTACTCCCTTCATCGCTCCAGGCCAAGTATTGCTCTTAGAGGCCCAGGTGTATCCCACTGGCTTGGAGTTCTGGCTCAGTGTCCTCGCTTTAAGCGTCTTGGGCAACGATTTCCACACTGCTGCGGATGTTGGCTGGGATTCTCCAGCATTCGGGCTCTGCTCTTGCGTATTCTTTGGCAAGCTATATAAGCTATTCTCTACCAAGCGTATATCCTTGCTTGCACAGGCTTTCTTCCTGGTTGGCCCCTTGTTCTCGGGAGAGCGGTGACTGGAGCGGGTTTTTCACTATTCTATATATCCTGCCTCTCCATCAACGGCCATTCGAAACCCAGTGACGAGCATTACTTTCGGGCAAAAGATACTTGAACTTGGCCCGCTAAGCAACCTGATCTTCATCCCAGACCAGTCTCTTCTCGTGTTTTCTTGGGCCGGCACAAAGTACGCCTGGGACGACAGCAGAGTTATCGGCCCTCGTCGCATCCGCCGTCCTTATTGTCGCTTTTCTATGGCTACAACAAACGCCGGCGAGGTAATGCCGCTACTATACCTCCTCATATTTTAAAGAACCGCAACGTCGCCAGCGTTATCTTCATAATGTGTTCTAACAGCTGCATTACTGTGCTTGAGTGCTTACTATGTGCTCCCCTAGCAGACGCGGCTACATGATAGTCCCAATAGCAATTGGTGCCACTATTGGGATGCTATACGCCATTTATGCTCTCTTCTTCTACCTTAATACCCATCTTTGCGGGACTTATAACAACTTTCGGAGTGAATACCAGCTTTATACGACATATCCTATACTCTGGCGCATTCAGCGCGAGGTACAGTGCTAGGCTAAATCCAAGATCCCCTCTATACTTTTCATCGTTCTTTTTACACGGGCTACTCGCGACCCACCACCCTCGGTATAATCAAATTGCTTCTGGTAATATAAAGCGTCGAGGAGCCCGCTCAAATGTCTGTTGTTTAAGAGCCCGCTGCTTGGTGCACCAATACCAATGATATTCTCAATTTTCACCAAAACCATGGAGCTAACCTGAACGAGACACTTGATTTGCAGGTCATTGTGGCCATCTAGGCGAAACCCTCCTAGGGAGAATTCGGGGAGGATCGTCGATAAGTGCAAATCAAGGTTGCTGTAAGAACCGTCCTTAAGCATTCCAAGGATCTCTGTAAAAATCGAATCGTAGCCTTCAAGGATGTAGGCGTAGCAGGAAAGGAGCAATAGATAGGCTGAGAAACTGAATACTGAAGGGTCATTTCTTTTCGGTTTAGAGAGGTCTATAACCTGCGCGTGGGTGTTTGGAGAAGGAAGCCGACCTATGGACATGTTGCTGCCAGACGTATTATGGGTTCTAGAGGTGTTCTGGGAACATGGTTGCTCTAGGAATTCAGGCATAGTGCCGTGGCATGATTTGGTATGACTCGTATGAGCTGATTTGAGACGTTGCAATATGCCTAGAAACTCCTGGCAGTTGCCTAAGATGCTGCCGATGAATTTTGAAAGTGCGGATGGGGGTGAGCTTTCTGGTAGCTCTGGGGGAGGGTCGGATGTATAAATCTTGGAAAAGTTGCCAGACTGAAGCTCGCTCAAGGCCAAGTCCTTCATAAGGCGTGCATTAAGCTCTGAAAGCTGCATCGTGCAGCGCCCTGTCAGGTCTAAGTCGCCGACAGGATGGGAGTCTTGCCTGTTGCTACCAGAGAGCTCGTCAGACTGGTCTAACATGTGGTTCGCTGACGCTATTATATCGCCTCCCAGTCTCCGGGCAAAGGTGTTGTTATATCGATCACTGGGACCGTAGACCTGAGTTAAAGGCGCTGTATAGGCTGGCGGTGCTTGGGCTGTTCTATTAAGCATAAAGTCGGTATCCTGCTGGCGGATAGTCTGTGTATTCTGTACTTGATACATGCCACCACTACCGCCGAGGTGAGAAGAGTACTCAGGAGCATTGTCATGTGCTACGTATTGAGACATCATTTCCGTAGTGAATAAATCTGCAATATCGAAATCCGACCACATTCTAGGCGAGCAGAGCGGCTCGTAGGATAGGCCCATGGCGCCTTGGTTTGGCGAACGTATGGTGGTGTAGCAAGGCACGTTTGCCTTGTTGCATCGTTCACAAGGATGGAGTTGGGCTGTGTTGATATTGGGTATCGAGTCCCCCGTCGCTACGCTCAGGCTCCTCACGCACCGTAGCTTTTGGCTGCGACAGCGATCGCAGGCGCTACGCTTTCTTGAGTCATGATTTTCCATCAGCAGCTATACATAGTAAGGTATGAAGCTTCTCAGCCTCTTGGAAAGCTTCAACTAAGTTAACTTTAAAGGAGGCTCAGTAGGTTTCTGTATGATTAAAATTCACGATACAGACGGTTGAGTTTTATGGGGATGTCGACAAAGTCATAACTTGGTTACAGACAAGATAGCACTCACTGTTAACCAACAGCCGGCTCTGCCCGCACGCCAGGGTTAACAGGGATAACCACTCTGCTGCCATGCAAACAAGGGTATAACTAGGTATCAGAATCTGCCACTACACTAAAAGGAGTGAGCCCACACTAATAGTAGGCAGATGTTGAAGTTTGACACTAGGCCATACAGCTTTCAACTTCGGGGTTGCATTTTCCCCCAGGTTTAACTAAAGGAATACTTTAAAGAGCCAATACGCTACGTATCATATGTAATATTTACAGGTAGTTGGAAAGCCATCCATTATCCGATATCTGGCGCTGCAAGCGTACTCCGTCTACGCAATACCTTGCCATAGACCCAGATAAGGGCTACACCGGGGAGCCCCATACCCAAAGCACAGAACCCAAGGAGGCTTCCTGTCCATCCGTAGCCTATTATTTCAAACCTACGCCTATATCAGTATGCATATCGTAGCATGTAAAGAGAGAATAACACCTACACATAAGGAGCAAAGAGCGGAAACCCAAATGCAGTTAGGCTTCTCAGTGTCCCAACTGCGGCCAGCGCGCTTGCGGAGAATTTTCCATACGTGTCAATCATATATGCATTTGCAGAGATGCCGCATATAACAGCTCCAGCGCAGAAGATGCCGCTCCCAATATCGGGCATGATCCACTGAAGTTTGTGCTGAGCGCTCCAGCCATACCAGAACAGCCCTCCGGCTATTAGTAGAGTCGCCGGTGCCATAAATGGCACGCGAAACTCTGGCAGAGCCACCCCATTATTTTTCGCCTTAAGCAATGCGAAGATCCGATCATTGACAAGGGTAAAGCCCTCAGCTGCAATAACCATGCCAACTCCCATAGCAATATAATGCAAACCAACCATCCCTTCTGTCTGATGATAGACGTTGGTGTATAGATCTGGAAAAGTGGTATATAAGATGTAGATAATGCCATAAAGAAATGCATTATATACGGCAAATACCTGAACAATTGGCTGGGTGGTGAGAAGAAGGACTGCTCGTCCGAGATTAGCCTTCAGCCGAGTAGGGAGTTCCTTCAATGCGTCCTTGGTTGTAGAGCGTAGTTGTTGATTTGGCGTGGTTAACCGTATTGAACGCATCTGCTTTTTGCGTAGAAGCACCGGGGCATACGTCTCCTCGAGGAGATAGAGACCCAGAAACTGGATAACTGCATCTAATAACGAGCTTGTATAGAACGCCCAGTGCCATGATATATGCTGGGAAATAAGTCCGCCGAGAATTGGACCGAAGACTGGGGAGAGTAAGGGGATAACACTATAGATCGCAACTGCTTTACCGCGTTCCTCAGCGGTAAAAAGGTCGCTTAAGGTTCCACCACCAATCTAATTGTAAGGAATGGTTAGTAAAAATCATGCCAAATAAATATAAAGCTAACAAAACATACACCGAGTGTAGCGCTTCCAAAGAAGCCTGCAAGGAATCTAAAGGCAAACATAGCTGACTTTGATCGTGCAGCGCCGCAGGCAGTGTTAAAGACAAGATATAGCAGATTCCAAGATTGGATTACTGGTACCCGTCCATAAATTTCCGATAAAGGGCTTGCAATTAAAGGCCCAAAGGCATAAGGGAGCACAAAGATAGAAAGCACCAACGCTTGCTCTGCAGGCCGGGTGATTGATAAGTCCCTAGCAATACTCGGTAAACTAGGCCCTACAATCGTTGAGGAAAGAGGACTCATAAGAACAAAGGACGAAATGCCGAGCATAGCTTTCCATTTTCGAAGCATTGGCCATTTTTTGGGATTCTCATGGTCGTCGAGGTTACCGAATTCAGCCTATGGCAATTAATAGTTTATACGTCAGTCAACCGTCATAAAATATATAGCATATAATTGTGTTTAGAGTTAGTTGAAAGATAGGGATATACAAGTGCTGCATCTCCTTCATTAGGTATCTCCAGCTTCTCACTCGTGTAGTCCTTGGAGGTAGAAGCCATGGGTTATTTTGGTTTTAGTACTCAGTACAATAGATCTAACAGGGAGAAAGCTAACGGGGATGGAAAAGCAGGCTGCTTTGGCTTGCAGCTCTGAATTCACAAGCAGTACTTCAGAATCATGCCAGACCAACGGGGGAAACGTAAGGAAAAAGGGACCACTTCGACGCATAACTAGACATGTATGAAGCAGCATAGACATTTTATTAACTATTTAAATCGAATTTCGTAACGTGGCCGAGAATATCCTATTGGTTAGTTGTGACGTTATTATTGTGTTGGATCAAGATAAGACCGCCGTTAGTGCGCCGTTAGTGTCTCCAAACTTCCGTTAGCCTCCGTTAGTGCTCAAGTTGTCTTACTAAGCACTAAGAAGCATTCCTTGGCGCCAAGCATCACCACGAGCCGTTGAGCTTAATCTTACAACTTAAGTTCAAATAAGCAAGTGACTGCATCTGGGCAAATCTGATAATGCATCACAATCCGTACTTCCGCCTTTCCCTTCATTATCTTGATACCTGCCTTATTAGCTAGCTCTGCAAAGCAATTTTTATCAATAATATTGTCCCAAATCTAGCCATATCATATTTGTCTCAGTGGGGATTTTTTACCTTGCCTCCCAAAGATAACCACATCTCCGAGATTTCCCTGGCTACTTTATGACAATCCACCAGTTTTTGGCGGAGGAAGGTACTCGTAACTGAAACTCGAGCAGCAGCAGCAATAATTCCTGCTTGTTGTAACCCTCCTCCCAACCTTTTCCGCATCCAGCATGCATGAGTGATGATTGATTGACTGCCAACCACGATAGATCCAAGGGGAGCACCAAGACCTTTGGTAAAGCAGAGAGTGACTGTGTCGAAGCACATGCAGTAGAGTTTTAGAAGAGCTGGATCTGCTGCAACAGCCTCCCATAAACGCGCCCCATCAAGGTGCATATGTATCGGTGGATTTTGCTGGCGTGCCCACTGAGAAATGGCCTGCGTGTCTGATAGTGGTATAATGGTACCAGCGAGTGTGTTTTCTAAGCTGATCACTTTCGTGGGGCAGTCATATATGTTTGTTGTTAGGCAGGCATGTGTTTTAATATCATCAAGCGCAAGGTGATGGCCATTTGCAGGCATAACACCACGTAGAAGAGCTCCACAAAGTGTAGCTGCACCCCCGGCCTCCATATTTATGATGTGGGAACGGCTGTCTGCAAGGACAGAGTACGGAGGAGCGGTAAGTGCCGTTCGAAGTGCAACTTGGTTTCCCATCGTTCCTGAAAGGACCAACAAAGATGCTTCATGGCCAGTTAGATGGGCCATAAAATTTTGAAAGGAGTTCGCCGTGGGGTCTTCCTCCATGGTATCATCCTGTAACGTGCAGTTGGTAATAGCTTGTAGCATTTCCATCGTTGGGGACGTAACAAAGTCAGACCGGAAATCGTAGGCAGCCGGGCCTGGATTCTCCCATGCAACAGGTCCTATATCTGGTTTTGGCATAACAATATGGTTAGATCCTATGATATTTTCAACATGGTGTTGCAGTACAGCATCATCGTCGGTGATGGATGGCCCCATGCGAGGGTGATGGGGTGGAAGCAGCGTCTTACTTTGTATAAGGGAAACTTTTGTTCGAATAATGCCACTTTTCTCGAGGATACAGATTATATTAAAAAGAAAGCCTGGAATCGAGGGTTATAAAACAAATTTCGGTTCTATGCTGGATTTAATTACTGTAGTTAACGATAAATATATTTGGGTGTATTTATTATCAACCTCCAGCGCCCTAAAATGATTAGTAAATAACCAAAGTGGGTATACCGTTGCTCTTTATTCTAAGGTCACTCAGCATCCGAAATTTGGATACCAAGGTGGGATAAAAAGTCCCACTGTTATTGCGAAGGCCTTCCAAGATCGGGCCCAGTCCAGCAGCGGCACAGCAGTTAATTCAGTTCCCCGAATACGCTATCGGCTGTACACTGCAGCTAAAAGCGAATCTAATAAGTACTTACGGAGCACCGATCCGGCGACGCCCGAAACAAGGATTAAAACCCTTGCAATCAAGTAGTTCGTAAGTAAACCTATCAAGTTTTCAAGGCATCGCTTCCTTTGATTAATCTGTTCGATATACCAGGAAGCAACGGCTCAATGGCGTGAGAAATATGAAATGAAATGCATAAGGTAGGTGTGTACAACTTGATACTGATAGATTTCTAGTTGAATTCAAATGTTTAACTATTGAACTAATGAAACTTGACGACAATTTTTATACTAATGTAGTGAGAATACTAGAAATTAAGAAAGGAATGTAGAGCAGTTAAGCAGAATGTTGCTAGTGTCGCTAGTTGTTCCATTATATGAAAACCCGGCTCTCAAATCTCCCCCCTCTAACAGTCATCTTGGAAGAACAAAATGTAGTAATCACAGTGTCCAAGATTTTCTAAAACCACCAGTCTCAAAAGTATGGAGATATACACTTAAATAAGCCTTTCCATCTCTGTACGAAAACGATACCAGGGATTGAAGGTAATTTATTGCATTGGCATCTATATCAGGGCTATAGGTTTTGTTAGTTAATATGATACCGAAGTAGATAGTTGGGTATAATAGGCCGGGACTTACTAGTATGAAAACAGGTTGTCCTTGTAAAGATTGGCCATATCTGCCCAGCCCCTCCTCTCGCAGAATGTTGCAATGGCATCTGCAACGCCAGCATCACTCATTCCAAAAGTATGAAAGTACACTTGAGGCGCCGGGTACGGCTCCTTTGGGGAGAGAGTAAAGTTAGCTAACAGGGGAAGTCTTTCGTTAACGTCGGATCCGAGATCTAAGTATCCATCTCAGAAGTAAGAATGCCCTTCTGGGATATTGATTAAATCCCATAGCTCCCGAAGTAGCTTTAAGCCATTAATAGTAGCAGGGTCCTGTCTCCGGTGGCCAAGTGTCCAGATATCCTCCAAATGCTCCCAATCCACTGATTGCTCCGCCACATATATTTTAATTCGTGACCGGCTCGGATCAACAAGATCACAAGAAATCAAGCGTGTAGTTAACGTTTGGTTTCTATGAGAGTTGATATATTCTTCCAAGATAGATAAAGGGACGGTGAGTTTTTGATTATGGTTCAATTTTCGCACAGAGTTAAACATAAGCTGCTCAATCCGGATACCCGTAACCACTGACTTGAGGTATGGGTATATATACAGCTTGACCTCGAATCTGCTTCCATTGAGATCTAGGGCCAATTTGTTTTGTGTTCTGACTTGCCCTCTATCTAGACCATGCTCCATGACCAACTCTGCTTCATCTTTGTCCAATACCAGGTCGTTCTTTAACTGTGTAAACCATTGGAGGTCAATTGAAGGGTTCAGTCGTATAAGCTTTCCAAGGCATTCCCAGATAGCTTGTGAATTAAAGGGATCCTTTTTAGTGCCGCTTAATGGTCCAATGGGCTCAAATGCAAACCTGACAACTGATTTAGAACAATTCAGGCTTAATTGATAGGGAAGACCAAAGCGGCTAAGGATGCTCATCCACCGGTCCTTACCATTTTCTGGGTAAGGCCCGAGAAATGGTACGACACATTTGTGATGGATGCAGAGGTGGGTATATTGAGCGCGGCTGTTGTAGCCTGCGTCCTGAAGCAATTTGGCAAGCATTGGCCCAGTGCTCTGCCACCAGTCATGTTGGTCGTCGTTTGTAAAATCAAGGATTTCACTTAGAAGCTGGAACGGCGTGAGGTTGGTGTTGATAGGGCGTTGAGAGGGCATATTGGCTATGATAGTGGAACTTTTATCGCCAGCAAATAGAGAAAATCAAGCAACAACAGGAAGCCTATATAGTATTAGTTAAGATATAGAACTAGTATCCGAATTCTCAAGTTAGCTGGGGAAGAAAGAATATATATGTATTCTCTATACTGTTACCCTTATGGCGTTTCAATTATTCGGTAGAAAGCAAAGAATTAACTCCTCATGTATGCAGATGCTAGTAATAACCCTAGTTTTGATCTGTTCATACTGATACAGATTGACTGTCGGAGGTGGAAAGCTTTCATGCATATACATTATCCCTTATTAGGGTATTACGTATTAGCGCCTTATTCCTCGGATGCCCATTTCCCGGCGATTCTTTTTCTCTGAGACATCATCACGTAACGTTTATATCTGGAGGGCTCCGAGAGTTTATCTTATCAAAGCTTTCTGCTTTTTTGTGCCGAGGCTTAAGTATGAATTTTATGCTCGAAAATATGCATAAACTCTAAATAAAGCTATATTTTATGACGTTTTTACTGGTGGCTTTGACACTTTTATTTCCACCGCGAAGAGATATCTAGGAAGACGAGAATATAGGAAATGGGATATGTAAGCTGGTTGTCATAATCATAATCTACGGGTGTCCTCATTATCGTCCTGTATTTCGTGAAATGAACAAAAGGAAAATAAGATGTAATCAAGGGGGCCACATGGAAGGAAAATGAAAAAGATGTCAGGGATGGAAAAATGGAAAAATCCTATCTAACAAGGTAGGATTGTAGTATTACACGAGGCTCTCTCGTGCTGATATAATACAAGGTAGTCGAGAATGCCAACGGTGCCTCTGCCGTGGAGCACTGGTATCGAATGACTGCTGATAACTGTCGTGATGGTAGGTATATTTATCTGATGACGGTGCCGCGTTCTCTTCAGAACTAGCTGTGTTAGTGTTTGCTGCCCTGACTTCCTCCACTGTAGCTCTAATCTCGTACTCCCCAGCACAATGAACGGTAACGCCAAGATTTATGTGCCGCCGTTCCTTCGGGTCTAGAACAGGGAGAGCTCGCTGAAGCATGCCTGTACATGATAGACGCCTGGAGAGTTCGAGGGCAACAGTATATGGTTGGTTGCGTAAAGTTGGTTGTATCCGGATAATGGGGTGGATTTGTTTTGAGGAGCGGTTAAATATTGTAGTTTGAAGGTTGAAGAATGTGTCGGTTGGAATAGAGAATTTTGATTGGCCTGTTTGTATGATGGTTGGAGATCGGGAACCATAATATTTATTCTCATCAATTCCCTTTAGCGGTAGTAGTTTGAAGCTCACTTCCAGGTCATCTACTCGAAGTGCATTGATCATACGACTGTTTAAAACAATCGCACGGAAGTCAATAACTCCTTCTCGACCAGTTATCTCATCTTTCCATGTCCCCTGGAGCTGCTCAAACATCTTCTCACGGAGCCAGAATGCTTCTCGCTTGGCGGTTTCTGCCTCGTAACTGAGTTTATTAGCGCTAACCACGAATTGTCGCCGGTTAGCGGCGTTGAGGGCTGGGATTTTCTGGTGGGGGTCCTCTAGGTATATCCGTGGAATGGCTAGAGCAAATCGAGAAAGATGGCCGGGTTGCAGTACGTCAGAGACTTCTTGTAGGTGTGGAGTTGAATTGTTGGTCCCTAGTTCATCACTTGCTCCCTCTGTCGATTCAATTGCCTTAAGCGAGGCAGAAATTGGGTTAGGCCATGAATTCCGTAAGTCTATTAGCAGCAGACAGTAGTCGGATCCTGTATATTTTGAACCCGGCTGAGAAATGACAGGTGATATCTGTGGGTCTATTGGTATATCAGAAGATGTCGCCGAGGTCTTTAACGGGGTAGCATTCGCCTCCGATTCGCTAATGGACGATGCATCGCCAACCCATCCAAGATGATCATTAAAGGGTAAGATCTCACATCGAGCGATGTTTAAGCTAGAATTGACGGTGACGGTCAGGGGTATACTGATCTGTCTGGTATAAAATGAGTTTGGCAGTTCTGAAGGCGAGGCACCAATGCATGCATAATCAACTTGTATTGTAGCAGTTCGAAGGCCTGGTTTGCCTAATATCTCAATTGTAAATGTCTTTGATTCACCGGGATCGAGAGATGGAATTTCTTGCCCTGAACCAGAGGGAAGTAACCGTAATGGAGGCCTCTTCAATATCTGGTATTCCAATTCGTATATTTCTGTAGGTAGATTGTCTTTATTGTTTAGTGCTGTTTGTAGATGAGCTGTCGTTGAATCTTGGAAGGTAAAGAGAAGAAGGTCAGCTGGATAATCGGATGAGTTGTATAATGTAATGTCAAATGAGTTAGTTTCCCCTTCTAGCAGCATGATAGCAGACTGTAAAAGTGAAGAGCTTTGTAGTTCAACCATTGGCTGTGCTTTGATAACATTGGTAGATAAAGATGCGGCTTCAGGCGGTTTCCTCGAAGGTAAGGCTCCTTGAGAAGCATTTGACCCCCATGAGATCGGGCGTGATAGTGAATGTTCCTTAGCCGCCAGTCCGCTACGTTTGAGCTTCGCTTCCACCAAAGATTTCCATAGCTTCCTGAAAATTGGGAAGCGCCTTTCTCTACAGAACTTCACTTTGATAGTGCACCCTGTAATCTTGAGCGTGCCTTCTTCTGCAGCTAACAAAGTAACGCTTATTTCCTGAAGGCAGAATGGAGCAAGTAGCAAATTTGAAGTACTGGCCGTAAATGCTATACCTTCGCCTTCAAGCTTCAAGTATTCAATCTCGACTTCAAAGTCGAATGGGTTTTGCAACACAACTCTTGCGGTTGCAGGCTCGCCTGCAATAACCGGAGAATCCGACGTTGGAGTTGAAGGTTTGGAAAATGCGTTGTAGATAAATGGCCCTGTTTCCCCATGTTTTTCAGTGCTATATGTGACTCCAAATTCCTGTTTCGATCGTCGAACAGGGCGTTCTGCATTAGAGGATTGAATTAGAACATCTCGAACCAAAAAGTCGTCCCAGTACTCGGCTTCTAAATTCGGTACCCCGAGTTTCTGTGCAACGCTAACCGTGCGCTTAACTGTATTGTATAAACGTATTTGCTCATCATGGCTCAAAAGTGGCCTCCCTTTTTGAGGGTCCGTTGTAATCATATATGTACCCTTGACTGCCTGCAACAGAGCAACCGTAAACTTCAAAACGCCTGGAAAATCCGGTAAGGCCTCACAGAAATTGATACAGGATTTAAGGATTTCAATTTTTAAACCCAGGTCTCCGTAGGTGTCGAGGGTAGAGTTTTGAAATGTACGTTCAATGGTTGCTTCGACCGAGTCATATTCAGAATCATGTTCATCCTTCTGGTTTCTACTGGTATAATTTAAGCGGCCACTGGAGAGCTTCGCGCCATAAACTTCTCCGACCAGCGCTAGGATAGATCTTAGACCAGTTTCCATATTTGTAGGCCCAATATCCAGAGCATTGATATCAAAAGAGGAATTGCTGAGCGCAGATAGCCCTGCAGCTGGATGGATACCAATTTCTGCAGCACCAATTTTCCTAGCTTGTACTAGGCCAGGGATAAGAATTGAGAAGAGCTCTTTTAAGACAAAAGCCTGCTTTCTTTCCATCCCCAATGGTGATAAGACAGCCGCTACACCAATAAATATCTGTACTGCATCTGTAACAGGAACGTCCGACGATAGAGAAGGTGGAAGGGCACGGAATAAGAAAGAGGCTATCTCCGTTTTGCGGAAAGCATTTAACCTTCTGTGCTGGTCAGATACTGGGATACGCTCTAACGTTTTGTTCAAGACAATGTGTTGCAAACCCTCAGTATCAAGAGAACTATCGCGTACTTGCATGGATGTCAAAAGCTTTGAAAGTCGTATGACTGTTTCCGAAAACACCAGTTGGGGAAGTGGCTCGTCTGTGATATTGATAGCTCTGTTGTAAAGACTTAATATATAGTTTGAGATGTCAGGAAGAATACTCGCTAGATTTTGGAGGGCCAAGGCCCTGGCTTCAGGGTCAGATTTTCCGTGGGATTCAATGCTTCCCTGACCTGATACGGTCTTTGATATAGTCCTGTCACTATTGGGAAAGCATATAGGCGGGATCTAAAAAAAATGGTCTCAGATAAAGGAGCTAGATTGTAAGGAGAAACAGGACCTGCTTACCTGAAAACTTGCACCCACCCACCCAAACAAAAGCAGACAAATAAGTATCGCTTCCAAGGCCTTTGCGTGCCATATATAATCGCTCCCTGACCTGGCAATGGCGGCACCTTCAATAAGGTCTCTAAGGGCTTCAGGCCATAAACCTCCTTGGAGGTAGAGAATACCCGTAAGAACATGAAGACGGCCTTGAAAGCGAGCTTTTGCTCGTTCGTTTGAAGCAATACTAGAAACTCCTGTCACTGAGGATCGATCTCGGCTGTGTTCCTTTGATCTGGGTTTCGAACTAGAGCTAAGCGCTGAGGTTGTTTTGCTTGATATTTGGATTGAGCGAGTGATTTCATCAAATGTAGTGGGAGATTCATGGCTTAGACTCTGAGAAGATCCTGTACTTTCTGAAAGTGGCTCAGTTGGTCGTGATGGCAATTGTGCGGGCATCGTCATCCTGTGGGAGAGCTTATCAGATGATCTGGGATCCAAAGTCCGTCGTGGTCCCCACGACGAGATCTTTGGAGATTCAATACTTTGCCATTGCAATATCGACTCCGAAAACCTTTGCAGTCCTCCAAGAACCCGGGCTGATATGTCACACATCACTGTTTTCATCGTTGTCGGACGTGATACCTCCTGGCTAGGAATCCAGATCACCTGCTCAGGCCCAGAAACAATGTTGTTCAGCCCTTCATAATCAAAAACCAATAGCTGTTGGAGAATAGATTTAGGGTATTCCGTATTTATCCCATCCAACTCCTGGATAAGCAGGTCAAGGCCTTCTGGAGTGGGATGCTTTTTAGAGCCAGTACCGTTGGGTTGCTTCTCCTTAGCCACGCCATTTTCATTCAATTTCCTATTGACAGAGATTTCTGTGCCATCGGCAATTGCTAATATAACAAGCGGCTCCCTGAAGAGCTCAAATGGGAACACTTCAAGGTGGGAGATAGGAGGTACGGATATAGATAGGTCGTATATGATCATTCCAGACGGGTACGCAAGCGGAGAGAACGTGTCTAGGGACAATAAAATTAGCTATAGGTCCAGACACCGATATACAAGAGGTAAGCTTCTAGTCTATGAATTTAACGGTCTCATACTCTTGCTTGTGCCCCCTTCAGGGCTCACATCCCCCAGGCGAACTACATTGTACGCTCGAAGTCGCTCAGCGAAGCTTAGGAACCTGGATCGCCTGATTCTGCCGACTGGAAGTAACAAGACTCGTAAGCGCGCCGGCGCAATAGGGGAAAGAGGGTCAACTGTCATTGTGACATTGGTATCGGAAGCAGTCGTAAGAATTCACAGCTGGTCGGAGTTGCGCGTGGAGTTGGGTTTGGGCATTGCAGGAATAAACTTAGGTCATATAAAGCATTCACAGAGTCATTAGCGTCTTCTTGTGTTCATAGAAAGTTGAGTAGTTCGTTCAAGAGGTCGATTCCATCACTTGCAAGCCTGCTAGTTACTAGTTTTGTGCTAATGTAACAGTTTTTGGGTTGTTCGGTGTTGACATCACATGAGCTTCTGTCGACCTTACAACTCGATTAATATATAAAGACAAGGCAACAACAACAACAACAACCAGCTAACCACTGGGTTAGAAGATAGGGAATATTTGGGGGGGGTGATTTGCCCTGTTTCATATTTCTCGTTTTGCCTGGTTGTTTGACCTGAAAGTCCTCGAAGACCTGATACGTCATACCTTGCTGGAGCCTGGTTTGTTCAATAGTTATCATTTCAGTACGGATGGGCAGGCTCATCGGGAGGCCTTCGATAGCTATTTCCCAGGATTGAAGAGCCAGATTGTGCTATATATACGGCTTGCTATGGCAAACAATATTGATTTCAGCTCCCTGAAGGCCAGGGCTATCGGCTCTGGCCTGGACGAAGAGGCCGTTACGGTGAACACCCGAGCATTGATTGACAAAGTGCTGGCACGATACTCAGGAGAATGGTGACTGTTTATCCTATTGTATAGCTCCCCGGACGCTTTGTTCCAATTCTAACACCTTGCAATAGGACCGTGTTGCGAGAACTTATTCAAAACGCCTCGGATGCTATGGCCACTAAAGTTGTCATTAAGTTAGAAACTACACCTTCTACTATAGTGCCTGCGCCCATTGCCACGGATGGAAACTCAGCTATCAGGCATGTTATATCGCACCATACCATAAAACGGCTCACACTACGGAATAACGGGACTCCGTTCAGTGCTAATGACTGGGCTCGGTTGAAACGGATCGCAGAAGGAAACCCGGACGAGACAAAGATAGGGGCCTTTGGCGTTGGTTTTTATAGTGTATTCTCTGATTGTGAAGAGCCGTTTGTTTCCTCCGGCAAGGAGGCAATTGCATTCTACTGGAAAGAGAATGCGCTCTTCACCCGGCGTTTGAAATTAGATGAGAGAGATTGCAGCCCGGATACGGTGTTTGTGCTTGACTATAGAAACACTACCTCACCAGTACCGGGGCTTATGTCTCTCTGCCAATTTCTTGCAAGCAGTCTCACCTTTGTTGGACTAGAAGATATAGAACTCTGGCTGGATGACTGGAACCTTTTGAAACTGTCGAAGAAGCTTGCGCCAGGCGTTCCAGTGGCAATACCCAGAGACATATCGACTAAGACTCAGGATGGCCTAATGAGGGTAGCTGATATTACCCGAGAAGTTGCTCAGCTTGATGCAGCTTGCATGAAGGCTGTTGGTTGGAAGTCGCCGACTAATTCATCCAGGTATGAGGGAAACCGAGTGCATGACACCACTGCATCACTTAGGAGCTTCTTTTCTCGGCTTACCGGCTCATCCACAAGCGATGAAAAACCGTCTAAATTAGAAAGAGCTGGCCGGAATGGTACTGAAGAAGACCTCCTTTCATATAACAAATCATCCGTGTTCCTTCAAATTACTACAGGCCATATAAAGACTTCGGTTTCTTTATCATTTAGCCACGAATTGGAACGGGCAACGAAGAAACCTCCCCCCAAAACAACTAAGCTTGCAATACTTACTACATCATACACGGCATTTCCTGTCTCAGAGAAACCCGAGACACAGGATATTTTCCGCAGCGTTGTCCCATCCCATTCTGGAAGAATATATATTGGTTTCCCGACTCACCAGACAACAGGTTTGAACGCTCACGTATCTGCTCCCTCTTTGATTCCGACTGTTGAGCGGGAGAGCATCGACCTGAATGCTCGATGGGTTCGCACTTGGAATCTTGAACTTCTACGAATTGTTGGGATTATATGCAGGATTGCTTGGTCCGCTGAGATGTCGTCTTTAAAGGACCAACTTCTCTACAGGCGTAAGCAGTCTGGAAGGTCGTATCTTCAGAAAGAAGATATTAATGCAGTGATTTCGGAAACCATTCATATATCAAATCAATTCGTCTTCAAGGAGTCAACTCCGACTTCACAAGTAGGACAGGTGGTTGAGGATTCGTTTTGGACATGCAGCCAAAATGCCTACTTGGAGATTCTATCCACCTGCGGTATCCTCCCAAGCCATCAGGTCCGGACTGCGCCAAAGGACCTCAGTTTTATGGATGGGATCCCTGTTCTCCCCGAACAGCTAGTACTGGAGGCTAAGGGATTTGTTGGGAGGTTAATCGAGTTTGGTCTGATCACCGAAGTTACGATATCTGACATGAAAGCTGAATTAGAGAATAAGGCCCTGACCTCGTTGCAGTTTCATGAATTTCTCTCTTGGATCATCCGAAAATCCACAAGCGGAGAGATTAATCATGCCACTGTCAAGGCTCTCATTGCGGTTGCCGTGGCTAACAATGACGGAGGTGATGGGGGCCCCGCGCTTCTTGTATTGAGAGATATTAGCTGCTTCACCAACTTGACCCGTATCCCTCCAGAAATGCCACTACCTCCATTTGTTTTGCCGCCTAAATATTCCAAAACGTTATCATCAAACGGTTTAACTTCAATCGGCTGGCAGGAATTGCAAGTTGATACCTGGGTTCAGTGGTTGGTACATAACTCCTCTAACCGCAACATTCTATCGGTAGAACAGGATATAACGCGATCACAAAACTTCTCTACTCGGGTTCTCCCGGTCATCTCAAAACAATGGGATACATTATCACCAAGCTCGAAGACTGGAATTATCGATTCCTTACGGCAACATACTATTGTTCCCACCAAGTCAGGCATGCGTAAACCCCAGGAGGCGTACTTCCCATCAGTCCGAATATTTGACGACCTTCCTATAGTTACGGGCCTAAATGGCGTCAAAGAAAAATTTTTGGTTGCACTCGGCGTGCGAAAAACCGTGGACATTAGCATTATCTTTGAACGTCTTCTGAGCGGCTCTGAGGATGGAGAAAAGGGCCAGGGAAAATGGAGCCATGTCGAATTAATCAAGTATCTGGCTTCCGTTCGCCAGGACATACCTCCTGAAGACACGGCGAAACTTCGGAAGGCTAAAATATGTTCGGCAGAGATGAAAGATGACAGGAAGCCTTCCCGACAGCGTTATCAAGTCTCACAACTTTTTGAGCCAAATGATGCTCTAAGGGACCTAGGCTTCCCACTATTGTATTGGCCAGGAAAATACGTCTCTTCGAGCACCGAGGGTAAATTTTTACTCTCCTTAGGACTAAAGAGTACACCAACAGTTCCAGAAATGATAAAGGTCATGGCAGATGCAGCAGCTGCCAACGATATGAAGTTACGAGACAAAGCTATGCGGTATTTCATTACCAATCATGTCTCCTTCAACTATGCCAACTTTGACTATAGTCAATCCACGACCCCGTTTCTGCCCATTGAAGGCGGTGGCCTAAGTAATCCTTCTAATTGCTTTACTGCTGAAGGAGCTGCCTTATTTGGATTTAATATTCTTCGAAAGGATTTACATCCCCATTCTCTGAAATTTGGCGTTAATCAGCATCCATCCATAAACGAATGTATAACCGTACTCATTCGAAAACGCCCGGAATCAAAAGCCCAAGCAAGAGCGTTGTTTAAATACATGGCCAGCCGTGTGGCGGAGATAAATCCAGCATCTGCGGCACGCCTTGGGCAAGCTGCCATCATTCCTATTTCTCAGAGATCCCCAACGGAAAAAAGCCCTGCCGCACTACATTACATTGCCCCCCGCGATTGTTATCTTGGTGACTCCGAGGATTATGGCGATATATTTGATTTTGTGGACTTCGGAACGGAGGCAAACTTGTTTCTCCTCTCATGTGGCTCCAAGCGGCAGCCAACGCATTCCGAGCTTGCATCTATTCTTGTCAAGGAACCTGCACGAATATCCTCTAAACTTCAGAGTTCTGAAAAATATCTAAAACTGTTACGCGGGATAGCTGAGAACATGTCCGTCATCAGGAAGGACAAAGCCCTCTTCGCAGAGATGAAACGAGCACCATTTCTGTTCTCTAGCAAGGAAATTCCTCGCACTTCAAACACCAAGAAATCAATGATAGATATGGGAGAATCCAGCGATGAAGATGATGACCAGGCTATTAAAGAGTGGCACTTAACAAGAGCGTCGGATGCTGTTATAGTTGATGATTACTCCAGCTTTAGCCTGTTCAAGGAGAATCTACTGGCTGCTCCACAAGAAGAATTGCTCGAAGATATGTACTCCACGCTTGGTTCTCCGAATTTGAGTAGTTTGGTCGACGAGACAGCGCAGTGTGGCAATCTCAGTTCAGACCAACGTAACGCGTGGAAGCTACAAAAACTCATCTATGAGAGGTCACGACTTTTCTTACACGATCTACCGCGTGATTCAATTCGCCATGATACTCGATGGCTGGAGAAAAATCTAACTATCCAATCAGTACAAAGCATAAAGCTTCGACGCTCTCTTCGTGGTTGGGGAATGTCACATGTGGAAGACCGCAGCGCGGTTATGACACAGAAACTAAGTAGTGTTGTCCTCTCAATTTCTGAGGGTAGACCTGATTTATATCAGATCAGTCAGGCTCTTGTAAGCACTATATTATTGAGGCCCAAGCTTCACTCTACTCTTACGTTGGAGATGTTATTGAAGACAGATCTGCTAGAGCTTCGCGCAAGAGGGTATAATGTGGAAAGAATCCTTCGCCAAAAAGCAGCAGAAGCAAGAATAGCTGAGCAGCAACGACGGGATCAGCACGAAAAAGAGACGCAACGGACGCAGGAAATGCAGGGAATGGAACAAAGACGAATAGAAGAACTTCAAGAGTCACAACGGCAGGCAGTTCAACAACAACACGAAGCAGCTATGCCTGGAATATTTCCAGATTCCCCTACGAACTCTTCAGCCAAGCGCCAACCTCTACCTGCACCTACGGACCCAGGTGAAAATCACCCACCAGGTGGCCTATTTTCAGATCTTGCAAAACGATTTGGCCTCAGTGATTACGCCCACAAGAAACCTCTCGACAGCATTCAACGGGGCTCGAAAAAGCGCCTGTCTGACAAATCTATCCCAGGTGACCCAGGTGAAGACGAAAAAGACCCTCCTCCAACCATTACTACTTCCCCAGAGGCTCTACAGTCACAATTGCAATTTGCAATCAATGCTTCACGGCCGTTCAATTCGAATGAGCTCCATAGTCAGGAGCAACAACGGGAGATTGAAGAGAAAAAAACATATTGTGATGAACGCCCAGCTCAAGATCTCAAGTTCCTCCGTATGTTGGGCGGCGTGAAGATATTCATTGGAAAGGAGCCCAAGGATCCAGATAGCTTTCTTCGCGCAAACCACTCTAAAGTGGAGGTGTTTACCACGATATTAATAGACTGTGCTAAGATATTTGGGCTTCGTCTAGAGACCCTTAGCATATTCTACGACACCAGTGGTAAGACCATTGCCTTTAACTCTGGTGGTAGCTTGTTCTGCAACTATGCATATTTTGAGCGTCTCCACCTCGAGAAGGTAGCTCGAGGTGAAAGGAGGGAAGGACTAGTGTATTGGTTTGTGATTCTATGTCATGAGCTTGCGCATAATATTGTGTCTGATCATGGGGCACAACATGGTTTTTATACGTGAGTTCTTAGCCTTCTAATTTCTATTATTGAACTGGGGTACTGACTTGATGGTGGTATGAACAGTGAAAGTCTTGTTACGCAATATTTTGATAGATGCAATCAAATACTGGCAACGAAATGATGCAACGCACTGTCTAACTAGGCTGATAAAATGTGGTTATCTGTTTTTGCATTTTGATTGCATTCGCCTATATACACAAAGTCGGCCCAATTGCTCTGTTTTGTCTGGTATAGATATGGGTATTTCTATAATCCGAATACGTTGGTACAAAGAAAGGCGTTGGTTAAGTATAGCTCTCAGCTTCTTCGATAGATGATTGATGCATGTATAATATTATTAGATTAGACCCATAACGATGGAACTGTGTAAATACACTCTTTTGACTGCGTATTAAAGTACATTCCTGTCCTTTGACCGTAAATATACGCTTATTCATATAACATATCTACAAGGCCTTGTCTATATTCCACATACCAAATCTCTCGATAGATACCATTATATACAAAAAATCTACCTCACTGTAATCATCTTGAACTTAATATTGGAGGACCAACTTGGAGAGTGTCTCAAAGTTTGGAGTTCCAAGTCCAGTAACTGGATCCCAGCCGCGGGTAGCATTCCAGCTAGCACCTGGAACATATGGAGTAGGAAGATGGCTGTACTGATCGGTTCCAGTGCAACCATCAGATCCACCGTGGACGATATCAGTAAATCCGCTACGGCCGATGGTGTAGAGCCATGGGTTCAAGAAGCCGAGCCTTGGCTTGTGGTGGGCGAGACGGATAGAGTTGAGGATAGAAACGACACCAGCAAAGAGAGGAGCAGAGGCACTGCAGGTTAAAGTTAGTCATAGAGTGGCAAGGGTAGGTTTATTTCGTAGCTTTCAGAACAAGGAAAAACCTACCTAGTTCCCGAAACTCCAATTGTTCTTCCATGGTCACGGGTGGCAAACTTATAGGACTGGGCAGAGACATCGGGGAAACCTCGTCCGCTGGGGTTGTACATGCCATCCCACTTGCCGTGCTCAAGTTCATGTTGGAGGTAGTGGTTAACATCGAGCTCCTGATACCATGGGCGAGAGAAACGTTCGGAGAAACCGCCAGATGAGAAGTGAATGGCAACTTCAGGGTTGATCTGGTGAGTGCCACCAACCGAGGTCACGAAGGGGCAGGCAGCTGGGAAAATAGGGTTGAACTTGGTTATCTTCTTACCATCGTTGCTCTGGCAGGCGCTACCGACACCAGTATCACCACTGCTGAAGATAACGGAAACACCTCGGGCACCAAGACGAGCAAACAGGTGGCAGGCAGAGTCAGTGTACTTCTTGGGCACACTCTGTTCGTTCTCGCCATAGGAGGTGGACAAGACAGCTGGGAGTTCGGAATCTGGGAGACCAAGGAGGTAGTGAAGCTGTTCGAGGTAAGGCTCATTATTGTTGTTGGTAATGTTAGGCTGGTCGAGGTCAGGGATGAGCATGCCTCGTCCTGCGGTGCCGTAGTAGGTAGAGAGAGCACCAGACAAACCAATGGCATAATCAACATCCAAACTGGCCTCAACACTGTCGAGGGAGGAGTTTTGTTCATTCTTTCCGCCGTTGATAGACTTGAAATCGAAAGTTGTTCCCTTCAGGGATGGAACAAACATGTCGATGAAAGTGCTGAAGTCATCAAGTCTAGCATATTGCTCAAGGTACCCAGAGATACCGAGCCTGTTGCGTGGGTCTTTCTTAGCAAAAGTATTACCCATCTTGTAGAGATCTCGAATGCAGTCCGGGGTTATGGTGACGTTGCAGTCAACATCCGCAGAAGAGGTAATTTCGAGGTCAGAAGTGAAGACGCTGCTCAACTCAGGGCGAGGAGCACTGAACTTGGTGGTTGGCTGGATCATGTGGACGTATGGAGCAACGGTTTCGGCAACGGAATACTGCAGGGTACGGATGACCTGGGTGTTGTCGATGGTGTTTTTGAAGTTGTAGAAGCGGGTGTTTAGGAGCTTCTCAGCTTTCTGGACAGTGGTGGTGAAGGTGAGCCAGTCGGTGTCGGCCTTGATGGAATGCTTGGGAATACCCTCAGAGGCCAACCAATTGAAGACAGAGTCAGTCATATGGGCTGGTGGTTGGAGGAAAGCATCAACCTCCTCCTGGGTCATATGCTTGCCATAGTTTTCATGCTTCGGATTGGAGATATCCATAACATGCTGTTCGAAAGCGGCGGCCTTATCTTGCTGAAGGGCAAGCTTGAACTTCAGCTGAGAGGATGGAGCTGGAGAGCCGGTTTGCACCCATCCTTGGGGAACTTCATGGAGCTGCTCGAGTACCTGGAAGTCACCAGAGATGTGGGAGGTTGGAGCAGCAGTAACCAAGGCTGGAAGGCTGACCAGACAGGCGCCAATGGCCCGAAGAGTGAAGGAAACCATGATAGGGAAAGGCAAGGAAAAGCTGCCCCGTTGCGATGTCTTCTCCAACTGCGACTGTCAGGGTCTTTCAGAGGAAATGCCGAACCAGATATATATATGCTCGAAGCTGGCCAATTTCCCGGCGCTGCCCGCTGGGGTACGAGAAGGGAAGCTCGGTTGGAAGATAGCTTCTGTTCTAGAACACTTTCCTATCGTAAGGTCAAGGAAACAACACGATGTGCAAGGAGTCACAATCCTTGCAAAGCAAAGTGTATACATAAATTTCCCCGGGAGCTGCGGGTCCTGAAAGCAGCGGAGAAGCGTATAAATATTATTATCGTTAAGTTGACAACGGGGGTTATTAACGCGAAAAACCCTTGACAGGAATAAGAAAGCTGTCAATGGCGCAAAAAGGGTTTCCCCTTGCCTCCTCCCTTTGAAGGAATATCATTCTGGCAAGGATCGTACAGGACCTTCAAATGGAAGACCCTGACCAATCGATAGAATTAGTCTCATCTCGCTGCCGAGGGAGAACAGGCAAATATCCAGGGGGTGGAGAAATGATCGGCATTATGGCAACTCTTGGGGAGAGAAAGGCAATTCATCCATTGGAAGAGCAAGGCTGAGATTCACTAGTTTGGAAATCTGTGTGCCATCTCTTTATTGGAAGACCCTGCACGGCAACAAACAGGTCGACTCTGTAGCGTCCCGCACGCTATTCCGAGAGAGAGAGCAATATCGTGTTGCTATTAGGAGTGGCAAACATCTCGAGGACTTGGATGAGAAGCTGTGCCGTGCTCCGTATGTGAGCGATGCGTTTGCATGGTACGGGAGCAAAAGGTTCCCCCCAGGATGGAGATAAGTATATACGGGGACCAAGGCCCCTGTCACAGTTGCATTGCTATTCGCGAGATTGCGAGATTGGTCAAGCATTGCTCCGTTCTGCCAATAATAGCTTGGTGCTAACAAGCAATATACAAGCTCGTGTTTCTCCACCACTTGCAATCCCCCCAAAGAATGTCTCAACCGCCAGATGTAACTCCGTCTTATGGGCTTCTTTGGGTTGGAGTCGAAGGGCAAAGAAGTCGGAAGTCGAAATAACCTCTTGTGCCTGGCACGTGAACACAACTTTTAGTTATAGCCGAGGGAGAAACAATCGAAAAGGCGGAGTTGTGTAATATTGCTGTGGTATGCATAACTCTTTTGCCATCAAGGCATCAGATCCCGGTCAGGATGACGGCCAAATCTCCGGCGTCACGAACTCAGAGTGCTGAAAGGCCGGTCAAGAAACAATCAGGCTAATTTCTCCGGGGTTCCTTCGCTTATGCGATGCTTGTCATTTCGCTCATGCATGCAGGATGGCCATCTTTGCGGAGGAGCAATCCACCTTGCGAGATAACTGTATTATACATAGTAAGTAGCCAGCTCTATAAAAAAAACTTGTTATTATATGAGCTAGGATTAACCTACCCCGCTGGAGCAAATGGCGAACAACTCCAGGTATATTTGTTTGCTGGCGCGGAGAATATACCCTGTCCTTGGTTACATCCCTTCTCACAGCCCATTAACTCCTCTCATATAACTACGGGATATATACTGCCCCTCAATTGACATTTTACTTATCTTCCGGATGCACGGCTCTACCTTTCCCTTGGTGGTCTTATCATTATCGCTCTTGTTCCGACTTACTCCAGGGTTGCTATTCATCCTGGGGTAATCAGTGCTCAACTGGCCCTTGTCGAAAAGGAAAAAAAAAGAGCATAAGGTTTTTGTTAGTCCCATCTGCAGGACACGAAAATCATGGCCCTACTATGTATGTACACCACGAAAAATTCGTTTTCGCCTAGATGGGCGGGGCGGATAACAGCGAATGGGTTCGGCGCTTGAAACATGCGGAGGAGCGGAGATTTAGAGTTGAAGAATGCACTGAATACTCTTCCAGAACTCACGATCTATTATGGTTTATGCCATATTCCACTCTTTCGTTTAAAGGATCACGCAATTCGCAGAAGACCGTTGAAGCAGAATGTGGATGTCTTGCATAGTACATTCTCTTTACATCCCTCCTCGACAAACCCATCACCCTTGTCAAGGGTAGCCTGCGTTCCGAGGAGATATGTGCCATGATGAAGATGGGCTTGTACGAAGTGCTGGCTGGCTTCATCCAGAAACATAATGGAAATACTTGACACGGTCCGGCGGAGTGACAAAAACCTATACCGCCTTTATAGCATCTACCATTGCAGTTAGGCAGCCTATTCAATTCTGGACTTTGGCTCTCAACGTGGATGGAAAGATGTCTAAATATTAGAAACCTGGACTGATATCCCTTCTGGCTCTAGCCATTATACATTTTGTAAGAAGATAGATTGTCTACTGGAAGGACTTCTATCGAGATAGGGAAGCCTTTTTCTACATGATGAATTATTTCCAAGGCTCTGTATAAGGACTTTCTCGGTAAAAGTGCCTTATGAATATTCCTGGGCTTGCAAGTGAAGATTGTTTTCAACAAAAGAGTTGCTTCATGTCCATTTTTGCGCTACTTGAGGGTAAAAGAGACTCTTCCCAAACAAGAGGTGAATGTTCCCTATAGATGGCGTCCTTTGGATATTATTATTATGGTCTCTGTTACCTCAAGGCTCACACTCTCATATTAAAATACTTAACTCGTTTTTCTCTCTTACATCTTCTACTACTTTTTCTCTTTTCCTCTATGACCCCCTCTCTAGCTCGCACACCTACCCACAGTGTTTTTGTTTGTAGAGGCTACTAGCGGCCTCACAACATATCTAATACATATCTATCCCAACGCATTAACCCGGCTATTCCACCATGGCGTCTGAGAGTTTGCATATCTCAAATAATCAAATGGCATGGTACAGATATCCTTCTTAACATGTGTTACTATACTAATTGGCGTACTTAGCTTTAGCGGGGAAACAATTAACATCTGTGTTGGAAATGATTCATTCACAATCCATGAGAACTTGATCAAAGAGTCTTCACCATTTCTATGCAGCCTTCTGAGGAGGAAGAAACCTGGAGACACGTATGTCTTGAACATACCGGAAGAATACAATACAGCAGTGCAGTTCTATGCCAACTGGGTCTACAGACGCGTTATACCTTCTGCAGCTGGCTCGGAACTGGAATTAAGAAAGGAATCGATGACCTTAGCGAAGGCATACGTTGTCGGAAAGAGATTCGAAGACAGTGGCTTTCAGAATGCCGTGGTTGACCGCGTCATCGAAAGAGCAAAAGGAACATTTGACAAGAAACAGATACTACCAGATGCAGAAGCAATCCAATTTACCTACCAAAATGTGAAGAAGTGTTCGAAGTTCAAGGTTCTCCTGGTCGACCTGTACGCATCTCACGCTATCAGCGGCTATTTCTGCAAGCCTGCCTCCAGCAAGTACCCAAAATTGTTCCTGATTGAGGTCCTCTCGGCGGTTGCCGACATGCAATTCACCGGAAGGATGAGTCCTACTAACGGAAGTAAAAAGAATGCCTGCGAGCGCTATCACCATCATTCCTCAGATGCAGCATATTGCTAAAGTGCCGAGTAGGGGACCTGGAAAAGATGGGCCACCAAGCAATTGATACATGGCAAGATTTGGAGGATCGACGCTGAATTGGAGACCTGCTGGGCTTTAGGATAGCAATGAACTTTGAATAACAATATGTTGCATCAAACCATCTCTACTTTGTATATTTATCATCAATTTCTGGCTCAAGAATGCGCCGTTGGTGGAGCCAGAACTTTCCAGCCCCTCAAACTAGAGAGCCTATATTAAGTTAATTAGACTCGACAACGTTTGAGTCTTCTACACAAAGAAAATAAAACAACATCAACATTCACTCGTTTTGTTCCCCTCACCTGGACTCACTGGCCTGTCTTTTTCTTTCTTTTATATTCACTCTTCTGGATTGCGTTCTGTCCGATGCACTGTTCAAATTTCTGAACATTAACACACTCATAGGCGGTTGACTACTCTATGACGCGTGCAGGCCTGGATATATTTTGATAACGACACACTGGAATACAATAAAGGGAGAAAGAAAAAGGGGCTCCTCGAACTCGCTGGCCCCTGTTCGCCCGTCTGCGTCTCCAGGCTTCTAGTTCTCAGCTACCCGGCCCGTCCTGCAAGTGAAATCTTTTGATTCGCTTATTACCTGGTCTGTCCCTCCAGGGAACTTCCTCACAAGGCTGCGACATTGCCTCATACATATTCCTGGCTTTTATCTTTCATACCACCAAATTCCATCCTATTCAAACGCTATCTATACACCAAGCGCTTCATCAAGATCCAGATATGGAGATATTCTGCCGCAACATCCCGGAGCAGGTGCAAGAGAAACATTTGAGAAAGGAGCTCAAACCTATCCTGGAACACTTTCAGATATCCGCTTTTGATTTCCAAAAGGTGGGCAAGAAAAATGGTAAAATCACAGTTGCAGATGCGAGGAAAGGCCAGCGCTTCCTCGACGCATATGAATCCCGCCCGAGACCTACACAGGGCACATCCAAGCCATTCAGATCTCCCGCCACTCTGAAGCTATACGGTTTCGCCGTTCACATATGTAAAAGCCATAATGCACCCCATGATTTGCTTCTACGATCTCTTCAGGAAGAAGAGGAAGAAAAGCGCGTTGCACATTTTGCTCCCGCCCCAAGATCAATTACAGGGGAAATTAACAGGGTTAGACGTTTTCAGGTCACTATGATGTCCTGTGGATCGTGGGATTACCGTGAAAATCAACCAGTATTTATTGAATACTTTCGACTGCCATACACCGGATTCATCAATCTTGGGAAGACAGCATTTGATGCCACTTTTACAGATTTTCGCGATATGACAAAATATAGCATGGAGGTGCCCTACTGGAATATAGCTGACTCTATTTACGTGGGAGCATATGCTAAAGCATCCGTGACTATTACTACCTTTGTGGCCCCTAGGTTCTATATTTCTGATTCTATAGAGCAAGTGAAAGTGAAAATGGCACTGCTCGGGAAAAGCGGACGGCCACCACCAGCTAAGAGAAGAGTCGGCCACCTTCTACCTGAGCACGAGAAAACTGCTGCAAGATGTTTTACCTACCGATTTGCCCTTCAGGACCCCCGGGATACCGGTGTCGTACGTAACTTAGGTAATGACCGCAATATCCCCAAGATAAACACATGGAATGATTTATGTGTTTTCCCCCGACAACCATATCCCATTTTGGACAAGGAGCTTGATAGATACCTGGTCCGGATGCCATTCGACTACCGTGTTAAATTCCAGTTACAGAAACTAGTATGGAATGGAGATCTTTCACTGGACCGGGCCTCGCTATTTTTTCCTGTTGTCCTTCGGCTTTATAAACAACACAATCCTGATACTATTGCCCAAGCGCTTAGCCGACTAAGCCGAGACTTACAGTTTCCATCACCCGGTGTATTGCCCTCTGAGGTTGGAATTGAAGCAATTACAGAAGTTTTTGAAAACACTATCGACTCTATTCTGAGAAATGGGAGTGAGTTGGATTTCAACCTCGTTCATCAAAATAACGTGCTGGTGCATCGCGCAATGGTTACCCCTTGCGGAATTTATCTCCTCGGCCCGTATGCTGAAGTAAAAAACCGAATTCTACGCAAGTACTTGGGCAATACTGATTATTTCCTTCGTGTCGAGTTTCTGGACGAGAATGGTGATCCTGTTTTTTTCGACCCAAACGCAAATTTGGAGAAAATCTTTCATGAAAGGTTTTCTGGGGTTATGAAGCGCGGAATTGAAGTTGCTGGTCGTAATTTCAACTTTCTCGGATTCTCTCATTCGTCTTTACGATCCCAGACATGTTGGTTTGCAGCTCCTTTTACTACACCAGATGGGGAGTACCTCGACGCTAGAACAATAATCAACAGCATCGGTCACTTTGATCATATACGTTCTCCTTCCAAACAGGCGGCTAGGATTGGCCAAGCATTTTCTGATACCCTCACCTCCATCTCTGTCTCTAAAGAGGCTGTAAGATTGAGAGTACCAGATGTTGAGAGAAATGGACGTATTTTCAGCGATGGGGTTGGGGTTATTTCCCGCGAGTTGATGTACAAGATCTGGAATGAATATGCTCTGCGAGAGAAGGTGAAGCCAACTGTTTTCCAGATAAGAATTGCTGGTTAGTTCATAGTCCCCTTGCTATGCAGACGCATGCTTATGTCTACATCTTGCTCTCTCCTAATAGCCATGGAGGGAATATACTCTACCATAATATATTATTTTTGCTAACTTTTATTACGTTTAGGAGCTAAGGGGATGGTTTCACTTGATACCTCGAGACAAGGTGAATTCTTGATGCTTAGAGAATCCATGGTGAAATTTCCAACAGATGATTCATATAATATCGAGATTTGCGGAGCCGGTATTAAAGCATTGCCATTTTATCTAAACAGCCAGATTATCAAGATTTTGGAAGACTTGGGGGTTCCATTTGCGGCTTTCCATCAATTACAACAAGACGAAATTCTCTCTCTATATTCGACATTCAACTCCACAGAACAAGCTGCTAAATTCCTTGAGGATTCACCTGTACCTAGATCGCTCCGTTTGCCATGGTTACTCCTAGTCTTAAAGGGCTTAGGACTACGCTATACTCTAGACCCCTTCTTACATCGAATAATGGAGCTGACAACTCTATTGAAACTTCGTGACCTGAAATACCGCGCTAGAATCCGTGTCCCTAATGCTGTTACACTCTACGGAATAATGGATGAGACGGGCTACCTAAAGGAAAATGAAATCTACTGTGTGTTTCTCTCCGAGGATGGCCGACGAGAAATTCTTGTTCGTGATAACGTTGTTGTTACTCGGTCGCCAGCTCTACACCCAGGGGATGTTCAGGTTGTGAATGCAGTTGATGTCCCAGCCAATTCACCTCTTCGCAGGCTACATAACTGTGTTGCATTCAGTCAACATGGAGTTCGCGACCTTCCAAGTATGTTAAGCGGTGGAGACCTTGACGGAGACCTTTACAATATCATTTATGATACCCGATTGATCCCTCAACAGACTTTTCCGCCAGCCGATTATCCCTTAGTTAAAACTAGGGAACTAAACAGAAAGGTCGAAAGCAATGATATTATCGATTTCTTTGTGACATTTATGCAACAAGATCAATTAGGCCGAATTGCAACTACTCACCAGGCGATTGCGGACCAGTCATCACTTGGTACTAGAGATGAAACCTGTTTAAAGCTTGCTCACTTACATTCTGTTGCGGTTGACTACTCTAAGAGTGGAATCCCAGTACGTCTATGACCTATTCTCCATTTCTATTAACGGGTCGACTGACATGATATATAGGTCAATGTCTTGGATATTCCAAGGGCTCCCCGAATTCGCCCGGACTTTATGGCTCCGAGCCCCAGAATTCTGATTGAAGACAGCATTGAAGACAGCATTGAACACATCATACGTGAAACAGAAAAAACTGTCCAAGAGGACGACGATGACAACGACCGCCCAAGGATCCGATATTACAAGAGCCATAATATCCTGGGGCGCCTCTATCGTTCTATTGATGAACAAAGCTTCCTCCGTCGACTTCGAGACGTAGGAACGGTTAACAATGACAGCCGTAAGAGTGTACTGCAATCAATCTGGAGATATGTGGAGAAAGAGGTAGATGGTTTTTTTTGGAACCATCTTACAGGGATCTGTCATGACATCAAAGAGATGTACGAATACCTAATTATCCCTCCAACCGCTAGTGTGTCTATGGTTACTTATTAGGCTAATACACTCTAATTCCATTAGTTACGAGGATCAACTTCGAGAGTTGATGCGTCAATACTCAGCAACACCATGGAAGAGTTCTATCACAGAATATGAAGTAGTTGTGGGCACAATTCTTGGCCCCGGGCATAAACAACGTCGAAGAGACAAAGAGACCTCTAAGGAGATGCGAGCATGTGAGAAACCCCTGAAGGCTTAAAAAGATATACATCCTAACACCTCTGCTTGTAGCATACAGCCGTCTTGTTGAATTCACAATTTCTATGATCAGGGATACGGAATCTGGTGGAACAGAGGCCCTCGAGCGCTCTATTGCATGCTTTTGGGTAGCCATCAACGAGCAGAGTTTTTCACAAAAGCCAGGTTTTCGGAATGCAAATCAGGAGAAGCTACTTAGCTTTCCTTGGATAGCTGCCGTGACATGTCTGGACGAGGTTGATAAATTTCAGAGATCTGCTCCCCTCTGAACTCACATGTGCCAGCAATTTTAATTTTTTTTCTTTATTACTTCACCTTCATTTTTCTTTCACATTTCTTATCAGTTGTAATTAACGGCCTAATTGATGAAACAGAACGAATGAAAAAGGGAAGCTGGAATATGGAGGGCGAAAATTCGCTCCCGCCAAGGTTCTATTACCCATTCTCACGGATCACTAATCCCACAAACGCACAATATTAGATACACAGGCACAATAAACCTTTCCTTTTTTTCTTTAAATTTAATTCCCTAAAATTCTCCCGACAATGTTGTAAATAGACAGGCGCCCAAAGCTTTTCCTACCGTTTTATATTTAAGGGGAAAGTGACATCATAGTGCAAACAGTGCAAACAAAAAGAAAACTGAACATCAAACTCTCAACGATTTAGCAATTCCTTCTCTGTCTACATAGTCGGCATTTCATTCAGCTCGCCGTCGTGGTTTCTGTACGGAGGCCTAGCAGATGATGAATGAATCTTGGCTCTGTTTCAATTCACCATCATGGAGATCTCGACCGATGTTGTTTTGGAGGAAATAACATGGCGATCTCCTCAGCACGTCCAGTTGATGGGCGGCTTCATCCACTCCAACAACGGTAAGATTGAGCCTGTATACAGCTTATATACCCTACCTTTTCAACGAATAATAGCTAACTTTATTCTTGGAAGTATAGTTTTATTCTACTTTGCTGAATCTCCCTTCTTCGACTCCACATCAAATAATGCGACTCTCACATTGCAAGCAATGCATAATGAGAACTTTCGACAGTTTATCGAGACGCGCGAGGCATTCGAAGGGAGATTGAAGACTATGCAAGGGTTGGAATTTGTAGTGGCTCGTGATCCGATAGAAGAGGCCGCTGCTGCTGTGGCGGCAGGAAATGCGCCTCAGGAGCCCTCAAATATATGGGTAATTAGGAAACAGAATAGACGACGGCTGCCAGGGATGCAAGAAGACGTACAAATATTGGCTACGTACTTCGTCGTAGGGGATTCTGTTTACATGGCACCATCATTGATGAGTGTGGTGGGACGTAGAATGGTACCTATTTCGATTGGCAAAGCAAACTGTTTTCATCTACTAACAGCTTCAACTAGCTTTCTACAGTTACATCACTCACAAAGATACTTCCGGTTGCTTCGAAGGAGCTGCTCTTTATGCCATCTCATGGCCACACATACACGGCCCCTATTCAAAGACATACTGAGCCAAGTCAAGTGGGCGTACCCCAATCTGCGCAGGCAGGAAAAGAAGCTACACCCGTCCCCGGTCCCCAAAATACCTCGACTTCGCCATCGTCTTCCAAGCTAAGCGCAGCAGCAACCCAAGACATGAGGAATCTTTCGGACGCACTTAACCTTCTCTCTCGCTATGGAGATGAGTACATGGATGAGATGCCGCTGGTCGGTGAGCCAGGCTCGTTCATTATCTCGAAGAACGCTGGGAACTCTAGCAACACATTGGCAGTTCCGGGAACTGAGCATTCCGGGGCCAGTGGCGCAACGGCCAAATCTGTTGCTCGATCGCCATCAGGGACCCCGGTGCCAAAGCTAGGAGGACCAGACACGCCTGGTGCTTCGCCTGCACTAGGAGGTGTTTCTGACTTTAACCAGCCCGCCGCAGGGAAGGGCAAAAAAAGGGCTATCAACAATATTCTGTGAAGATACTCTGCTGTATAGAGGTGCTTCTATTTCTTTATGACCACCATGGCAGCTTTCTGTGATTAAAACCACGGAACCTTCACTCGCTCGGGCGCTATGAAATAACCTGGAATGGTTCTTTTGTATGTCACCAAAGAAGTTAATTGTACTTGAATCCTGAAGCTGAAGGAACAGGCTAAAGCGCATCCTGTAAACCTCGATGATGTATACGATGTCCCCACTTCGGCATGGAATACAATGAGTCAACATCAATTATCAATTTCGCATAATATAAAATATACACTTGAAGCGTCATTCCCCTCATAGCCTCTATAAATATAAATAAGTCTATGTACCTTGATAGGTTGAGATATTCTTAGAAACATACTTCAAATCGGCCGTTGAACCGCCTCATTAACTTCAAGTATACATAAAACTACTATCCCACGAACCATCAAGATGTCTGAAGCCTCCAAGCAAGCACGACCAGTTGTATGTGTCTTGTACGTATATTCCTTTATCTTTCCTCTTCGATGGTATAGTTAAGTTACTAACATATCCGATAGCTGCGGTTCGGCCGCTGGAAAATCCCCCGCCTATATAGAGGCAGCGCGCGCCCTCGCCCATCTTTTCCATAAAGAAGGCGTCAAACTCGTCTATGGAGGAGGTACGAAGGGCCTTATGGGTGAAGTCGCCCAGACACTGGTCTCGCTTTCAGGCCCTGAGTCGGTTCACGGCATTATCCCTTCGGCCCTGGTGAAGATCGAGAGTGGCCATCGTACCACGCTGGCTGCCACTGATAGTGAGGTGGCGGGTAAACTACCGGAGAGGACCGAATCCACAGAAGCAAATGGTGCAGTATCCGGAGACAAGACCAGCTTCGTGAACCCGGAATATGGTATGACTACTATTGTCCCGGATATGCATACCCGCAAACGCATGATGGCTGGGGAAGTTATCGCTGGTGGCCCTGGTAGCGGATTTTTGGTTCTACCTGGGGGGTTCGGTACGATCGAGGAAGCTATGGAGATGACTACGTGGAATCAGCTGGGGATTCACGATAAGGGAATTGTTCTGTTGAATATTGACAACTACTGGGATGGCGTTCTCTCGTGGGTTGGCAAGAGTGTCGAAGAAGGGTTTGTGAGTACAACAAACAAGGACATTTTGGTGGAATGTAAGGATGTAGAGCATGCTCTTGAGGCGCTGAGGAGCTATAAATTAAGTGAGGGGCGTTTTGGATTAACCTGGGAGGTGGAGTTTGGAAATGATAAGTGATAAACGGGGCTTGAAAACTGGCGTGGTTATTGTTGGGTGTGAATTACTAGAATGTCTTCGCTCATAGAGTAGAATTATACGGATATTTATGGTCTGGCAAAGGGTTTAATAAAATAAGAATTTGTCGTGGAGGAATTCATTGTAAGGTGGATGAGCGCTTCAAGTAAAGGAGCAAAGAAGGGTTACCTCCGTGGCAAGCATCATCATGTCTTTGAGACCATAATCATCATCGTCATCATCACGAATCCACCTCCATTTCCTCTGACGGCTTAGTTTCCCCAGATGTTATCTCCTCATTTGCATTTTCGAGAAAGGCCGTCACGTCTGGTCCGTCGTATAACTTAAAAGTATCAAGTTTCCCCTTGGTAGCCGCGCTGGGAATTCCAGTAATGCCCACAGTTGTATTATCAATCGTCAATTCCCGGTCCTGTGACAAGCTTTCCTTCAATGCCTTCAATGCGTGAGTGATCAAAGCGTCACGCCCACAGTCAGCAAACGAATCCAAGTTCCTTTCTAGATATGTTCTGGCCATCTGGCTCCTGGCTCCGATTGCGCATGCAACCATCTCCTGAGTCATACCGGAGGGCTGGAACTCAAAGAGATGAGGTCCTGCCTCATCAACACCGGCAATCAACAAACCGACACCATAAGGTCTCTTGCCGTAGACCTGTGTGTTTGTTTGTGCACGGTCTCCGATCCGGCTGACTATACGTTCTACCTGAAGAGGACGGCCGTATGTCATCTTAGAAGCTAGGGATTGTTGTTTCATAAAGTTGGATAGAACACGGGCATCAGAAGCAAGTCCGGCAATGGCAATTCCCATGTGGGAATCAATAGCAATGACTTTCTTTTGGTATGAAGATAGCTCCTCCGCATTTCGCTATACATGCAGTTACACATTAGATTTGCCCTATTATTGTTGAGTGCTGGGTTGTGGTGTCCTACCTTGAGGGCAGCAAGGACAGCATGTGTCTTGCTGACTATACCGACTACCACAGAGCCCTGCTTAACAGCTTCCTGTGCGTATTCCACCTGGAATATCCGGCCTTGGGGGGAGCTATTCTGGCATCAGCGACCATAACCTCTCCATCTCTAGATCAGTCAACTCACAAGGTAACGGAGTCATTGTCGTAGTTGTTTCTAAACATGGCTGCTGTAATATGACAGTGACAATAAGAAAACGTATCCCGAATAAAAAACCAGTCCCAGGTGAGTGAAAAAAACGATTGCTGTTGGAGACGTTGCTGTTGTTTATGATACTTTTCGACTTTCTCTCTACAAGGCAGAAGAAGACGCGGTAGCTCGCAGCCCTTTTTGGGTTAGCGCCAGAGCTTTGGGAGGTTGAGCTGCTTATATAAGCACATTACATCGTCATTTGACAAGATGAAGGAGATGCGAGGAGACGAAGACGAACGCAAAAACATCCGCCTGCCTATAGTCGAGCTCTGTTCTGTTGATGACTTGTTAATGTGATAGTGATACGACTGCCTAATCCCATATCCGACCCTTGTATTTTGCCGCTGAGCCAGGCGTCAGCCTCTCTCACAAATATCTCTCTTCTGCCTAGCAAGATGCCTGGCCTTAAGACTATCATCGCTCTCTCCTTTGTAAGCTTGCAAAGATATTCTTACTGCTCACCTTTGATGATATTTTCAGCTAATTTACTCCGTCAGGTTCTTGCCATCGGCTTCCTACTAGTCATTCTCTCCGCAGCACTATGGCACAACTATCTACCGCTTCTTGTAGTTGCGACATATGTCATTGCGCCCATACCGAACTGGATATGCAGCAGATGCGCGAGTTCCGATGATTTTATGGAAAGCTCGAACAGCGGTGTGGTGGACTTTGGACGGTGGTTTACTGGCTTTTTGGTGGTGATGGGAATCGGTACGTTAAGGCTTCTTTTACGTCTAAAGGACGCTTTTTACACCACATCTGTCCCATGTATCGCTTGTATTCTTCCCTCATCATGCTAATTTATCCCTTGTGGTAATAGCCCTCCCTGCTGTATTGGCTCATAGCGGTGCAATCCAAGTTCCAGCCATGGTCATGTCAATCTTAGGTGGCCTATTAATATACGGAACAATCATCAGCTTTTCGATGTTCTTCCAAGAAACAGAAGAATTTTAGCGTATCCGAATCTCTTTGCTAAGCCTTGCTTCACTTGCGTGTTTTTTCCTCCTCCGGCATCTGGAATAGCTTGTCGTCCTCGGCCTGTGGCAACATATCCATATGCATGCCTTTATCGACACCAAACCACCGGCTTCTATCGAATACTCTTTACACTCCCAGCGGATTCTTTCGAAGTTGTGATCCGGATGCTGCCTTTATACACATTCATGGCGGATAGCACACTTCCTCTTCTTGCGTTTATGATCACCCTCGGCGTTATAATGTTTTGATTTGACTGTATGATAACTGGTCCTTTTTCGTATACTTTTCAACTGAACTCTTCTGGCGTCTTTCCATTTTTCATATCCCCTTACTCACGGTTATAGACCCAGGAGCCATAGTTATGGTAAAAAAAGGTTATCAATAATCACGTGTCTCTACGCGCTTGGAGAAGCCGCGATAAACTCCATATTCGGTATTTATGATAAGCAAAACCACTTAAACTCGAAAAGTCTTCCTCTCGGGTTTATTTTAAAGAATAATACTCTATTGTTACTCTGTCTCTTTATGCTCCTACATTGTATATTATAATTTCATATATATTAAATGGAGGTATGGTCTGGTGCCATTGACTCTGGCCCAACTACACCACTGACAGGTATGACGGATGGATAGTTGTTGCTCCAGACATGACCGTGAATTGCTAACTTTTATATAGGTATACGCTTGATCGACCCTAACTTTACAAACCCTAGCAATTTATTCCGGAACGCGAAGCTGTCTTTCCGAGCCTATGTCAATCCGAGCAGAATTCCCATTGTCTGCTTTACTGGCCCGTCTCTAGAGCTTCATTGCTCCGAGCACAAGACAGTAGACTGGATCAGACATAAGCTGTTACGTACATATCGGACAGAAGGAGAGGACTATGAAGAGCTCGCTCCTGTGCAGCAATGCCCGGTTGGCATCCTCATTCGTGTTGACGAACAATCACCCTCCCCAGAAGTGGATAATAACACCAGCTTGAAACATCAAATGATATCAGATATCCTTATATTTGGAACATTGTCAAGGCCCAGCCCCCGGAATGACTGTCCATCATCCCCACAGCCTTCTTCGATGACAGCAGATGGCCAACTACCTAAAGATGGACCACCACCGCTTGAATTAAGAGTGTATGCAATCCCTCTGTGTTCAAGTAACTTCACTCGAGTTCAGTCACTCTCTACTCCACCCGTTAACTCGAGGTACAGCTCAGCTGGGATGATACAGAATGAATCGTCTGGCGAGTTTCTACCAGATAGCTACGGCTCCTCAAGCCCAAAGAGGAAGAGGGTTGCAACTTTATTCGAAGCTGCAGCAGAATATCACAAGAATGTTAGGAGGAAGGGGGCAGCAGCAATGTCTGAATATTTCACGAGAGAGAAATCAGCCACGCCTCAGTTCCCCCTGCTTCCGTCTAATATCAGAATCAAACGAGAGAACGAGAATAACCCAGAATTTAGCAGTAGCCTGAATGACGTTAACCTTACTAGAAAGCGTGCCACTTCAGTTGCAAAAGATATCCGTGCTGGCTCCAGGAGACCGTCATTGCTTCGCCCTAGATCATCAACGTCTCAAGTTTTATGCACGTCAAGCCGCAAAGAGCTACCAAGCTCCAAAGCTGACGGTTCCAATCCCCAATCACAGCAGAGTCAACAATCCAAAAATCCAAATCTAGACCCACTTGAAGATATCGCTGCTAATAACAAGGCTTTATTGACCCGTACAATTCTCACATGCATGCGTCTTTATGGTTTTCGTCGACCAAATACCCGAACTACCTCAAACTTTAATCCCTCCTCTACGATAAGACATCTACCGTCACCCAACGATACAGTCATAAAATGTGACCCAGAAGAAGCTAGTGGAAGCCGCAGACAAGATATTTTCAGCCATGCAAACTTCGCTCAGCTAGGGGACTTGGGCAAGATGCATACACCTAACCCGGTCGACGGTTTTGATGAGCGGGAACCCAAGCCAGAAGCCGATGGAGATGACGATATGGGGTTCAGGGAAATATACCACGCTACATACCGGGCTTCTACGTTTGCTCTAAGGCGTTTTTTAAAACCCTCTAATCCAGCTGTCGGATTACCGGGAAATGCGGCTTGTGCTCACGATGTTCCAATATTAGGGAAGGACAAGGCAATGAATACTGTGGACTCTGTTTTAAAGCTATTCTGCGAAGCATCAGACGGAGAATAGCTTAGTATGGGTAAAGATGTAGTAATGAATAATGATTAATACTATAGATATTTTTGTTATATATTCTCTTTCTTGGTATATAGTGAATTTATATAAATATTGGCCAACATTACTATTCAATGATCCATTAAGATAAAAAGGGGAACTTTGAGAGAGGCTGGCGGCATAGTTGGATAATATATATCCTCGAAACCTCAAGAATGTATCCACCTTTATGTCTGCTTTGGCAGATAATTATACCGATATATTTTAGCATTATCCCAAGATGAATGTAGGACATCACCCCTCAGCATACAGGACTCCATCTGGCGGGTGTTATATTCTGTCATAATGTCTTCAAACAGTTAGCAAAGTGCGATTAAACGATTCAACCTAGTCTGTACTAATTATGAATGCTCTACCAACCTTCAGAGTATTGATAGAAATACCGGAAATAATCCCTATACCTAGGATTAAGAGAACAAGATTGCTATATTATTTAGCTTCTTGTATAATATATAGACCCCAGGACCAACGGATAGAGTACTAACTGCTTCACAAGGAACCACACACACACACGTGATGTTCGCAACTTGAGGTAGACCCTATTGGGTCTACATTAGAAAATAGACAATATATTGCACCAGGGAGGTAGGCTATGATAGTAATACATTAGTAAAAGTCTAGGAATTTATGAATATACATAGAAGCTGGAAAAAAGGTGAGGGTGTTAATCTCACATATATCCTTCAATCATATACCTTAGCTCTTCTCAACGAGGATAAGGCACCCACGGTTCCAAGAGCAAGCCACTGATAAATAGTGATGACTGGATCAACAAATTGCTAGTAGAAAAGATAGCGAATGTGTCTCTCATAATAAAGTGTCTAAATTCACAAGAGGTTATGTAAATTTATTTCCATTATAAAATTCTTTTGACATAAAGTCATTAAATATGTTTCCAAATATTTAAGACCACTCCCTGGGCTTCTTATTGCACCTTATAACGGCACTTTATTTTGTTAAAGCCCAGCGACCCCAGCCAGTATGACTGGAGTCGAGTCTCGCGTTCCTAGTAAATGGCTCTTTATGATTGCGTTTATAAAGATAGCAAATCAACTAAATGTTTAGGCCAGATACTAGTCAATACAGAGAATAACGGAGTCCTCTGATATTTTATAGGGTAATTGTGTGGGTGAGCAGAAAGGAAGAAGAGGGAGAGGGAATTTCACAAAGAAGTTGGGATCAAGAGGTATTTATATATGTCTTGTTAAATTGGTGACGCGCTAAGGCTAAGCGAGAATTCAACTGCGGCAGCCTACTGGTTCATGCGTTACCTATAAATTTCTATAAGTAACAGTGTGCTTGGTATAATAAAGGGAGAGCTACTATTGGAAACGGCCTGAGCAAGTAGCAGTTAACTAGCACAGCAGAGGCTATAAAGTGCATTATCCATAGCTTCAGGTATAGTGTGTGAAGAAACATAGCCGTTAACACACGGAAATGCATACAATAAAATCGGTACATTCGCTAAGGGATCCAGACACGTATTTTTCATAAAGGATATTTAGGCAGAAGGATATTTATCCGAAAATCATCCGATTAGAACAAGTCGGAAGGCTCCCCCCAATCCAGCCTCTTAAACATAGATACAGAGAAGCTGACTGGAACGTAAATCATAGCTCGTCGGGTATTATGCTATTTTCACAACCTATCTCCTTCAACCTCCCATTGAAACCATGGTGGTTGTACTCTTTAATTACGTGCAGTGGGTATATGTGCATTCCGTATGGTCAGCCTTTGTAAGACAATTCAATATTTGATCAATAAATAGCCATGGTATTCATGCCCTCGAAAATATAATTGCTGCCTTGAAGAGTTGATGTAGATAGGAGCTTGGGCCAAGTAAATATCACGTGATTTCTATTACATAAGCTCAGTGACGTTTTTAGTCTCCAGGCGCCCGTGATGCACTTTTGCTCTGAAGCCGACATTGATCAAGGGATAATATCAATCGGCCCTGACCTGGGATAAAGATTATATCGGAAGGGTACAGCCTTGCGAGCGTATGTTTCACAGCTCTTTGGCATTTATTATAAGACTGGCAAGCTCGATTATCTACGACTCACTATACCAATACGCCCATCATGGACGATTCAGACAACCGTCTATTCCGGTTCACAAAGTGGTTTAACAACGCCAACGCGCGTACATCCGGCATATATGCCTCTGGCGCATTGGTATGAATCCTTCTATTCTATTTCTTCTATGTCGTACCCCTGTTTCTTCTGTCCTTTGCCTATTCTACACTGAGTGATGAATATCTCCGCTCCCAAAGTTACTGGAATGCATCTGGCTAACAGTAACATGTCTCTCTATCTAGTTCTCCATCGGCCTATTCTTCCTCATCGACGCAGCTTCGTTCTCCCATAGCTCAAGAAACGGTTCGACTGTCCATGTTAAGTTCGTAGACTGGATCCCCGGCATCTGCTCCGCCTTGGGGATGCTGGTCATCAACTCTATCGAAAAGTCACGCCTGAGTGCGGATAGCTTTAGCTACTCTGGAGACAGCGTCGCTTGGAAGGCGAGATTTGTTTTGTTCTTGGGGTTTGCACTGTTGGCTGGAGGGCTAGCTGGGAGTGTTGTACGTTGAGCCTTCACGGTTCTCACTTTCTGTGTACCTGTGCTAACATGCTGTCTTAGACGGTTATGGTCCTGAAGTATGTCATCCATGGATATCCCCTTCAAACGCTCTACTTTGGTATTGCGAATGTGATTGCAAATGCAATGGTGATGATGAGGTAAGTTTGTAGCTAGTCCTAGTTTGTTTTCTGAGGTCTAATCGAATATTGTTCTAGCTCGGCTGTTTTATGGATTGCGCAAAATATGGAGGACGACTATACATACACCCTTGCTCTATAATTGGCTAGGCTACTTTCGTCGGCTTGCCCTTTGTTCACGTTATCCATGGTTTTCCCTGTTTTCTTTTTTTATTGATCCTCTTGTAGAATATATTGAGCAATGATATCGGTATAGCGTTTCGTATACGCGTCTCGGGATCACTCGAGCCTATATTCCACAGGGACACATGTATCTTATACTTTACCCAAGGCTAACACCATGGAGTTGGGCACTCTGGTTATGAATTCAATTTACGGAAGTGAGGTTATTTATTAGATATGTTCAGATTTCAGGTATATTGTTTATTATCTCTTAGATTGTCTAGGGGCTGTGTGTGTATATCTAGCCATGACCTCTGTTGGCAAAAACTTCCTCTTAAGGTCGATAGAGGGGTTGGTTATGGATTGTCCAAGGGACCAGGCGAATGCTTACGATTCCCTGGTCCAAGCTGTAGTCGGTATCAGGCAATACACCTCGTCGTTTAGGTTTATAACGACGCTTTTTGACAGGGAGTAGCAGCCTTCCCCGCCTTATCAGTCCAGGCCGTCGCTTCAAGCATGCATGGCTGCAAGAAGTTAAGCTGAGCTCTCTTTACCCCTGTCTGTAAAATAGAGCGCCGGCTCATGGTATGTTTGGGCGCCACCCTTGCTGTCTGCCAACAATTCAGGTAGAGTTATGTCACAAGGGCGTATAACTCAAGCCTGCTTGAGGTAGGAGATTATAGCATCTATCCTACCCATATCACCAGCGTCGACTTTCTCATCAGGACCCACAATTTCGGCTGGCAAGTGCTCGCGCAGCTGATCCAGAGCAGGCTGATAGTTCCGCACACACGAAGATATGGCATATATGGCTTTCCGGCGGACACTGACGTCGCTATCTTCTCTGGCCATTCGAATTAACTCTGGAATAGCCTTGGCCTCCAATGCCTATAGAATATTCATTAGTCGGTCAATGCGAATATACCTAGAGTAAGGGAGAAATGTAATACCTTCTCCTGGGATTTCTCGTTATTCTGTACGGCCGTACCAACACACCACGCAGCCATTTTCCGTATTTCTGCCTCCTCGTCCTTCAGTGTTTCCACCAACGGAGGCCAGAGGCCCAACGGATCCATATTGTTCGCATTATCGAGGTTCTCGACCAACTGCTCAAAGTTGTCGAAGGCGATAAGCTTATTCTCCAATGTGCTTTCGGAAGAACGCACAACTGCCATTGCTGTCTTCATGAGTTCTGCGTCAGAAGGGGTATTTGCCAGGAGGCGCTGAAGGGCCTCTGCATCGATGGGTTGTCTGGTAGCTGCGGGTTCGGTTCCATTTGCCTGGCCGCCGGCAGCGGGAGTATTCTCGATACTCCATTTCAGAAGATTGTTCAATGAGGGGTCCATGGCGGGAGGCACCTTTGGTCCTGAGGTTAACTTTGAGGTATGAGATGACGCTGGTAGGCTCAGGCGGTGCGCAGATGAGTTTTATAGCTGTGAAATTACCCTTGCAAAGACCTGTAATTGTTCGTCTTTAAAGCGAGCAACAAAAATCATCACTGGCAGACAAATTTCTCGAAGAGCCCGCGATGTTCGATAAGCTTCGATCCACTTATATTTGATTACATAATTAATTGTTATACAGCGTTATGTTTGATGGGCCGTACATATATTTGGCACTTATCCTTCAGTTGCCTGATTTACTTGATGATGGGGGTAAATTATGCATAGCGACTATACCAGCCTGTGAATATGTCCGTGTATGAGTTGCTCCCTTTCTCAGAATTTCGGGCAGCAAGTATTCACTCTAGTGCATGCCCATGTATTCCTTATTCCGTCCATCCGGTGGAATGATCACTTACTACATAGTATGTACTGCTGTATGTGTTCATGGTCGTGAAGGCCTCGCTCCGTTGTCAGGGTGATGACTAATACGTCTTCACCCCCTTTTCCGGTTCATCCTTCACGTGACTGTAGAGCGTCGAGGAAGAAGAAGAAAAAGGACGATGGCAAAAGACATCAAGCCCAGCCGAAGAAGCTGTTGGTTGGGCCTTTGGGCTGTTGGGTAATCATTACGTAGGCCCCTAAGCCGACTATCGAGCCAGGCTTGGGGGTAGTTAAGGAGCAATATGGCGGTGGAAGGAGGTTGCCAGGCCCAAGGTCATGCCATGGAACGGAGTATTAATCAGTAGGCAGCAGGATCCTTTCTCCAGTCCACGCTCACCTCACCAGGGGATTAGTCCATGGATGCAAGCATGTGTTCTGTCGCAGGAGGTGTACTCCGTACATGGAGGCCGTAACTGTTAAATGACTGCTTAGGGGGGCCCAGCGAAAAGGCAGCCATATTTCTTCGGGGTCTAGGAAGACGAACATGACGACGACTTAGGCAGCAACATGAAAGCAGGACAAGATAAAACGTAGACCATCTTCATCTTCTTCTTCTTACTATCTTCCATCAGCATCAGCTTCTGTTCATCTTCATTACAAGAGTAAACCGGTGAAAGGACGAGGCTGTCTCCTAGAACGAGCCAACCAGGAGGTGTTCTTGTTTTCCCACACTAACTCAGCCCGCCTCTTCTTCTCTCCACCACCGACCTTCTTCCACCAACGTCTTCCTCTTCTCTTCTTTTCTTCTTCTCCTATCTCAACAACCCTTCAGCCCATCCATCTCTTGTCTCTCTCCCTGCATCTGCCAGCAGGCTCTTCGCTTCTCAGATCCATCTCACTACTCTTCTCTTTCTCTTGTCCTTTAACTTGTACTATCAGTCGACATGGAGGGTATGTTGCGAAACCTCCCCTCCCCCCCCAAAGCTCTACTCTAGCCCCCTACCCGCAAACACACCCCGTCCTTCGTCCTCCGTGCTGCTGGCTAACCTGTCTCCCTCGTACAGAAGAAGTCGCTGCCCTCGTCATTGACAATGGGTAAGTCTGCGTTCTTCTTCCAAAGCAGCCCGACTTCGCTGTTCTGCCCGTTTTTTTGAACAAGTTGTTGTCTCGCTCTTCGCCACGCACAACAACACACCAACGAAACACACACACACCCACGCACACCCACGCACACCCACGCAGCCTCAACCTCAGCATCGCATTTCGTCGATGTAGCAAGACCAGCTTGATGGACCAGTAGACTGCTTTTTAATCTGCCTGGAGAAATGCTGACTTGATTGATTATTATAGCTCTGGAATGTGCAAAGCCGGTTTCGCCGGTGATGATGCCCCACGAGCTGTCTTCCGTATGTTCTCCCTCCCCTCTTTCTCTCCTGAAAGGCGCCTTGTGCTAACTCTTTGTCTTCTAGCATCCATTGTCGGTCGTCCTCGTCACCATGGGTAGGTTTACTTGAACGAGAAAAAAAAAAAGACGATACTGACCATGTAAATATAGTATCATGATTGGTATGGGCCAGAAGGACTCCTACGTCGGTGATGAGGCACAGTCAAAACGTGGTATCCTAACTCTGCGATACCCCATCGAGCACGGTGTCGTCACAAACTGGGATGATATGGAGAAGATATGGCATCACACCTTCTACAACGAACTCCGTGTCGCCCCAGAAGAGCACCCAGTCCTTTTGACTGAGGCTCCCATCAACCCAAAGTCCAACCGTGAAAAGATGACCCAGATCATCTTCGAGACTTTCAACGCTCCAGCCTTCTACGTCTCCATCCAGGCTGTGCTCTCCCTCTACGCTTCTGGTCGTACCACCGGTATCGTCCTCGACTCTGGTGACGGTGTCACTCACGTCGTCCCCATCTACGAAGGTTTCGCTCTGCCACACGCCATCTCCCGAATCGACATGGCCGGCCGTGACTTGACCGACTACCTCATGAAGATCTTGGCCGAGCGTGGTTACAGCTTCTCCACCACCGCCGAACGTGAAATCGTCCGTGATATCAAGGAGAAACTCTGCTACGTTGCTTTGGACTTCCAGGAGGAGATCCAGACTGCCTCCCAGAGCTCCACCCTCGAGAAGTCCTACGAGCTTCCTGATGGCCAGGTCATCACCATTGGAAACGAGCGATTCCGTGCTCCTGAGGCTCTCTTCCAGCCCAGTGTCCTCGGTCTCGAGCCCTGCGGCATCCACGTCACCACTTACAATGCTATCATGAAGTGTGACGTCGATGTCCGAAAGGACCTCTACGGCAACATCGTCATGGTAAGCTTTGGACCGTTTTTCCTTCTAACACCTCGCCCATACCGTAATGCTAACTATCTTCATCCAGTCCGGCGGTACTACCATGTACCCAGGTATCTCTGACCGTATGCAGAAGGAGATCACTGCTCTCGCCCCATCGTCGATGAAGGTCAAGATCATCGCTCCCCCAGAGCGTAAATACTCTGTCTGGATCGGTGGTTCTATCCTCGCCTCCCTTTCCACCTTCCAGCAGATGTGGATCTCGAAGCAAGAATACGACGAGTCTGGCCCATCCATCGTTCACCGAAAGTGCTTCTAAGGTGGGTTACCTGCCTTTGTTCTTCATTCTCGCTAGCTTGTTTCAACTCCTACCTTGTCTTGCCGGTGAGATAGCAACGATAGCTTGGAATTGAGCCTTGTTATGTTAATACGGACTACGTTGATATTTTAGCTTGACGTCGGAATAATTGATAGATAGAGAGAGAGAGCGAACACAAAAACAGACATAACAAGAGAGAACCAAAAAAAAGAAAGCAGCCACAGCTCGGTGATGCCTATATTATCACGCCCATTAACTCCGTATCGTACTCGCAATCAACAAAACAAACCTCTTTTTATCTATTCTCTCCTTTTCCCCAAAACTCCTTTCTTCGTCTATAGTACTCAGATTCAATTAAACATATCTTTCCTTTCACCTTCTCCACATGCTCACTGCTTCTCCCTCTTGCCCCTCCATCTTTCTTGATCCACGTGACCATCCAAAAAGTTCATCAACTTCTCATGTCTATAAGTAGTTTATCCACCGTTTAACTGTTTAAATCAGAATCCCGGTAAATAGGAGAGAAAATAACAGGATATATCACTTGTTCTAAGATGGCTGCTGAACCGATATATTCTCATCTTGAGATTGTAGAAATTTTGCAAAGAGTCATGTAATATGTCTTGATCTCATAACGAGGGTCTAGTATATACACGGAATGGCAAAGCAGGCTAAAAAGAAGATTCCAACCCTAAGCGCCTAAACGAAAGGTTATAAAGGTGAACCCAGCACCTAATAACGAGGGTATTTATAAAAGGATGCACGCACACTCGTACGGCAGACGAAGAGAATATATAAAAAGGGAAGAAACATGTCAAAAAGGGTTTTCAAAAAAGGTGGGACTCTTAAGAGCCAAAGAAGAAGAAAGAAAAAAAAGGGCCATAAAAGAGGTGGCGAAAGAAGGCGAAAAGGGGTAGAAAGGTCATGATCGTGGGTATGTATGCATGTAGGTATGTAGGTTGGTGTGTATATTGGCCGTTTGAAGGTGTAGAAAGGAAGGGATGGCGATGAAGGTATCACGCCGTTTTTCAGGGGCCTGCCTCCTCAGCTCGACTCTAGAGGAGCTTTTGGACCGAACTAGCGGTCTATTTACATTTTCATTTGGTTTTTGATGTTGTCGTATTGCGATTGTGGGTAGTTCAGCTGGTTTTGGCTCTTGTCCATGTTCTCTCGGCCTCCAAGGTGCTCAATGACCTGTCCACGATCGTGTTAGCATTATCAATTTTGCAAAGAAACGCTCCCCAGAGGAAAGGAGAAAGAGAGAGAGAGAGAGCGTACAGTTTCAACAAGACTTCCTTCACCCTTTGGCTTATCCGCGCTGGTCTCCCACCACATGGTTCCGCCGAGACCCATTTGCTTGAGGTAGTTGGCCTTCATTCCAGCGATTTTGGGAGTGTCGAAGCTGATGAAGAGCTTCTTGACAGGGTCATAGCTGTAGCTGGCAACTTCTTGTTCACATTCCACTACCTTGGCGCCTGGCTGTGGGAGGGTCTTGTAGTCGTACACGCCCTTCTCCCAAGTTCCCTGGCCGATACCGTTGAATGAAGCGCCTGGCTTCTCTTTGGTTTCAGCAAATGCACGGCCATAAAGGGGCATTCCGAGAACGATCTTCTTGGACTCAATGCCGGCACTTTTGTAGGCAATGAGGGCATCCTGAGTGTTAAATTTGGTGGCCTGCTTATCAGAGGTGGAAGCGAAGATGTTAGCGCTGTGTCCGGAGGTGCTGTCCCAGCCACCAGAGTAGTCGTAGGCCATCAGGTTCCAGAAGTCAAGGTGCTTGTCCATTTCAGCAAGCTTCATAATGCTGTAGTGTTGGGCGCCTGCCACTTGGTTAGAGACTTTGTCTTGAATATATATGGGCTTTTGGAACATACCAGCTGGAGAGGCCACGGTGAGGAGGTACTTGTATCCATCACCAACAGTCTTGGAGTATTCATCAAGAGCCTTGGAGACAGGTTAGCCTGGGAATAGATATATATCCAATGTAAGCCAACCAAAACATACCTTCCTAATCTCGGCCAGGAGCAATACCATGTTTCCAGCCTCCTCTTCGTTTGCGGGGTACTGTTTTCCCATTCAGTCAGTATCAATGGTCAATTTATCATTCGGTTCATTCGCAACTCACCTCCCAGTCGATATCGATTCCGTCAAATCCATAGTCCTTGAGCAGCTGAACAGATGATTTGGCAAACGTCTGGCGCCCGCCATCAGTGCTAGCGGGCCCTCGGAAGCTATCCTTGTAGCTCCAGCCTCCGATAGATAGAAGGGTCTTCATGTGACGGTTCTGCTGCTTCATCATGTACATCTGCTTAAGGGCACCACGGAGGTTGTTGCCCTGAGGGCCTTGGGTATCGCCCTCAAAGGCTTTTTCGAGGTTCGAGTAGGTATCGACAAAGTGGACATTACCCTCGGGAGAAATGTCCGCGAATGAATAGAGAATGTGAGTCCATTGGTCTCCGACCAGATCCTTTGGATCGAACTTGCGGTCATAGGTAGCCTGGTATACCAGTCAGCTATGGATTTTCGAAAATAAAAAGGGCTCTAGTTGGGGTCTAGTTAGTTGACATACCCAGTTGACATAGTATCCCACAGACTTGTAGCCACCATTTGGAGGAGAACGGGACTCGATGCCATTGGGGGTGGGTCTTCCAAAGACGCCAAAGTTGGTAAGGCAAGCCAGGCCTAGTGCAAGAGCTGAAGAGAATCGCATATTGAAGGAATGTAAATAGAAAGAAACAAAAAAGGAATGTAGAAAAGAAATCAAGGCCTGCTTGTTCTCAATGGAGATGATCTGAGGAGGATGATTTGATCAGACCCAAAAAAGAGGGATGCTGGCACAATTATTTATATTCAGCGCCAACGGGGAAGAAAAAATGGAGTATATCGACCAGGAAGAATGAAACCCTCGGCTCACGCCGAAAGTACCGCATGCATTTTTTTTTTTTTACTGACATTCGTAACTTAAGCCAGTGTATGCTTATAGAAACCATGCGCAAATGCACGCGGATGACAGTCTTGTCTACCCGCCCCAACTGGCTGGGGGGGAGGGGGGAGAGGGGCCCTGATTAGTATATGGGCACATTTCTGCGCCATGTATGGTGGGTATACATGTATATAGATGACATGGGTAATTAGACCGTTAATTCGCCGCCAACCCAGTAGTTATCTAGGAATATTAGATGAGCCAGGGCCCTGGGAGCCCATCGGTTTCAAGCGAAAGGCAGACGGCAAATTTGATCCAACTCCTTCTGTCGCAAAAGCTATGTTAGTCGTTAACCTATCACAGAATCGAGCGAAAGTAGGACCGTCTGGTTTATCTTTCAACGCAACGTATAGTTAGTTGCTGCAAGAACGGATATAAATGGGACAAGAGAACGTCAAGCACATCCGTCCCGCAAAAGACGTACGTCACGTCCCCAGGATATCAATATCGGTTAGCCTTGAGGGTCAAAGACTATCGCCAGTATAAAGTGTGCCTGGCCCTGAGGGTTTGGTCGTATAAGCCTCGAACTTCCGGAATCCCGGTAGGAAATGACCCTTGGCGCAGGCCATCTCTTCTCGCTGTTTGGCGGGGCCCACGGCGCTACTTTCTCTGGCGGTTGGGATGTTTAAGCAATCGGGTTGGATGAAGGGATCCCTGGCCTGGGAGGGGGGAGGGAGGAGTAAGCCCCAGGGCCGCCCCCAGCCTGAGAAGACGACACTGCCTCGACTAACTACTCTGTCAGGCAAGGCGCAACTCGAGACCCTCGGGGCCAAGCGCTATAGATAGTCATAATCTGTACGTAGCGGCCGAGGTCCCTGCCGTTGTTGCACACCGACTTGCAGAAGGATTCGTCAGATGTGGTTCCTTTGATGATAATGCAGCATCGCCTAAGGTGCTTTAGTTAACTGCTTAGTGACTAGAGTTGCGGACGTACATAGCAGTTAGGCAGGTTCCCCGTCAGACCAAAAAATCTTGACGTGTTTCCTGTCTTCGCCTGTTCATTTCCCCCCTCCAATTCATCTTATTGAGGGGGAGGCTCTATAATGCATTGACAGGTCCGATCTCTAGCGTTTCACCTTTCGCCCGAAGGAAGATGGGAGGGGCCCTCGAATGTATCGTCCTCGTCCTTTTATAGGCAGACATATAAAAAGGCACGCCTCGTGGTAGGCTGTGGTGACAATCATTCATCAGACTGCAGGTACCCAGCCAGCTGAGGGCCAATTGTTGGATGATCAAATTCGTATCAACCGATGGTCATGATAGGCTGGCACAGCGTTGTATTGCAGATCGAAAGAAGACATATCCTTGTCTGGCCGAGGTTAATTTGAGGGATTACGATCTGCAGAAATAAGAAGTCGATATGTTTCGTTCCCTCAGAGTATCTCACTCGATGTAGCATTTTAATATATCTTTATTAACGCCAGGCATTAAGGGCAGACGGGTCGCGTAGCCAGAGGGCGCTCAAGATTCGGCAGATCTGGCCAACAAGCTGTTAGGCCATGAGGTTGAATAGAAATGCCGGTGATTCCAACAAGATAGTGAACAAAATGACAGCTTTTGCGTTTTGACGTCTCATATTCTCATACGAGTAATAAGGCGTTGACGGTCCTAGATAGGACTCACTAAGCGCGATGTTACAGAGTAATCTCATACTTGGATGCATGCTTAGAGCGTCGGGTTAACCTGCGTAGGAAGATGACTGTGCAATACTTGGGTTCAACCTTGGGCAGTCAGAGAAAGTCTTCATCTGTACCATCATCTTGCAGGGCAAAGAAGGTCAGTCGGATGATAGATGCTGACGGAGAAGAGAAAGAGAGACATTTCTGCATCCTGTAACATGTTATATTTGACTCTGGTGTTCAAGGACTGCCTCACCGTGGTCAACTGCTTGAAAATGTCTTATTAGCAACCCTAAACGCAGAGAGTAAAGGGGAAAGAGAAGGAGCTCGCTTATTGTATCTGCTGCTGGGAAGTTTTGCTTGGAAGTTCGAAGTTGTTCTTTGAATCTATTTCATTTTGCCCTATTGAAGAGTTATAGAACCTAATCGCCAGAGTCCATGTAAGGATCGCCACCATACAGTCATTTTATTTGAATTGGATAAGAAAAAGAAAGAAAAAGCGCCTTTAACTACTCATCCCAGGTCTGCATATTTCTAAGGACACATCCCTTGTCATTCCCACTGGCCTTCTCAGCCAAACTTCCAACGATGAAGACAGTCTCATTCAACTCCTCAAGGTATTTCTTAATGTTGGCAGACTCGGACTTGTCTACAACAACAACCATCCCGATACCATTGTTGAACGCTCTCGCCATCTCTAGTCCTGTCACATTGCCCGTCTTTTTCAACCATTTGAACACATCAGGCAGAGGCCAAGAAGACACGTCAATGTCAGCGCAGAGGTTCCTGGGGAGGACTCGAGGTATATTCTCAACCAGACCACCGCCAGTGATGTGTGCCATTCCTTTGATTGCTCCCTGTGGGAACTTGGCAATAGCGGCAAGAAGGGGTTTGACGTAGATACGTGTTGGGGTGAGGAGAGCTGTGCCCAGGTTTGTGCTCTCTTTACCCATCTTGAATGGTGCGGGATCTTGATAAGAAAGTCCTGATTTCTCGACAATCTTCCTAATGAGTGAGAAGCCATTTGAATGTGGCCCACTGCTGGCAATTCCAAGCAATACGTCACCAGATTTCATTCCATCCGTGTCTGGAAGTAGACGTCTTGTAGATGTGTCAATGGCACCGATGGCTGCTCCAGCAGCGTCGTAGCTGTTGTCAATGAACAGACCAGGCATTTCCGCTGTCTCACCACCGACTAAAGCACACCCTGATTCCACGCACCCGTCGGCAACTCCAGCAACAAACGCAGCCGCGACTTCGACGTCAAGCTTCCCACAGCTGTAGCAATCAAGAAACATCAAGGGTTCGGCCCCTTGTACCACCAAGTCATTAACATTCATGGCGACAAGGTCAATGCCAACAGTGTTGTGGACCCCCATTTCATGCGCGATCTTGAGCTTAGTGCCAACTCCATCGATAGCTCCAATGAGAGTTGGAGAGGAAGAATGGAAGCCAGAGTTGCAAGTGGACAATGAGAATGCTCCTCCGAACCCACCGATGATGGCATCCGATCCTGGGCGGCGGGTTCGAGCAACGTTGGCTTTGATCTGGTTCACAAGCTCATTACCAGCATCTATAGAGACGCCTGCCGACGCATATGTAAGGGATTCCTGGGATGTAGATGTCTTCGAAGTGTTAAACGCGCGGTGTGCAATGTCTTTTCTGTAATGCATGCCGTCAAAGTGGATTGTAGAGATGCCGGTATATGAGGCCTTTACAGCCTCTTCTAGAGTGCCTGCTGTTGCAGTTGAAGCAATGACACGGCCGCCAGCTGTCTTGAGTTTACCATCGGCAAGAGTGGTTCCTGCATGGAAGATCAATGTGCCGTCGGCGGTCTTGTCAAGTGTGATATCTCTACCTTTGGCGTAGGATCCAGGGTAGCCCTCGGCCACCGCGATGACGGTGGCAGCAGATTTTGGCTCTACCTTGAGAGTAACTCCGTCAAGCCAGTGCTCTGTGCAGGCAACCATGACTTCAGCTAAATCGGTATCGTCACTGAGAAGAGGCAGCAATGTTTGAGTCTCGGGGTCTCCACCCCTGACGTTGTATTCTAGGACCTTGGGTCCATTTTTGGTCATCATTAAGCCTGTAAATAATATTCCGACAAACGGGGTGCCTAGAAGACATTAACCAACAACCCAGACCAGTAGAAGCGGATGGTAAATACCTTCTTTTCTCATTCCATCGATAGTCGGCTGAACAATTGTCCTATCTATATCCTCCATGACGGCCTTTGAAGCAATTCGGGTTGGGGCATAGCAACCCATGCCTCCAGTATTTGGCCCCTGGTCTCCATCAGAGACCCTCTTGTGGTCTTGTGCTGGAGGAAGAGACCTGACGGTGTAACCATCTGAGAATGTGAGGATACTCAGTTCATCTCCTTCGAGGTATTCTTCAATAACGACTTCATTGCCTGCATCCCCAAACTGGTGGTCTACCATAATCTCCCTGAGGGCCTTGTGCGCTTCCTCCTTGTTTTGGGGGATAATCACCCCTTTACCGGCAGCAAGCCCACTAGCCTTGATAACAACGTCATGGTCCGCAGAGTCAAGGTATTGGCAGGCAGCCTTATAATCGGTAAAATTTCCGTATCGAGCGGTTGGAATGTTGTGACGTTTCATGAAGTCCTTGGAAAAGGCCTTGGAGCCTTCCATACGGGCAGCAGCCTTGGAAGGACCAAAACATCTGATGCCAACTAGAGGAGTATATCAGCTCCGGCCAATAATTCATCTTGATATATAAAGCATCAGTCCTTACCGGCCCGGAAATACCCTTGAATGCCGTCGACAAGGGGGGCTTCAGGCCCAGGGACAACGAGGTTAACCCCATTCTCCTTGGAGAACGCCACTAAGCCGGGATAATCATCTCCTTTGATCGAGACGTTGGATATCTTCGATGAGGGCCCTCCATCCGTCCCGCCATTTCCAGGGGCACAGAAGACCTTCTCCACCGAAGGAGAATGGCTCAGTTTCCAGGCATATGCATGCTCACGCCCACCATTTCCCACAACAAGGACGCGAAGTCTTTCTTGGAGCATCTTTGGCTCTCGGCGAATTCAGAGGGGCTATAGCTTTGTTAGTATCCATGATCATAATTAAGGTCAATCATAAACTGTGGCCGGCTTTTAGGCTCTATAGGGTATATCCAAGCAAGACGGGATCGAATTTTAACAACACTCGTCCTTCAGCCGTTAAACAGGATTCAATCAATCAGCAATGCTTGTCTGAGCTAGCTTTCCGACTGAAATCTTGTACTTGGTGCAATATCCTGGCTCACAATATCATTATCATCATAGACGGCGGGGCATGGAGGGGTCACAAAAGAGCAAAATCGCCAAAAGCCAGACGAAGCATTGATTAAAAAGAGAATACAAAAGCAGACACTTACAACTCGTTCAGGGTAAAAGAGTCTCCCTTGCAATTTCACCTTTTGCTGGTGATAAATGTTGAATGTGATAAAGTGCGATGTTTTCGACTTTTTTGCTCACTTTGATGCAAAGTTTTTTCCCGCCGGGCTTTTTTTTAGTTTCCACCAAGGTTTTTGCGGCTGCTTTTCTATATATAAATTTGACGTTCGTTTCCCAGACTTGAAGAGTGGTTTACGGCGTATAATAAGGGACAGATATATATATTAGTTGCAAATATATAAGAGAGAATATATCATATGGGATATTACCGTCTGTGTCCCTAAGATTAACAGGTTCGCCGTCCATTAGATGTTTAACCATCTACCTATAAAACTGCCCGTTTATCTCACTGTAACTCTCAAGCACCTACACAAAATTCACTGTATACAAGAGACCAAAGTAAATAGCAGCACTTCCATCTTCCATCTTCCGTCTCATCGTTAATAAAAATATATTCATTTTTCTCTGCTTCTTTTAGTTTGGGTCAAAGGGAGCCAAAGTGCAAACAGTGCAAACAGAAGCTCTCAAGTTTTCTACTTTTTCTCTTTTTTGGTGCAAAACAAAATCTCGACCTTTTCAACGCTTCAGCTTTCTTATTTATATTCTATTTCTTTTAATAGTTTACAGTCACCGGGTTTTTTCTTGTTGGTGCTTCTTCTTGTTTGGCGCCTTTCTTTTCTTTTCTTTTTCTTTTCTTTGGATGTATTCTCTGGGTTTAATTCTTCGTTTACAAAAAAAATAATTCCTCCTACATACGATTTTCACGCTCGACTGCAATGCTTTCTAAGTCGATAAGACGGCCAATTTGCACGTACGTTTGCCAATCATGTCTATCCAGAAGCATTGTTCCTTCGTTTACCGTGGCCCGCCGCCACAGTCATGTCGCTACCTCCGCGCAGCCAGACTCCAATAAGCCAGCGTTCTCACAGCCAAACAAAGTCGATGCGAAACCTATCGAGGGTAAAAGCCATGGAGGTCAAGGGGCTGAAAGGGCTGGCGATGTGGGAAGGAAGGGAAAGGGGAAAGAGAAAGCTGATACGACCAAAGTATGTGGTTATATGTCGCAATCCCCATTCTAGGGTCAAGAATCTGTCGAGTTAATCTGTTTTATGCCTTCAGATAAACAAATCTCCTAAAGACGCCCCATCGGTAAGGGCGGTAAATACACAAGTCAATCCGGAGGTAGAAGCAAACGCCAAATATCCAAAAGCAAAAGCAAAGGCGCGGAAGAAATTAGCGGCGGCACAATCCAAGAAAGCAACGGGCATATCAGACGAGAATATAAAGAATATGATCTTGATTCAACAGAAATCAAAGCTTAAGTTGAAAAAGGTATATGCGCAGTGGCTGTTACAAGACGTTTATTCCTTAGACTGCATCTAATTTATGGTCTGCGTCTTTAGATTCGGCCTGGCAAAGTTATAGCAGCATTGAACCTCGCAGCACAAGCGGGAAAGTCGTCAGGTAAAAAGTCCAGGGACGCATCAAAAGGGTCCAACCAAGAGGAATTCGCCCCTGTGAGATCAGCAACTCCAAAGTTAGCAAACGAGGCTACTGTTGAGGATATTGAAATACTTCGTCAGTTGATTGCTCCCCCCATAGCGCACCTGGGCCAGAAAATTCATTTCTAACTTGTATAATTCAGCATTGAACACTGAATCTGATGACGTTCCCTCCCTATCGTATGGCTTGGACAGGGTCCTATTCAAGTATGTTGTACCCCTATCCATCCCTTAGAAACCCTTGCTAACCTGACGTAGTCCGGGTGTTTACCAGCTACAGGATTCCAGAACCTTGGTTTATAATTTCGATCCCTATCTGCGCGATATTATGCCTGTTTCGGAGTTCGATTTCAAGGCATTAAACGACTACATCACATCTTCCAAAGATGATGTTCTCAGGAACAAAGCGATAGAAGCAGGAAAAAAATACATTGGGTCGTCATCTAGCATGACTGGTGTACTTTCACACTTCCACTTCCTGCTGTCTGAATGGCGAGAGATCGATACGTCGCATTTGAGCGCTTCATTTCCAGCTACAATGAAATCCTACACAAAGCTATCCCGGCTCCCAGCGGTTGTATTTTTAAGATATAAAGATGGGGTTTATGCCGTTGATGCCGATAAAGAGTGGGACAGCTCTAATATTTTGATGGGGCTAGGAAAGTCAATGGAGAAGTTGCTCACTATGCCAACGGACCAATATGAGCGTTACCGGAGAGACAGCCCAGATAAGATACTGAAAGAGGACTCTCCCCCTGAGGTCTACCACTACTCGACGTGTGGGGATTTTTTGATGAGGTCACAGCTCGATGCTTACGACCGTCGCCTTCCTGGCACTGGTATGTTCGATTTGAAAACCCGTGCGGTGGTTTCCATCCGTATGGACGCAAAAGAGCCGTGGAACGCCATGGGATACCAGATAAAGTCACGCCATGGGGAGTTTGAATCCTTTGAACGGGAATATTATGATATGATGCGCTCCGCATTTCTGAAATACCACCTTCAGGTCCGAATTGGCCGAATGGACGGGATATTTGTTGCATTCCATAATATCAAACGGATATTCGGATTCCAGTATATCAGTTTACCCGAGATGGATAAATGCATCCATGGGCAAGAAAATACTGCTCTCGGTGACGCTGAGTTCAAACTCAGTATCAACATTTGGAACAAGGTCATCGATGTAGCCACCAAGGCGTACCCTAAACAGTCTCTAAGATTTCACTTTGAGACTCGCGAAACCCAGAATCCATTCATGTACATCTTTGCCGAACCTATGACTGAGGAGGAGATAACAAAGATTCAAGAGCGGAATCTCGACGAGATCAAGGCTTATGAGAAACGGGTATTCTACCCTGAGTTGCTTGAGTCTAGTAAAGCGGAGTCGACGACTGGTGAAGAGCGTAGCTCGACTGGGCAGGCACTGCAGTCAAAAGAGCATAGCTTCGGTGATGAATCAGACCCTGAGTTAAGCAGCGAGGCAATGGATATTGACCCTGAGAAGCCCCTACTTGCTATGGCGCTCTCAATCCGAAATTTTGTTAATGGAAAAGAAGTAGACAGGCCCACCATGTTCACTTCCAAGGACACATGGACAGTAAAGTACCAGCTAGCCCATTTTGCCAAGGAACGAGGATGGACTTTGTATAACGCATGCAAGAGGCGACGATCAAAGTTCCTTGGAGCTCTCGAGGATGAAGAAGCCCCAAACACATCTTTCCAAGAAAAATTGAACGCGATTAGTAAGGATGGACAGAAATGGAGAGATGAAATGGATAAAATCGAGAAAGAGAAGGGCATAATTCGGTATCAGAGCTAAGCTTCACCTTTTGCCTACGCTTGTACCTTTATACCCCCTTTATGCCTTCAACCCCATACTAACATGTACCTTTGAAAACTTTTCTTTGCCTTTCTTCACCCTACAGGAAAAAAGAGGCTACTTTCTGTACTATACTCTATTTCCTTGTTCATACTTTACCTTCTCTTGCATTGATGGCGTTTACGAAGCTTTTATAGATCATTGGGAGCGGCCCGGAAATACCTGTACTATATATGCCAAACGACCTATGAGGCTATTCAGAAATTTGATATCAAAACCGAGCATATTGATTATTCCCCCAACTTAGCCTCCCCACCTCGTATATCGAAACGGTTAACGTGAGGTATTCACCCGAAGCATAGACGTAGCCTACTAAGCTGTTTTGTTTATTTTCCTTAGATGGTACGTTTCTTAGTAGTCCTCATTGTTGGCTATGGATTCGCAGTTTCGCGCATGAAGGTTCGCGATAACTACCCCTTGTCTATCCATGGATGGCAACAAATCACTAGAGACCTTTACTCCACATTTCTCCCAGCAAGCATCATTCACTGGTCCAATACTGGTATGCGTGAAGACGCCTAGAATCTAGCATATGTCTTTTTAATGTATGGGGAACCTCTTAATAAAATCTTTCAATAAATGAACACAGCAGGTTCCTACAAAGCGGTCAAAACCCCTGCTCCTGTTTCAGCTTGGTAGCATGGTGAATCTCAAACCTAGTTGTGTCCTGGTAGGGGATCAAAAACGGTTGGTTTACTATCATCGATGCTGCTCGGAGGAGGATAATGGTGTGTGGAGTAAGTAATTGGGACGATATTCCCTCTAAAGAAATAACAAGTATGATACTGCAGTTCTAGCATGCTAATGGAAGTGTAGTTTATTAATTGTTAGAGATGTACTCATTACGTTGACTATTTGATATCGCTAGGTAGAATTTCATTTCATTCAAACTGCAATCCGACTGCTTTCCTAGGTGCTGTGCGTATAGAAAGATTCCACTTGTCCATCAGCCTGTTTCTTTACATATTTGTCTAATATTCGGGGAAACCTAGATGGAGCACTATCACGAGTTCTCCTATGCCGTTTCAAGGTTAGCTATTGTCTATAGTAATGCTAATCGAGCATACATTCTTCGATATGACATACCTAACGGAAATAAAGAGATCTAGGCAGACTTCCAGCCAACACAGCTTCCGTGGACCCTGTGACAGGTACAATGTTGTGAGCAGCCTCCATTTTCTCCGCATACACCGCTGCACCCGCGGGGAACGAGATTTGGAATAGCAACAAAGCGTTTGTTAGGGGTTTGCTCGATATCGTCAGTTTCGTATGCAGGCATAGGTCCGGCAATGGCAACTGGCAAGACTGCGGCCAGAAGTGCAGCCGAGAGGATGTTCAAGACCTTCATAGTGAAAGATTTTGGTAGTCGATATCTGAATATCAATTTTAGTTGCAAACACATAAATCACAAAATCCAAAGGGGGTTGCTACACACGTATAGAAGATGGTCAATTATAGCTTATAATAATAGTGATTTGGGCGCTGGAGAAGAATTCTTAGGATGTACGTAGAATGCTGGTGACGAGTTGGCTCTTTATATATGTTATCGGCTTCACGTAGTACTGCTGCATGGTCAGTTCAGCAACATCACAATTACGAGCTAACGCACGCTGCTGTAGTAATTGCATGTGCATCGAGTGAAGCCACCTGCGTCGGTTGTTATCTTTGTTTGTCGAGCGACAGTCGGGTCAATCGTTATGTCCAGAACTCCTTTCACGGTCCCAGTATTACATAGTAATATGTAGGGTGAAGGAGTATTGACCAGTCGATGACACGACAGTTCCCTTCAACGGGCAAAAATTGGGTATTCTGGAGCCATTGAAATTGATCTAAGGCAGTGACAACTTTCATCTCTAAATATTGTGTATTTAGGCTCACAATTTACACCACAAAAGGCGGCACATGGAGAAGAGTAACAGTGACTATTCTGTTGCCTCCGATTTTTAGAAGTTGGCTGCAGCATCTAGCACATATACTTTGTAGCCGCAAAAGGGAAACATATAGCGTTATGATATGCTTGGAGTGCAAGTAACACTCTACGCCTTTTAGTATCATCGTCATGGCCGATTTCAACAACTTCTTTACCCTGCCGTATTTTCTTTTTGATATTGGTGTGATTCTTGGAAATTTTATTGCTTGCTCAAAGTCCCTTACACGTCTTAAGGGTGTATGAAATGGGGCACTGGTGTATCAGGCGATCATAGCATTTCACGTATAGGTTATGCAGTCTTGCACACTTGGACGGATTCCCCCTTATTGAGGAGGATCTGAAGATCATTAGAGCAGACATGGCCTCCTTATGTATAAAATGGAGCAGGAGTGTTCAATTTTGGTCAATAAAAGGGATGCCAAAAGCTAGGGTCAAGGTACGCCGTTGATGTTCTTCTGATACCCTGCCTATAATTTGCCTAGACTAATTCCCGTGCAAACCAGCTTCATTTTTGCCTTCGTTCCCACAAACCAAGGGGGCAAAGGAAGTACGAGAACAATGACCTCATGACACGATGTGGAATCGCTTCAAGATATGCACGGCACTCTTTGTAACATTTAATCCTGAGAAGTACTCTGGATCCGCAATATTCATAGCATGACAAGCTTTCCACCCTCAAGGAAATTTTGATAATATTATTCAAGGATCGCAGTTATTGTCAGGGGGAAGAGAGGGACGCTCCCCACAGTCCAATTAACCCCACAAATCGCCAATATAACTACTTGTTATATTGTATATTATGTCGACTATCCATAGCCAACCCTCATTAATGAACTGGAGATATTACAAGCTCGGTGCAAATATAGCCCCAGGGGCAAGTGTTCGGGGACGGAGCCAATTTCAGCCCTATACACCGAAACAACTTGGTGAGCCTCAGGGATACAGCAGAGGCTGTTTTTGAAGAAGGACGAATGCCGGCTTCGTCAATTCATGACTGATCGACTTTGGGGAAAAGAAAATTGGCAGCCATTTGGCGTGGACAAGGCGTTCAGCATTATTCCGCCTCTTTCCACGTCTCAACTGACAGAGCAAGACAGAGCAACCATTAATGAGGGGAGGGGGAAAAAACGAAAGGTGGGCAGAGCGGTTCAGTCTATGGAGTACGGAGTACTCTGTACATATTTTCGAGGCAGCTTTAGTTCCGATCCGCCTCACAGGTCGTTGCTTGTTTCAGGAATCTCCTTAATACATGTAAAAAGGGGGGGATTGGCGAATTCCAATTTGCCACGATAGCGGCCAAGAGATAAAATGCTGTCTGGGTGAGCCTCTAGTATCGTATTAATCATTACAATCATATACACCTTGTTCAGCTTTTTTTCTTCTTTCTTGTTATAATTCCTCAATGCGGTTCTTCCTTGTGGCACATATATACGTGTGCATGTACCAATGTACATTGTAAATGTATATTTGTCAATGTGCTCAACTCTCTTTTAACTGGGGACCCTGGAAGATTTAGGTTGCCCAAAAGTCATTGAGATTTGGAACCTTTTCTCTCCTTCTCAAAGAGAATTTCAAGAAGATTCTACTGGGAGTTCCCCATCTCATTCTAGATGTTAGATATGGCAGAGTCCATCCTCTGTAGTTTGCCGGATCATGAGTAACAAGCGAAGGCTAAGCATTGGGCCTTTGGAAGAGAACCAGCCATGTGTTTGGAACCTGTACAGATTACATCTGGCATGAAACGACGTAATACTTACCACCAAATGCACAAGGGCCATCCCAGTACAAATGACACGCTCCTGTTCTGTGCTACCATCGCAGGGGTTGTTTGAGAGGAGAAAATTGACATCATCCTGGCTCCACACTGTGGCTTCCTTTTTTTTTTTTCTGCCCTGAAGCACCTGTCGCGTATAGACCCGCCCTTCCCAGCTCAAAGAGGCGATCGAATCCAGATCTTAACAAACTATCTGTAATTAGCTGCCGGAGCTCCGTAGGTTTCTCACATTGATATGGACGCTGCGTGATCGTGTATGGAATCATGATCTTGGGGGGATTCGTGACGTTGAGAGCATGGCGAGGCCGTTCCAGGCTCTTTCTTTTATTTATCATGATATATATATGGACAGCCAAGCATAGGAGGCAGGCTAGATATATATCGATGCATCCGCGCCAGCCCACGGATGAAGGAGATCAAACTCAATTGCCCTTATGGTAACTTAGACAGATCGGAGTGAGATCGCGGATTTGAAAGTCTTGCATGAAATTGGGGGCTTGGCCGCGAGTTCCCGAATCTCAACCTGCATCTGGAGCTTTTCGTCTCTTGGATTGGCCGTGGTGTTTCTTATTTTTAGGCTGGCTCGCTTGCTTTGCTCAGTTGTTTTTTCCTGCTTGACTGCTTGTACCGTGAACCTAGTCATGTCAGGTGGAGTATATACACTCCATTTGGGTCACGAACTCTGTTGCTTGCTGGTATTTTGTATTTTTTATGTTTTTATTTTAAATTCTGGAGCCCCGGCGTGGCTGAACCGGTGCGTGGATGGAGCTTGAGACATATCCCGTTGGCAGCTTCATATTTCCTTCTTTCCATCTCGTTCTTCCGAATTATTTTCATTCGTTTTCGACTTCTTCACACTCCCGCTCTCGCTCTTGTATACATGTTTTCTTCTTCCCCTCTCCTCTCTCCGTGTGTGTGCGTGTTTGCTTGTCTTGTCTGCCTGCAGGGAAGGTTCGTATAAGATATCCTATCTCCGTGGGATCATATAAACAGGACCTCTCCAGCGATTACCCTGTCGGGATATAATAGTAGCTGGATGGCGTGGCTTATTTCACCGCCATGCCTATACGTTCTGTAGACCTGTTGATCTGCTGATCCTGCTCCCAAGCTCGAAGAGAGAAAAGGCGCTGAACCTGGCGAGGCCGAGCTGTATCTGGACGCGTTGCTAAGGGGCTCTCGACTTGGGGAGGTCTTGGTCTTGTCTTGCTTCATCTCTGTTGATGAGCTGCTAAAACAAATCTCCGTTGGCAAGACGTGAAGATCGAACAGACAGGTTTTCTCTCCTCTTTTCTTTTTTTTTTTCTGCTGTCTCTCTCGCTCTCTTTTCCTTGCTTTTTCCCTCAGTTCCGTTTTTGAAACCTCCGGGTTCGACGTCGAAGCAAAAAAAAGGTGCAGAAATACATGAAGCTATGGCTGAGCGGTCAAAGAAGCAAAGAAGGAAAAGTTTTGGCGTGTTTGGGTCCACCGGGCTATTGTCTCTGGATTCCGCCTCACCCGTCACTGGCTCTCGATTTCGCGCTGGTGATCGATCGTCGTGCGATGCGTTGACGTTGGCAAGATATTACGGCGAGCGTCACGGACGGGTGGATGCGTTTGACTCTGCGGTGGTTGACGACGTCGATATCCAACATCGCCGACAACTCCAACAGCAAACACCACAACAGCCACAGCCATGGATGAGCAGCTCTAAGGAGGATCCGAAGCAACTACGCAACAGGAAAACACGCTCAGGAAGCAGGTCCTCATTGCTGAACATGGCTTTCGTCAGGCCGCGACCTCCCAGCTCCGGCGAGATGAAGGCAACGAAACAGCCCAGGACGACCACCGCTAGACCGTTGTCATATTCACCACAGCTGGCCTTCCAGGACGAAGAGCTCAGTCTGCCGAACTTCACACTCCCTCACTCCGCCACCGAGCCAAATATCCGCTCTCGATCGAAATCCGTGAACCGGTCACTGGCCAGAAGCTCGGTCTTTGGCTCGCTGAGATCCCTCAAATCCATGGACGAAGACCAGAATTCAACGAGGACGCGGTCCAGATCGACGTCGAGCAATGAAGATGACCTGCCTATCATGCGGGATTCAGGCAATTCCCGCGCCCAAAAGGCCCAGCAACAGCACCATCCTCATCACCTTCAGATAAATCGGAGTTTTGGGGTCAAAGTCTTGCATCATGGCGAAGTGCAGACTGCAGGGACAATGTGGAGGAAGAGGAGCCATTATCTCGTCTTGACGGAATCCCACCTCGTCCGGTTTAAGAGCCAAAACAAGGCAGCAGAGGTTTTCCCGTCTATACCGTCGTCCTGGGGTCGAAATAATGGCACAGCCGCAGCATCGAATCGCCTCTCTATGGTTTCTCTTGCATCTCTACATGAAAACCAACTCTCAGGAGGAGCGGCAGCTGGAGGGAACGGCGAAGGAGGGATAGGAATTGCCCTTAATAGCATAATAGCTGTCCACCGGTTGGATGATGGGAAACCCTACTTTTCAATTGAAGTATGCTACGCGGACGAAAAGTACCCCAGAGGCTCAGCTATACATATTCAACTCACTGACCCGCAAGAAGCGCAATTGTGGCTCATGGGCATTCGTGCGGCTGCAGAGAATGCAATATCGACCGGACCTCCCGTTTTTGATGATGACACCGTTAACTATGTAACGAACATCCTGGAACAGGAGCGTGATTACGATCCGGATTGCTTTGGACTATATAGAGTGGTTCATCGCATGTCTACCAAGCAAAGCAATCGCTCATCTACCGACGATATAACCAAACTTGCATCCAATGCCTGCCTCCTTGCCATTGGGGTTCATAAGATACATATCCTACCTACCCATACGAAATCATCCAATAGAGCTTCCATGGCATCTTTGGTAGAGCTAGATTTAGACGCCTGTCTAGGAATCATGGCTCTGTCTTCCATCTCAGTGCAGCCAAGTGATGACACCTTTCAACTGATCTTCCGGTAATTATACATATATACCTTTTGACATATAACTGTTACGACAAATGCACCAGTAGTGCATTCTTTTCTTTTAAACTAATTTCTCCATTAGAATACCATTCAAAAGCCCATCAATCGTCAATCTCTCCTCAAGTTTCTCAGGTGAAATCGCACTGCTCCTTCGACAGCGAGCAGAATATCTACGGCCTGAATGGATCCACCAGCCTTTCTCTTTCAATGTTCCTCCTCATGTTCAAGCCCAGGTAATGCCACCTGTAAACTTTGAGGAGGATTATGGATGCTTTGATCGGACTCTTATCGCCTACTGCGCCGCATATGATGTCGATACCTCGAAGATTCGTTATATGGTAGACTACCATTGCGATGATGCACCAGCCTTTCAACTGCTTCCACGCGAGGGTTGCCCAGATGGAGGGGGATATCTGCTCCTGGAGCTCCTCGCAGTCTTCCGTGCACTACGATATAATGAATCATTCGCTACTATTTCATTTGCGCGCATCAACTTGGATATTCTACAACAATTCCGCGATTCGTTCGGACCTGATTTTGATGCCATGCGCACGAGATCGAATGTAGCGGTAAATATACCTGGGCAAGAGGATATTGCTTCTTTAACCCAAGAGGTGCGAGCACTCGCTCTCAAGAGTAGGGCATTGCGACGGCTAGACTTTTCATACTGCTTAACCCGCTCTGCGAAGGCAACCGGGGGTGAGCGTGACCCTGGATGTGGCATCCCAGAGGCTGTCTTCCCCCTTTGCCGGCGCAATCTAACACAAGTAGACTGGCTTGCCCTCAATGGTATTGAACTAGGCGACTCAGATCTAGATTACCTTGTTGATGCGGCTTCGCAGAAGACTTCGGCACTTCGGGCTTTTGAAGCAAGCAACTGCAGCTTACAGGTCCATGACCTGAACCTGATTCTGTCTACCCTTCGAGTTCAGAAGGACACCCTTGAATGTTTGCGGATTTCCAACATTGTTGGTCGATTGAGCCCTGACCAGTTCCAGCAACAGGCCGGGTGTTTTAGGAATATTCGAAAACTCGAGCTTTCTCAAGTTCTACGGACATCGAAGAGCGAACCCCTCATTTCGGCTGAAACATTACTGAATTGGGAACTGGAAGAACTCTGCCTGAACAATACGACGGTAAATGAACAGACGGTGGAGTCTATTGCCATGTATCTTGCGAGCCCGGAGTCTAAAAAGCTCCGTGAAATACGTCTTAATCAATGTGGTATCACTGGGGGAGATGTTGCTACCCTACTCTATTTCATGGTTGACGAGGATTTAAAGCCTCGGGACATCCACTTGCATGTAAATGACAATAGGTTGGCTATCGATTGTGATGTTTTGTTTGCATCCATCTCACAGAATCGAACATCGACTCATCTCACTATGAGAAACATCGAATTTCAACGTGATGAAGACTTTAGGTATCTCGTCGAGGCCCTTATTCAAAACACCACACTGCGATATCTTGACATCTCCCGACTCTCTCTCCCGCACGATGCCGGTGTCGAGACATCCAAGGCATTACAGAGAATGTTTGAATTGAACTCTACCATACAAGAGCTCGACATCAGCAGCGAGCAAGCCCATCTTGACGTAAGCAGGTTTGGAATCGGATTAAATCTTGCCTTGACGGGGCTAAAGAAGAATCATACCCTGAAGGTACTTAGGATAGAGCACCAAAAGCTAGGGGTCCAGGGGGCAAACACACTTGCATCTGTAATCGAGGAAAACGATTCGTTGGTTGAAATATATTGTGAAAACAACGAGATTAACCTGCAGGCGTTCACCATTATAGTGAATGCGCTACAAAAGAATGAGACGTTGTTACACATTCCATCAATGGCGAGCGACTGCAAGCGGTCACTCGCGCGAGTGCAGCGGGAAATGGAAGCAGACGTGAAAGAAACCGGACTTCGATCCACTCTTTCAACTGCATCGTCAATTCGCCGGTCTGTACGTGCAGCATTTACAGGCTCTTACAGCAGCAGTAATAAGTTGGTCAAGTCACATCCTCCAGTTTCACAAACTGTTACTTCTTCACCTGGGGTACGTCGCGCGTCATCCGCCACTCTTACAGGTACGAATGGAACACAACCTGGCATGGCAGCGTCAGCGGTCCTACCTCAATTTACCAGGCCGGAGATCAAGTTTGCCATTGAAGCGCTCCAAAGCAAGTGGAATATCCAAGAAGCTCGTCTGCAACGCTACCTTTACCGCAATTACAACATCCTACACGGCTATACGGGCGAGACAGTTGGTGATGATACGAGAAGTGAAGGACGACCAGCCACGGCAGCTAGTCTGACTACATTCCTCAACCAGCTCTCCCTCACGCCGATTGAAGATATGAGTCAACGAGACGGTACTTCAGTGGCCGAAACGCCGTCTAGTGAGGCATCAGCACTGAGTAGATCCGAGAGTTTTAAGACTGCAAACAACTACATCGAAGACGACACGGCAAATGATCAAATTGGCGCTGTAGATTTCAACTTGGACTGGTCATATTCACAGCCTTGTTCGAAGCAAAGCGCACTTATTGACCGTGTCCTCCCAGGTTCCTCGTTTTCATCACCGGCACATGTTCAAACGGAGGAACTGGCTGTACCTGTGTCCTCCCAACCCCGACCATCCCTTCTCCGAGCAACCAGCAGCGTGCGCAGCGGCAAGTCTGCCAGCTCCGTCAGTATCAACACCAATACTAGCACGATAATGGACAGAACTCCGGTCAGTGGCCGAAAATTTGGTACGACACGAACACCATCACTACGTGGCATGCTCACTGCCAGAGCTGCTACGGCTGCAAGCAAAAGAGAGCTGCAAAGCAAAGTTGACCTGCTTGGATCTTCCAACGCAGCTCCACGACTGGATTGGAATCTTCCTGAAATAGGTCTGCTTTAGAGCAAGCTCATGTCGCTATGTCTATCTACTGGCATGAGCACCGGCCTTATCACTCCGGCTCCCATTATTCCATTTTCATTTATTTTATTCATTACTTAACCCTTGATTTTCTACAACTGTGGCTTGGACTACATATTTTGCATTGGCAACAGGTCCTTTATCTTCGAACCCATGACTTCTCTGCCCGAGGGTCCCTTTTTCTTTTCAACTCGATACCCATTTTTTTCTCCTTACTTCATGAACAAGTGCTTCGAGGAAGCCTGCAAAGCCTGTCCTGGATCGACGGAATGACATGAACATGACCTCCAGTACGTACACCGAGCCCGACAACACCTCCTAGATGCATATGGTGCATAACCACCTTTCACCTTTCCAGTCCAACCCGCAGTTTCATCGAGTATGAGCACCTCTACCACTTAATTCTTTCTTCTACCCCCTTTTTTTACCCTTCTCATGCTTCTTCTCTTCTCTTCTACCTCATTGTGTGAGCATTTTGCGTATTTTTCTTCATCATTTCTTCTAGGTGGCTCATTTGGCTTCTGGGCGGTTTTCTTTTCTACCTTGGGGGAGGTTTTGTCTTCGTTATTTGCACTTTGCTCTATGTGAGCTAATCATGTTCGACTACAACATACAATCTAATGCGTCAAGATAATAGCATCTGTCAGTCTATCATGTTGCATGTCTGTCAAAAAAAGTCTGTAATAAAAATATTTATATAGCAACGGCCAAAAGTAAATCCATCAGTCTTGAGTACCGGTAACTATCGACCAAAGGTTTCAATCAGCAAAACAGTCAATTCACCTCTGCTTTTATCAGTTGCAGCTATTTACATCTCAGCAACCACGCCTTTATTAATATATCTATCTGTATATAACGAAAGACAAATAGAGAAATGCCTCCTCCATCAAGCCAACGAGCGGACATCGAGCCACCTCCGCAAGTCTCGAAAGAAGCTACCATGGGCTTCATCACAGGCGCAGTCCGAGTGCGTTAAGCTCCCATTCAGCTTCTGCTACATCGATGATGCATTCGTATAAACCAATAGCGAATACTTACAGGGGTAAACAGTTCGGCGCTCTCTCGATTCTCGCCCATCTGATCCTCTCGCTTCCACATCCAATGCACTTCACACCGTCGTCGGGGAGCAAGGCGGCGAACAGCCAACCGTCTCCGTCACCGAGGAAGCCTCCGCTGGTATACAGGCCTCTGATCTCGTTCTCGACCTCGATTGCGCCGATGTCGAGGGTCTACCGTGGTTTGACGCCGCAGTTTAAAACGTTTATACAAATCAGCGTCATGACGCTTGGTGGGTGTATATGGGCTGAGAAGAGGGTGGGAGAGTATCTTGATCATGTCAGGAAGGTCAAGAGGGCTGAGAGGAGGGCGAGAGGGGAGTAAGACTCTTCTTCTTCTTATACTGGTGCTACTGCTGCAGACATTGTGTATACTTGGTTGCATGTTTCGGCGTATGGTTGGATTGGTTCTCTACTCTATATTTTACTCTCCTCTTGTACATAGTTTACAAAGATATCAATGTCAAGCTGTCATGGTATACGTAACAATGTTTCCACTCGATCTATCATTAATAATATTAAAGGTGGCCCTCGGTGTCTGGCAAGGGTCGGTGACGGTGAAAAAAGAATACAGTATGTGATGCCAACAGAACGCTGCAGTGCTATCAACTCACGCCCAAGTACAACCAAATTGTGAGTTGAGACAAAAAAAAGAAAAAAAGAAACTGGTGTGAGAAAGGGTAGACCTTATCCAACTGATGCAATGCTTTCCAACGCATTGCGACATATGTATGCTAGTAGGCATAGCAGGCGAGACGGGCGAGGTCTAACGTTGTTCGAAGCAAATGGGGATTATTAACATTATCCTGATTCCGGGGGATTGAGACCTGAGAGCATTGTGGGGGTTGAGGGGAAAAGGGGGGTATTAAAACGGCGTAAATGATCGGTATATATCAAAACATATGGGCGCAATATTTTCACAGAAGGAGGAAGGTCCCCGTTTGGTTATTTCTTTTTTTACTTCGAGTTTTCTTTTCTTTTTGCTTCGGTATATGAGGTCGGATCGGGCAGGTTGGGCCGCTACTGACGATTGCCCAATTCGAACGGCGAGTCTGGGCCAATCTCTTCATCCTCCTTCTTGGCATGTGGCCGTTGGAAGAAGAGCGGGAGGATGCGCATCTTTCGGCGGGAGGGTGACATGGAGCGGCGCGGTGAGGATGTGCCTGATGCGAGAGGTGTGTAGCGGGCGTGCTTGGACCCAATTGACAGCACACGGCGGTAAATCCGCCAGAGGGCTAGGCCGACGATACCGGCAGCCAGGAAACCGGAGAAGGTGATGAGCATCCAGTGGCTCCCCATCTATAGCTTATGGTTAGAGAGACGATCGCAAAAAGTCGACGGGGACAAGACATACCCAGAAAATCAGCTGTGCGTCTTCGCCATGCCAGCTACTGCCGGGGTGGTGGGTAAAGAAGCTCCATGAGTGGCGATTGTAAGCATCCTGAAGCAGGACGCGTACCCGGTTGACGCCGTCGGGGTCGGTGTTCTTGTATTCCTTCCAAATCACCGAGAGGAAGAGCGGCCCGGTCGAGTACATGACCGTGATGTACGGGAGGACCCAAGCGCGGTCGTATGCCTGCAGCGATTTGATGACGCGCAAGAAGAAGGGATGGTTTGGGACAGAGCCCATGGCGTCGTTGGAAATGCCGGTTGGGGCCGTGCGGCGAACCCAGGCAGGGTATGAGAGCAGCGGGTCAAGGCGCCGATTGCAACCCTGCATATATGAAGCAGCATTAGCTCTTTATATTCTGTCATGAAAAAGGTAGGGTTGAAAAAAAAAAAAAAAAAAGGAGGGGTACGAACGTCGTCCAGGTCGATATAGGTGCCCCCATAGTGGGCGAGGATGAAGTAGCGAATCGAGTCAGCTCGTTGGATGGGAAACGGATAGTTGTCGAACGTTGTGAGGAACCAAGGGTAGTGTTCGGAGATGAACTCCCTGGACTTCGCATCCGTCCAGAGCTGGGCGTTGTGTCAGCCAAGTCAAGATGAACCAACTTTTTAGCGCGTAAGAGGTGACAAAACTCACCATGTACTCGTAGTCAGGGTGCATCTCTATGCAGCGGTTTCGGGGGCCGACCCATATCTCAGGTATGCTCTCGTTCTTGTATGTTTGATGGATGATCTTGGGGATCAATTGTGGGCGCAAGTCGATGAGGCTGGAGTTGACGCCGGGTAGCTCGACATTCTGGATGGCATCGTCTGTGGCATCCTCGACGAGAAGGGTGAGAAGGGTGAAGACGCTGCGTACGAGGAAGAGGATGATGGCTGTGTTTATGAGGAGGAAGATGAGGAGGCCGCGCCGCATCGTGGGAGATAGACCGTTTTTTTATTTCCTTCTCTTCCCCTTCTCTTGTGCGCGTTGGGTGTTGATGTTCGTTATCGAAGGTCAACAACCATTCAGACTGTGTGATATTGTATATTCCGTGGTTTCAACGTCGTTTTCTTTTTGGGTGAATTGATCGCTCGTAGCCAGACGAGAGTCGAGAGCAAAGAAAGGCGACAGAGAGAAAAAGCTGAGGAAGGAAAAAAGCCCCTTGAAATCTCGCAAATCGTTCGATAGAAAAGCCTGGGATGCTTGCTTTAGTGCTGTCACTATGAATTTAAGGAACGGAAAGACGCAAGGAAGCCCCTGGCTCGTATCGTGTCATTAGTGTCAGCCACAGAGAAGACAAGATATAAGAGAAGAAGATATAAGAGAAGAAGACATAAGAAGACATAGAAGAAGATATCAAGACAGGGCTATGAAACTCACCCGTATATAAGTATTTTCTATGCACGAAGGAGCGTATGCGAGATGACGGAGGTTAAGAAGAGGAAGAGGCCACAGCCACAAAAGCAACAAGGGGGAATACAAGGACAGGGAGTTGTTCGAAGCAGCAGCAGCAGAGAAGAACAAGAGAAGGACAAGTCAAGGACAAGTCAAGGAGTGACTATTCGATTCTGCTCATCTGGTCGATGATACCAAAACGTAGACAAGAGAAAAAAAGGCGAGAAGTTGGAGTTTCGACGTTTTGGAAGAGAAGAAAAGTAAGAGAAAAAGAAAAAAAAAAAGGGGGCCGAGGATGAAGAAGTCAAAGAGGCCAAAAGTCGATGGAGATACAGTTCAGTTGCTCATGATACCCTTCTTCTCCGTTCCCATGCTCAGTCTTCCTCTTCCTCTTCTCACTCTTTCATCTTTTTCTCTCTTTTTGTCTCTTTTTCTTCTTCGTTTCTTTTGATATCAAAAATTTTGGTGGCGCAAGGCTTGCTTATGTCAGCTAAGCCGCACGATATCAAAAAAAAAATCTCCGTCCAAAAAAAAAAATGGAGGATGAAAAAAAAAAACGATGTTTGAGATTGATTAGATGTAGATGTTTATTTATATTTTGTAAATATACAGACGGGAGGATAGCGTAGATCAGAGGGACAAGCTTATGTCCTCCAGCCAGCGCTGCATCGCTCCAACAGTGGCTTCCGGGTCCTCCTCCGCCACGAAATGGCCTATCCCTTCGCCCGTCTGCACCACCGTGAGAAGCTGCTCCCGCTCGACCCACGCCTTCCACTCGCCCTGGACATCGAACCGCTCGCCCATCCCGCATGAGTGCAGCACCAGCACCGGCGCCGCCATCCGCCTGCCCTCTGCCTGGTCGTGTCTCTGCTCCTGCACGTCCTGCGTGCTGCCAGCCTCGTAGTCAGCACACGAACTGCGCACCACGCTCGCCATCTGCCGAAACGGCCGCATGTACACCTCCATGGCGTCGTCAGCTTCGAACCGAGCTATCGCCGTCTCGCTTGTCCCCCGCCAACGCTCCATCATCTGGCGAACGAAGCTGTCTGCTCCCATGGCGTGTATCATGGCGCTCGCCAGCTTGACGTTGGCCAGAAAGGGCCAGTGGAACGTCTGGCTCGCTTCGGCAGGGTCCGCGAGGGCGGCCCACTGGATGGCGGTGGGCACGATGTCCATCAGCGCCGTGGCCACGATGGTGAATGCAGTGTCCGTACCAGTGCGTGCGTGTTCGGTTGCTGCGTCGACCGTCAGCCGGTGGCAGATGCGAGCGCCTCGATCGTGGCCGACCAGGACGACGCGGTGCGGCGGCTGGTCGTTGCTCGTCCGTAGGACCGTCGACAGGGCAGACAGTATGGCTTTCCCTACAGATCGCTTGTCGTGTGCCCGCGGTGGTGAGCTGGTGCCGTACCCCGGTATATCAGGGACAAACAGCCTTGTCTCTCGTGGAAGTAGCTTGATGACCTATTATCATTCTCTCTCCCCACCTCTCAGTATTACGCACACACACACACACTTGGAAATGCCTTCCAGCGGTAGAAAATAACGTACATGGCGCCACCTACGTCGCGATACGTCAGGTCACTTTTTAGCCCATGCATGTAATACATACGTTAGTATGCTGCGGACAGTCGACTCACATGAAATGCCTGTGTCAACGAATCAGCATTCAACCGCTTGTAATCATGTACAGGGCGCAGTCAAGGGCTTACGTCTGCGGGTATCCATGTATCAGCACCAGTATTGGTTTCTCTGTGTCTGCACCGGAGGATGCATGGATGCCTCGACAGAGACCGCGGATCGTCGAGCCAGAGTCGGAGTCGCAGACCTCGAAGGTCGACAGACCATGCCCTGCCAGGCACTGAGGCACGCCGAGAACGACCATGATGGCTTGGATATTCGTGTCAGTAGTCGGTGTTTGTAGTGTTATTATTCCTCCTGGTGAATGTACTGATGGATGTGTATTTATACGACTATGATGATTATAAATCCCGAGGCGGGGATGACAAGAAGATCTCTCTTATTCAACTAGCTCGTGTTAACCGTGGTTTGGCATGGGTATACAGTTAGCTCGATCATACCGATAAAGTGATATCCCCTGCATAGGTGTAGCAGTTTATTTAAGCGTAGGGACAGGCCATGGCTAGTAAAACGGCTCCTTGCATCAAAAATTTCCATCAAATCAACTTGGATTGTTGTTAGATTTACAAGGTGAAGTACATCTTTATGCGAAGAAGCTGACAGCACTTATTCGTACGCAGAGAGCAAGCTAGGGAAAAGCAGATAAGAGCTTGTATATAGCGTAGTCCACCACTGGATGGCTTGGGTCACAGATATGTTTTCAACGCATGGAAAATAAACGAGTGTTAGGCTAAACAATATTTCGCCCGGGGCAGAAAGGGGGGCAAGGAAGAGGTAACACGGAGAGCCTCAATAGATGGGATAGGGCTTAAGGCGTTGTTTTGAGTCTTTTTTTTGGCCGTTTTAACTATTCGTTGAACCGCCTATTCACCAGGTTTACGCTTCCGTTCCAGCGCTATCTGCTCGCGCTGGGCCTTTGCCTTATCCTGGGCCTCTTTTCGTTCCCGTTGCTCTTTTCTTTTCTTTTCTTTTTTCCCCTACGGCCTCCTGCGATTTAACATCTTTCTGAATCGCAGGTTGTAGTTTTATCTCGATAATCTGAGCTATGATAGGTTTCCGTATGAGGATTTTAAAGTGCTCGCCCAGGTTGCTCGGACGGAAGACTTAATATTGTTGAAGTAGGATGAATCCGGTAGAAAAGTTTCCTTCCATACTTAGTGAGAGCCTCTACTACCGTCGGGGTAGCCATTTCTGGTTGTAACCGCTTTACACCATGCTGAACAGAATAGTCTCGTTCTGGTCCCCCCGGCTAAGAAATGCAATAGTTGAATGAAGAGGAAGGATAGCAAGTAGGATTCCATCTTCATCAGCGTATTTGGGTAAGGCGCACTACACGCTCCTGCTCTCGAGAAGCTCTAGCTGCTTTTGACGTTGGGGGTTGTTTTGAGTAACATCAAGAAAATTTCCGGTCGATTCCATAATGATTTGCAGCCGTATTGTAGTGAAGAGCTCATTTGAGTACTAGTCTTCAATCGCCTCAGCAATTGCTGCCTCATTAGCCGTGATATTGCTGCTGCCAGTGGTGAAGAAGCTCAATTGGGGGGCGGTCACTAGGGGGCTGATAACTTTATGGAAATGGGGAGAGGATATTTAATATATACTTCGGTCATAGGCTATTCACCGAGGATATGAAGTTAGTATGGACAATCATCAGTTGGCAAGCTCGCTCAAAAAAGAGCATAATTTAGGTGCCTCGTTTTATTGCTATTTTTTTTTTGTTTGTGGTCAAGACAAAGGATACCACGTGACCATTCACAAATCCCCACGTGGTATTAGCTTGGCATAACCTTATTTTTCCCGATTATCTCTTCCCCTTAGTTCGGCACTTCAACAGCATCATCTTTGTCCGTTTTTCCTCCTCTAGATGAGTGGAAGTCAGAAAATAATATTGAACTAGATACTTCATAATAGCGGTGCACTGTCCCTCTAGTCCAGTTGGAGTAGTCAGCTGCACAGAGCTCTCGGTACCATTCCAGATATTAGAAGTTGGTTAATCACTGTCTTCCCGAAAAGAAAAAGAGTTCAGGTGCTGCCGCCAACTTTCAAATACAGGATTCCAAGATACGTAGCCATGCAGTTTTTGAAGTGTGGTTCATATTTCACAAAAGAACACCATGGGGTATGACAGTGAGGGTGACACAGGCCCTCAGATCATTTGCGCTACGATGACCGGCATTGTTATATCACAATCCATGGGTATGCTCCAACTGTCGCTTGATTAAGATTATTGATTGCTCTCGATCAGGACTAGTGGTCAACACCATCAAGGCACCCAGTCATCACATGGAAGGTCGTGTGTTTCGATCAATGCATGAGGATATATGCACTGTATTTGAAATCCAATGATCGTCCCAACGTCGTCATTGAAGCCATGTTAGCGAAAGCGGGGATCGTGATCCGAAGTGGTCTAGAATTACGCCTATTTTCTTATGTATATGTCGCTTCGGCATCAAAGAAGACATACCGAGTCGCCGAAATATCACCCAACACATCATCGGCCCTTGGCAGTCTTTGGCTTACCCAATGTCTTCTGCAGCCCGGTGACAACCATTATAAGCTACACGAGCTCCCTGCAGTCCGGGAATATATTTATCTCGGGGCGGGGGCCGGGGCGGGAAAGGGAGGGTGAGCAGACAAAGAAGACGATTTGACCGTGGTGAGGCACATAGCTAAAGGTTAAAGAAGAGTCATAAATGTCGTGTTGAGGGCCGCTGATTTGGCAGCAAGTGGACATATTCTCCTTTCTTCTCCCGTATACTCCGTATTCTATACCAAGTTGAGTTATTGGTGCTCTCTCTCCCGTGTTGCCAATTTAAGAGCAACAAGAGGTAGGAAAAGCGCGATTAGTAATGTTGATCAGATAAGCAGCGGTTAATCAGCAACCGCCAGAGCTAAAAACAGCGCGAAAAACATCCCAAAGAAGGAAAGTCCATGCAGCCGCCCCTGGTCCGAGCGTCCACGCCCTTTTTTCCTTTTTTTTTTTTTCGTTTGACATAAAAAAGTATTTTTATATAGATCAGACCAACAGGATGTATTATACATAGTACAGAACTCTGGCCGACTACCCGGCTGGGCATGCAGCAAGGGGATATCAGGAGGACATGTAGAACAGGAGCTTGACGGTTTGAAGCTAGCAGCCCGCCACTTGGGCGGCTTCGCGAGTTGCGGTGGAATTAATTGTTGGATGTTTCCTCATGCACGCCCTTCAATTGACGGCTCTGTGTCGAACCGGAGAATAGATGGGAGGTATGCCTTGCTGGGCACAGTGTTTCATGCTGATATCGTACGGTGCCCTTGTGCAAGCTCGCCATTGGAGCGCAGGAGAATCAGATCGCTCCATTTTACGGATATTGACACTAGGAAGCTCAAAAACATGATATGATGTCTCCACCATGAGGCGAGATGCGACCAGAACCCAGCGTGCGAAAAGAAAAATCTCTTCCATGCAACCTGACGACAAGAGGCTGCTTGTTTACAGCTCCACTGCCGTGCACATCGACGGCGAGCGGTGCCGGTGGCTTCGAAGAGAAAAAAAAAACTCTGCTGGTGGAGATGGGCAAGCATGAAGGGACCCTCTAGCTATCTTGACAAAACCCGGCCAGAACCGCCGTGTGCACGCAGACCTAACCCGCTAAAGCGGCGTGGTGAAACGGTACTTCGGTGCCTGCACTGTTGGCGGCCGAAGCCGCATGTCACTATCAAAAGAAAAAGCCTGGATGTTTTGCGCAGGGATGACTCAAAAAAAGCGGTACAATTTAGGTCACCAGGAGCGGGAAGTCACCTTGGTGGCCGCGGACGTGAGACAAAAGATGGCAAGCAGGTACAGGATACCGACCTTCTGGAGCACCACGCCACTGTTACCGAAGTATACAATACTACGCTCTGTCTGGCCATCCGAGAAAAAAAATAAAATAAAACGGGGTTCATGGTTGCGTCAACTTCGGCATATTCCACAAACTTGGAAATATATTGTATATATATATATATGTGAATTCGACCCCCGCGTTCCCCTGGCATCTTCTCTACATACAGATCATCCAGTTTGACCATACATTCCTCGAGGGCTGCTGTTGATACAAGCAAGACAACAGCCGGCGCAACCGATACAAACGCCGAAGCTTACCTCTTGTCGCATCGCAAAGTTGGCCTAGCATCTCGCCGACTGAAGGGCCCGCAACGTTGAGATGACATCGTCTCTGGCGTCGAGGGCTGCTCCCTTCGAGCCATGGACCAAACGCTCTGCACTGCGAGTTGAAATCACGTTGAAAGACCAACCTGTGTCTGGCATCTGCTCATACACAACCCTTGATACAATCGAGGGCGAAGCAACATTTATTTCTGATGTCGACACTCGCTTTGAGCAAATATCTATCACCTTTTTAGGTACATACATCAATATAACTATCCATCGAAAACCATAAACTAATTATCATCTTGCACAGGAACTGCACGGACTCTGATTGAGAGACCGGGGTCTGCAGGCCCGACTGTTGGTCGCTCTACTGCATTTCACCCGTTTCTGAGGCTCGTCCAGCCGATAGATGAGTCTGACTATCCGCAACCTCGCATTCTAGAGGCAGGTCGCAGATATACGTTCCCCTTCACATTCGTGGTGCCGGAGAGATTGCTTCCTCAGTCCTGCGCTCATAAGACGAATCATCCACAAGTGCAATATGCGCACACCAACCTGCCGCCCTCAGCTGGTGACCCTATGCTAGCTGGAGATGGAAACATTCTCCTTGACGATATGGTGCCTCAGATGGTTCAGGTCCAGTATACCATCAGGGCGAAACTGTTAAAGTACAATCCTAGCTCCGACACACTTCGCACCGTTATCGACCAAGGCAAAAAAGTTCGTATCATCCCGGCCACTGATGTTGAGCCGCCACTGGATGTTTCCGAAAACAGCGTTGAGTACCGCCTCCGAAACGAAAAGTCAGTGAGGAGGGGTGCACTACGAGGCAAACTAGGCCGCATCGCAATGGCTGCCGCACAGCCAAAGCCCTTCCACCTCCCTCCTGTCCACCACCCTGGCAGCGAAGACATTGTAACCTCCGAGGAACAAGAAACGCCCAGCACGATGGTGAAAGTGCACATTCGATTTGATCCTGCAGATGAAAACCAAAAACCACCACGTCTCAACACCCTTTGGACAAAGCTGAAGGTGTTTACCTACTTTGCTTCAGAGCCATGGAAGGACTTCGCAGCCCGCACAAACATGCCCAACTGGTCTCTCAACCATGGTATGTATGCTGATACCGTTCCTCTTGCAACCCGCTGTATCGCCTCAGTGCCATGGACCAAGCACTCTGGTGAAGCAAACTCTACCTTCTGCTCTCCCGCATCGTCAACGACCAATCTTTCCATCGAAACCCCCTTATCTTCTGCTCCTACTTCTCGTCGTGGTTCTATACAGTCCACTGCCTCAATCGATTCTTCCCAACCCGGCCCCACGGCTGCGTACGCCGGCAGCACATACTACACTTGTACCATCCTTGCACCCATCACATTGCCGAAAACTAAGGCTTTTCTGCCTACCTTCCACTCTTGTCTGGCCTCCCGAATTTATGCGCTGGACCTGAGTATCTCTGTCCTCACACCTAATACCAGTTTGACGGTGCCACAGCTCTCTATCCGGGTACCGGTACAGATAGCGGCTGCTGAAAGCCTAGCGGAGGCGGTGGCCCTCCGTGGTGATAACATACAGAATACAGAATCGTTTTTCACGCCCAGGAGCATCTCGCCTCCGCCCGCTGAGTACGTTGGACGCGCCTCGTTAGGAATCCACAGCAGGCAGCGTTCGGGGACTCTAATGTCTATTGGAAGTACAATGACGGCAACTACAGTACGCCCGCCCCCGGAGTACCCTGGCTCGCCTTTTAGTCGACAGATATCAAACAGAACTGTTGTGAGCTCTGCGTGCTGAGCACGTATAAAACAAAAAAAAAACCCATCACCAGTCTTTTGCTTAATGATTTGCATTTATTAATATCTTTTTCTATATATCCCCGGAGGCTTGCTCCCCCCCCCCCCCCCCCCCCCCCCCTTTTTTTTTTAAACTAATCTTCTAACATGATATACCCCGTCCAATTCATCTTGGGCATGTTGAATTTCCACTCCTGTATGAATTATGATCTTCTACTTTCTTCTGACTTATGTTATGTTACGATGACTTTCGGACGATATATTTTGGATCCCGAAAATCCGGCGGCTGTGCGTTGATATTTGTTTATTATAAATAATCTCGTAACTATCGGTTCTAATATATAATTTCGGCTACAATTGCTATATTACTCGTTTCAAAAAAGCCACCACCGCATTCCTCCCATCTCCTCGAAAGGTGGCTTCGGTGTGCAAAGCACCTCGAACTCTCGTTCGAGATACGTCCATCTCATGTTTACTACATAGTTCTTCTATAATGTCAGCCTGCTCAGCAGGAACCAGCTCATCCTTATCCGCCGAGATGATCAAGACCTTTCTTCTTTCCTTCTTTGCCCTAGTAATTTGCATTGAGCGAATGGCTCCCTCTGAATCCCACCAATTTCGTAGGAATGGGCCGAGATAGCGATATGGCAGCCAGCGTTGCGGGTAAAGGGCTAATAACATTGATCGTATACTTACAAAGGGTGTCTCAAGTATCAAAGCCGGTGGTTTTGACTGTTTCGAGAAGCCCTGGTGCCAGTGGTGGTCTGACGCTGCGAGAAAAGTGGCCACCCCTGCCCCTATACTTTGGCCCCAGAAGACAAGACAGGTGTTTGGATGGAGGTATGTTTGTCGAGTCCAGTTCAAGGCAGCGATTGCATCACGCTCGATTCCACGCTGGGAAGCCCGGCCACGAGAGGTCCAGAATCCTCTATACGAGACCGCAACGAGTGTGTATGTTCTATCACCCAACTCTTTCAACACAGCTGATAGTTGAGGTAGACGAGGTGGGATCGAAGACCCATTTCTACTATCATTATTAACTCGCACATCAATTAATCTAGAGATGAAGCTAACTAACCCCTGAAAGTACAATATCACAACGTCTTCCGTCCTCCTCACTTCCTTGGCTTCCTTCTCATCAGCCCGCATCACGTTACGCCCGACACATATTGCAATCTCCACTCCATCTAGAGACTTAATCCTTTGCTCTTCCCAGACGATTGGCCGGCATACTTGTTCATAGTCGGCAATCTTCTCTTGTCGCGAGAATGGTGGCATAGAAGGCATGTAGATGATCTTATTCTGGAAGATCACCATCATTGCGCATTTGTATAGCCAGAGAGTTATCGTCAATCCAACCAGAACGACAGGAGGAACAAGAATAGGAGGCAGAGTTGAAAGGAGCGAGAGGCTGCGGGTGAAAGGGAGAGCTCGAGATACATTCGTGGCCCACGGTCTGCCACGGTGAACGAAGGAAGAAGCTATACAATTGGAAGTATAGGGGCGTGTTTGGAAGCGCTGTCTAGATCCGAGGACGCATGCAACCCCATGGTGCTGTATAAGTACAGCAGGCCGCCGTCGCAGCATGCTGTGTGGTTGTTGTTTTTTTATTCTCTTGCTTTCTTCTTTCAAGGCCAAAAGTTGCATGTTTGCTTACGTAAGTATGATTTCATACAACTAACGGATAAACGTATCCATCTATAGTTATTATATATATATTACATGTTGGTGGCCTCTTACGGGTTAGTTTATAGTATATCGCTGATATTTGACCAGTTTGCGACGGGTGCAACCCTTTCATGGCTGTTTCCATCTATCTCATATCACTATAACTAGTGGATAAAGCCTTCTGATGGGGAAACGTTATCCAAACAGTCCTGTCATACTCTAAATAATCGGTTCATGGCTTTGGAAGTGTGAAATTGGTTTAGCTGAGTTCTTTGTATACTACTGTAGTTATAGTACATACAGCTGGCTTTTTGTAGATACGAGTTTTCCATTTTATAGAAAGGCCATCCTAGGAAAATAAGGATCCATACAGTGTCACGTAGAAATGACAATCCCTGTAATTAATATAGTATATCAAAGGGAGTTCCCCCTCTTCTCATCAGTCACGATGAGTATGGAAAACTTTCATTGCCATTGACGCGCTAAGAACTTGAACCCCTATTGGCCCTGGCCTTCTATATTTAAGACCTCAGAAAATTTTCTTTAAAGGAGTATGATCGACCCTGTATATCAAAGCAGCTCTAGATTTCTTCATAAACAACCATCGATAAAATAGCTTCCATTCATATACATATAAGGATGGAAACCGTTCTCAGCCCTACATGGCATAGGCTTCATAGAAAATGAAAGAAGAAGAAAAGACATCTGTTCTCGTAACTGCTTTCGATATGTTGCTGTTGCTGATCTTGGACAGAGTGCTCTGCACTCCCTGGCCCTTCTTTGCTGCCGCTATGGTCATATCGAGCAAACCGCTAAATGGCTGGGCTAACAGCAGGAGCTATCAGCCGACCCAAACATGCAGTCGATCTTCCGTGTGGCGTTTTCCCCTCTGTATACTTGTCTCACTGAAGGTTTGTGATTTGGCTTCCCTGTAAGCCACAGTTAACGCAATCTGTGAATCCATAGGAGAGTGTTCAGAGGTGTTAATGAGAAACCGGATAGTGTTTGGGGAGACAGAGGTATTCGATCCGATCCGATCCTCCAGGGCTCGTTAGTTCTGTACGACATATATATGCTTCATCCTGGTGTATATATTTCGAGAACGTTTCCAGATCTAATTTAGGCTGGAACGGGGCCATGCGGCGCAACGATCAACGCCCAATTGGCCAATGCTTTGTTTTTTTTATTTTTGGTAGGATAGGCCATGTCTTGACACCTGAGTACATACTATGTATAGTGCCATAGAGAGTTCTCTCTGTGCATACCTAGTAATGCTCACTGAGGGGTCATATCGTCTGTCCTTTTTCCCTCTATACGGATGACGCCATGATGGTTCAAGCCTAAAATTTAGGCACTCTTTCTTTCCATGCACTCAGTCCCAAGACTCGGGGGTTCCTTGTCGCTGGCAGCTCCGTCCGTAGAATTTCCTACAAGTAACAAAGTCCTGGTCAAGAGCATTGGTTTCCGTTTGACACCCTTCAAAGCAATGCTGGATGTCCAGCTGTAGACATAGACCGATAACTTTTCCTGGCTTCTCTATCGACATGCTCCTATTTTAGACTTTTTTCGTCCGCAAGTTTAGTATTATATCTTGCCGAATTTTCTCAGCCATAGGCGACTAGAGTTACCCCTGGCCATAGGAGGCTAAAAAGTCCTTCTAGAAACAAGTAGCTGATCACAGCATCGAGCAAAAGACGGCCTATGAAAGTCCGAATTGTCGATGACAACGGACCGCCGGACCAGAAATTGGGTTTTAGCAGTAAATTTTCTTCCTAAGAATTATGGGCCAGACTTTTTCGTTTCCACGATGCTAGTCCGATACCCACAATTCGGGAATCAGAATCTTTCGCTTACGATCGTATCTTTGACAGGAGTCATGATTTGCAGTGACCACAGGGTTTCCTCTGCTCCTGGGTGCTGTATCGAATATACCCTCTTTAGGATAGGATTGTTGGAACTGAGCTTTGCATCGCACTGGCCTTGTGGGGGGAGGAGATAGAGGGGAAGTAAAAGGCTCGCCTTTTGTCGATTTCGATAAAACTGGGATCTTATCCCATTGCTAGGCCTGCATGTTCCAGGTGCCCTGTTTCTTGGCTAGGTAGCCCAAGGCCCCTTGATTTATATTATGTGGTTGCGTTTATTTATATCTCCATCGTCCACCTTCTGAGGAATTGCTGGGGCTCTTCCGTCAAAGTTATCGACTTGTTACTCACTGCTGTGCTTTAGTAGGCTAGTAACGACGCCAATATGGAGAAGCCTGAGAAAGAGCCAGATCTTGCCATAGGAAATGGTGGTAACGGGGACTTAACTGGTCACAGCACCAAGGAAAATGGTTTTATATTAGACAGCTCAATCGAGTCTTCACCGCCGCTGGGATTCTGGACTCGCATGGGTTGCACCGCAGAGTCTTTCCAGAGACGGACACTTGAGGATAAGCATAACCAATTTAACCAGACGCTGAAGTCCCGGCATCTTCACATGATTGCAATTGGAGGAAGTATTGGTGCCGGTTTGTTCGTTGGTTCGGGGTCTGCTTTGAGAACAGGTGGCCCAGGAGCTCTGGTTATCGATTTTGCAATTGCCGGGATGGTCAGCAGTTTCTCTTCTCGCCATGAGCCTCATGCTAAGTTCTAACTGTCCACTTATTTGATATAGATGATGTTCAACGTTGTTCATGCCCTGGGTGAGATGGCGGTTTTGTACCCCATTTCTGGCGGTTTCTATACCTATTTCACTCGTTTTATTGATCCTTCCTGGGGGTTTGCAATGGGTTGGAACTATATATTCCAATGGGCGATTATATTACCACTGGAACTTACGGTTGCTGCTTTGACAATAGGGTATTGGGAAGTCAAAGTTAGTGTAGCGGTATGGATCACCGTGTTCATTGTTGCCATCATTTTGATCAATATCTTTGGAGTCCTGGGTTATGGCGAAGAAGAGTTTTGGGCCAGTAGTCTGAAGCTCGTGGCGATTGTAATATTCATGATTATAGCCCTGGTATGCGTTCTGGGTGGCGGCCCATCTCATGGCAAATACAACCAATATTGGGGTGCTAGGTTGTGGAACAACCCAGGGGCGTTTGCCAATGGCTTCAAAGGTATAGTCTATATGTATCTGGCTGTATAATATATTCTTTATGCTGACCTCCTTTTCTAGGTGTTTGCTCCGTATTCGTTACTGCAGCCTTTTCCTTCTCTGGAACAGAATTGGTTGGATTGGCAGCAGCAGAGACAAAAACACCCTTAAAGTCGCTTCCATCGGCGATAAAACAGGTGTTTTGGCGTATCACCCTGTTTTATATTCTATCCCTTGTCTTCATTGGCTTGCTGGTGCCTTATACCGAAAAACGTCTTCTCGGTAGTGGCAGTCTTATCGATGTGGCAGCCTCCCCCATGGTCATCGTTGCAAAAGACGCCGGCCTCACAGGCTTTGATAGCTTCCTCAACGTCGTCATTTTGGTCTCTGTGCTCTCAATTGGAAACTCAGGCGTGTATGGAGGCTCCAGGACCTTGACTGCGCTGGCTGAGCAAGGCTATGCGCCGAGAATCTTCAAATATGTTGATCAAGCCGGAAGGCCTCTTGTTTCTACTATTGCAATGATCCTCGTGAGCTTCCTTGCATATATTAACATAACCGCGAGTGGTGAGGAAATATTCGCGTGGCTGCTTGCTCTCTCCGGACTGGCCTCCCTCTTCACTTGGGGCAGTGTATGTATTATTCTTTCTTTTAAGTGTTCAACCCGTCCCCCTAAGCCCTTGTCTTTGCCTCTAACGTGACGTCTAGATATGTTTCGCGCACATTCGCTTTCGCGCTGCGTGGAAACTAAGGGGCCACACGTTGGATGAAATACCTTTCAAGGCTGCATTTGGCATCTGGGGATCGTGGTTTGGTCTTATTTTTGTTGGTCTTGTTTTCATTGCCCAGGTATGCACGTTTGATGTTCCGTTGTGTTTTGTTAGCTCCTTGTGAGTTGTTGTAATGGCTAATATGGTAATATCGCAGTTTTATACCGCTGTCTGGCCACTTGGTGGAGGTGTGAACGACGCAAAAGGTTTCTTCAAGACCTATCTAGCTGTTCCTGTTGTCCTTTTATTCTGGATATGTGCGCATATCTGGAAAGGCAAGGGGTGGTTGAAACTCTGCGACATTGACGTCGATGCTGGACGCCGCGAGATAGACTGGGAGGCACATAATCGAGTTATGGAGGAGAGAAAAAATGCATCTCCTTTTATGAGGATGGTTTATTTCCTCCTTTAGACATGTTTGGGGTGCATATCTTGTCTTGTTGGTTTCTATAGAGTCATTGCCGAGTATTAAGCTCCCTTTATTTGACATGTATCTAATCCATGGTTATAGTTAAGATTAGTTAATCTTCTTTTTGTTATTTTGAAATATATAATCGTAATGAGTTATTCATAAAGGGTATATACAAGATGAAAAAGTAGATGGGATGTATGAGTGGAGAAATAGCCGGAAGAGGGCTTATATGTGGATATATTTATAAGCCGTCTAACATGGGATAATGCTAGATTGACTTCAAGGTCTATACATGCATGATCACCATGGTATTTTTATTATCCTCTGGCAGAAGTAGGCGTAAGACATTACGTTCACCATGTATGTAAAACCAGGGGAGGGGTCATATGAGCTACGCTCTCCATGCCCACTCGCGTTTCTCCAAGGCGTCGAAACCGCGTACCCCAAGCACGCAGAGGGATGATGCAAAGAGAAGGGCACCGTCATACCAAATGAGGTTCCGATAACCCTGTAACAATTTAGATGTCTCCTGACCTGGGGAATGGATATGGGAATCCTCCAAGGATGAAACCAGCACTGGAGACCCAAAAAG